CCCTCTGCGGAAACACCGGACTCCTGATCTCCATGTGGACCTTGTAAAACTTCCTCATGATGGCCTTGACGTAGTTCTCGTACACCTCGCTGAAGAAGTTCTTGATGGCCTCCTCCGTCTGCGGACTCGTCGGGTCTGGCGCCGACAGACGTCGAGTTACGCGTCGCGCTTGCGGTCCCGCTCGCCGTCGCCGACGGCTGGTGTAGTAACAGGAACTTGACGTTGCCGCCTGTCATGAAGCAGGATATGTAGTTGGTGAAGAACTTGTCGATTACTTTCATGTATCTGTACGCGGTTGGGAAGGAACAGCCGTTAGTATTGGGCATGGTGTGGTGGTGGTGGGGAGGAGGGAGAAGGGGAGGAGGAGGTGGGGGGGGCGGTAAGGGAGGATTACGCACAGCTGCCCGTTCATCCACTGCACCTCCTCGACGATGTCCAGGCTGCTGTGCAGCACGAACTGGTTCAGGTGGTGCGCCTGCTCGGTGAAGCGGGACTGCCCGTCGCCGCCTTGCTTGCTGGTGCCGAACTCATACTCGAATAGCGGGTTGTCCTGTGTGCCGATGATGGCGAAGTAGTAGCTCATTGTGTGGTTTTGGTTAGTTTGCCGTGGCCCAGTCTAAATTTGACTCGGGGTGTTCGTCCCGTCTGGGGGTGGGTGGTGCTGGTGTCGGTGTCGTTTGGTCGGTCGGTCGGTCGGGGGGCGTCGCTATCTGGTTATCGGTCGATCATTTGGTGCGTGCGTTTGCTATTGTATCGCGTGTAAGTGGTGCGATCGTGGATGGTGCTCCTCGGGAGCTGCCGTCATCGTTGGTTCGGCCCGGTGGTTCGTCAATCGGTCAACACCAGCTCCCAGGCTGGATGGTTGACGCTGGCTTGCGCTAGCGCTGTAAGGGCGAATGCCCAGCGAGTGGGTCGAGGGGTGTCGGCTCCACTCCATGGGGCTCTGGGCTGTGATTGGGCTTGGCAAAGTGACTGGGGAGCCGCCGTTTTTCTGGCCCCGCTCGATAGGGTCCCGACCTCCGAGAACATCCAATCCAACCCCCCCCCCGGCCAAACGGTGTTGCAAGCTGGGACCGCAACAGACATGTTTGGGCCGTTCAGAATCACAAGTTCCCTAAGCGGGGGTCTTCTATGGTGAGCCCGATTACGGCAATGCCCTTCACCTACTGCGAATTGTCGCTAACACCACAGCAGGAAGATCCCGTGGCGCCTCTCCCCGACTCAGAAAGCCCGCCAACGGAAGCGGTTACGAGCCGTCGACCAGGTCATCGAGACGGTGACCAACGCATTGGCCAAGAAGGGCGAGACCCTCAAGTCATTGGACCGGTGGAAGGCTGAGATGCCGACTGAGGCCGAAATGCTGCCGCGCGACAAGTACACCATGTTCGACCGGAAAGCAAAGAGATATCGCAAGGGCATTCATAGTGCGTTGCTTTCCTGGGCGAAGGCCCTGTGCGTGAGGCCCATGACTGACTTTTGTTGGCTTCAGAACTCCCGAAATGGACCCGTGTTTCGCAGAGAATCAACCCACCAGGTTTCTAGACGGGGGAGGACGGACGGTTCTGGTGTGTATATCCTTTGTATTATACCAACGGCAATAAACGGCGTTCTGATGGTACTTTGGAGCTGTATGCAAATTTGAGGATTTGCGAGCTTGGCCAATGGTGGATGCATTCGCTATGTTTATGGAACTGGGATCATTAAAACAAAACGACCGAAAAACTCCATTATGATTTCCAGGGGTATTCCCATCATTCCCCACCACAAACTTGATCAAGTACCACGCCGTCTACTGGCGACTGGGCTTATTTCAGCCGTCCATAGGGATCATCATCGTAGTCCCTCGTCTCACGGTCTCTCGACCGCGGTGGTTGAATCGCCCGCCCAAGGCCGCCACGACCCTCGTCGAAGTCCTCGCGGTACTCGTCACGCACCTGCCCTCCCGACTTTCCACGGCCGTATTGCCGACCCTCAGTGAATCCCGGGTCCAAATCTGTGCGGATAATGCGCTCATCAAGCTTCGTTCCACCGATGTACTTCATGCAGTCGAGTGCGTCCTGGTGAGTGTAATACTCGACAAAGCAAAAGCCGCAGGGTGTCTTGTTAAATCGGTCGAGGCCCATTACCAGGCGTTTGATCTCGCCGCATTTGGAAAAAAGCTCGTATACCTGCTCTTCAGTGGTGTAGAATGACCTAGAGGGCGGAGGTTCGGTCAGCGTTGCTACCTCTCGATCCTTAAGAGCTGCAATGGGCTGGCTGGGATGCTGCAGCTTACAGGTTGCCAACGTAGAGAGTAGTCGCATCCTTCAGCGGGTCCTCCTCGGGCTGGTCGTTATTAATGTTCGTATCGTCATCCCCATCGCGCTGTTCCTTGTCGAATCGCCGGCGCTTGTTCTGAGATGCCGATGAGCGTGTATGTTAGACATTTCACTGTGGCTTCCCGCGGCCGTCTGATCTCGAACACTCACTCTACTATTAAAATATGCGCTCGGCTGGTCGAGCCGCTCGACTGTCGCGCGTGGTCCTCGCATTGTTGTGGTGGGTGAATTGATATGGTTGGAAAATGGATGGATCTTGTAACTTCGCCGTTCTGACTTAGAATTGGCGATGGAAGGCTGCCGCGTCTGTTGCTCGGTAGCTTAGTATCACAGGTCGCCAATCAAAGTGGGGCTGCTTGATTTGGAGGGTCACTTCGGCGTGCCTGCCGAGAAAAGGCTGTTGTCCTGGGGCCAAGAGAACGCGCTAGCTGGCTTAGAACACCTCAAAGCCCAGCTTCTTGACCGGAAGTGGCTCCCCCAACCTCCGACAAACCTGCACTTTACAGCGACAACCACAAGGCAAACGGCCAATTTCCGTCGGGAATTGCCAGCCACCGCTTGTTGAACCCAGTTTACACTGATTTTGCGCATCCGACAACCGAACCTTGACAGCACCGACCCTAGCACCAGATGCCTAAAATCAAGAGCTTTGCGCCGAGCTGGCTCAACGAGCCGTCCCCCGGCCACAAGCTGTTTGCACAGTCAAGCGACGATGCCAGGCTTTCCATGGCCCTGCCATATGGCAAGAAGCCAAAACCAGGGCCACGGCGGACCATAGCGCGGCGGGGCACCGAGGTGTTTGTCGCGGTCGGAAAACAAATACGATGGGGGGACCTCGCCTACCTCAAGGAGTCGTGGGAAACAAACCATGCGCGTTCCAGCTCTGGGACTCGCATCAAGCGGGAGAGCCCAGACGACTCGTTTGACAACGAGAATGGGATTGTTGGCCATGGAACTGAAGGATACCGAGTGAGTGGGATGCGCCAAGGCTCAACGCGGGAGGGACATGACCATCATTAACCTTTCTCCATGACCAGACCATCAAAACACCTGTCGCCGACGATATTCGGCAGCTTGTTATGTCTCCGAATCAAGACCTCCTAGCAGTCTTGACATCGCATACTGTTCACATCTGCATCCTGCCCGATTCATCTCACCTCTATGCGAAGGACGCGGCACCGTTCAAGCCCAAGTTTTGGACCCTCGGCCCTACCACCCATGTTACCTCGCGCCCTGCGGTTGTCTCGGCACTATGGCATCCTCTGGGCGTCAACGGAACGGCGCTCGTTACAGTCACGGAAGATGCCGTTGTGCGTGTTTGGGAATTGTCGACAGCCGACCGCTGGACCTTCGACTCCGCGACTCTTGCGATCGACTTGAAGAGGTTAGCGGACGGGACGTCTTTGGATCAGGATTTTACTGCGTCGGTGTCGGCCACGAACAAGGGCTTCTCGCCTGACGCATTCGACATGGAAGTCGCGTCCGCATGCTTCCCTGCTAGGGGTTCCGGGGGCTGGTCGCCGATGACATTGTGGGTGGCGATGGCGGGGGGCGATGTGTACTCCCTGTGCCCGCTTCTGCCTCAACGCTGGGCACTCCCCTCCCACATTGATCCCGTCTTTGTCGGTTTCCATCGTGGCCAGGGTCGCGGCCACGGAGGACGACCCGGAAGCTTCCGCCGAAACCCGTCTTCTGGCCCAACAACAACTTGACTGGATATCTGACTTGGACAACCAAGAGCCGAAAGTGGTGGAGGGCAGTCTTGACGAGGCCGCGGTGGAGGTTTATACCCGGCCCACCCGTCCGGGCACGATCCCAAAACTCCAAGGTCCGTTTGAGTTCGACCTCAACCCGGAGGACGAGCAGGACGATGAGGTTGAGCTCAGGGACATCTACGTCATTGGAGAAAAGGCCCGCATTGCCGATCTCATGATGGGTGAAGAAGAGGACCTGGAGATGGATAATGACGAAGGCAGCGGCTTGTCCCTGACGGTCATTTGCCTTCTCTCCACCAGCGGCCCAGGTCAAAATTTGCCTCGACGTGGAAGGGGTCGAGGCCCAATGGCTTCCGCCCAAGCCAAGACATGGAGCGAGGCAGTTCGCCGCTCCTGCCAACACCCCATCGCTACTGACCTTCCAGACCTTCGATACTCTCAAACCCGTCGAGGTGGTGCCTGAAAGCTGGCCCGTGTTTAGCGAAGACGTTACTTCCCGGTATTCGTTTTACATCACGCATCCCGCGGGTATCACTTTTGTTTCTCTAGCGCCGTGGGTGTTCCGGCTCGAGAGTGAACTGCAGGGAGATTCGGAGTCTGGTGCAGAATTCCGCCTCGACCTTCTGGTCAAAGGGCAAGGATCGGAACGGGAGCGCATTTACACACAGGGCCGCGGCCTAAGCTCACTAGCGGCAGCCACGACCATCAAGGACCCCGGCCTCGGCCATTTTGTTCTGTCCGCCACCCATAACGACCCGGTTGCCCTCTTCTTCGACACGCCAGAACGGGAGAGCCACCCCAGGGAGTCACCAGCAGCGGTTCTTGAGCATGTGGACTCGCCGCTGCCGGAAATCGGCTGGGAACCGCGCCCTCTTTTCTATGTATCGGAAGCGCTGGATCGCAAGAGCGCAGTGCCGGCGTGGATCGATCACTTAAAAACGGGCAGGCGGCGCCCACTGTTTCATCAGGAAGTGCGTCTTTCGATGGCTACACTCGAGGTCTTGACCGAAGGGCACAAGGTTCTTTGCAACGAGGTGGATCCCATCAATGATGCTGTCGCAGAACTATTCAGAAAATGCCAGATGCTTCAGCATGAACTCAGAAGCCAAATTGTAGCGGCCAATTATGTCAAGAAGAAGGTTGACATGATCACCGGCGAAGACTCGGCAGACGATGATGAACCGCCCATCTCGCGAGACGACATCGTCCAGGACCGTCTTCGTCTAGCCCGGGAGCGGCAGGAGGAGCTGGCGAGTAGAATGGAGAAGCTGAAGCGGCAACTGGGCAGGGGAACGAGTCGTGAGCTGAGCGACAAGGAGAAAGCATGGGCAGAGGAAGCACGGGCGCTTAGCGGAAGCATCCTTGGTTCTGGGGCTGATCAAACTTCGTCGTCAACTTCCAAGACTAAGCAGCCTTGGAAACGATTCGAGGAGATTCAGGCCCTCCGGGACGCCTTATTTTCACAGGCCGAGCAGTTACAGCGGGCTCGGGAGGGAGCCGACAGCGACGCTCCCGCCTCGCCGTTGCCTGGCTTGAGGATCCCGGCCGAGGTGCGCCGGCAAAAGATGGCGCAGGTCATTGGTCTGCTGGATCGGGAGTCTGCTCTCGTCGATGCAGTCAAGGCCCGTATCGAGAGATTGAGTATTGGGTAGTGGGCTGGGAGGGGTTGGTTGGGTACGAGCCCGTCGGAAGGCGGACAGGAGACCGGTGGGCTTGGAGAAGGACAAACTAGGTCAGATGTCCCACGGCCGTCATGGTTTTGATGCCAGTGAAGGAAAAGAGCGAAATCATTTGTTTACACGCAGCCCTGGATGGATCACGGCCTCTCACTGCATGCCCAAGTGTTGCCTTTGTTCCTTGTCAGAGGGCGCCTAGCTGCCTGGCTCTCGCAAGTGTGGCGAAACGGAATCCTGCTGCTGAGGCCGCTGCAAGTAGGCTGAGGTCCAATCATTTTGGATCGGATGGTTGCCCTAGTCGGATTCGGGTGGCTCTCGAGCTTTGGCCAGAGGAGCCCGTCGTCTTGTTTCTGGGACAGGGTGAGAGTTTTCCCGGCTCGGGTCATCCATTTTAGAGCCACTCAACGGTTAGGGCTAGAGCGAGAAGTAACGCCAGTGCAGCAGCTCCGTGCGACACACGCGCTTCCCGTGTCTTCTACAAGATACACTGTTCCGACTTTGATGTCGAACCTCGACACACTTTTCGGGTCTACGCCGACAAGCCATCTTACGTCCTACTATGATGGTGTTACCTGACACGACTTATTGCTGTCTCAACGGCTGACTACTTTCTGCCGTGTCTTGTTCTTACAGGCAGTAAAACACATGGAAAACTTGCCAAGATGTGGCTGGCTGCAATGGACGGGCACCGACCGATCTTCGGAAGAGAAAAATGAATCCGGTGTCGTTGCTGGTGGGCTGGAAGCGGCTGGTTTTCTCTTCGGTTTTTCGGTCTTCCGTCTACCACTCTTCGGTGCACTTGCTCACCGCTCACCGCCGCTTACACACCCAACCACCCGGCGCCGCCGCCGTGTAACAACCTCCTCGTTTCTCTCTCCGACTCCAGGAGTTTCCTAGCAGAGAGTGAATATTGACAATGGAGTTGCGTCTACCTTTGCGTGACTGATAGCCGGGCACTTATACCATTGCACCCTCCCCTGAATGACCCGAGTTCGTCTGTTGTGTTAACACCCCGGCCGGTACTCTCGGGGCTCCTCACCTTGCATCATGCAGCAGCCTCACTTTTTTTACTTGCTGTAAAGCTTCTGTGCCACACGGGCGTCCGCAACCTATTCCCTTGTACCTCAATTGCCAAACTGGCTCTCGTGAAGGGTAAACCTCGCGGCATGGAAGGGTATAAGTATGGGTGTCCGTCACTGCCTCGTGGGTTTCGTCTAGGTACACATGGTCCAGCCTCTCCCGGTCTGATAACCAAATGCTCGTACGCCTTTCTAGTGCTAAGCCCGCCCAAATTCCACTGCAATTGAGCCTCCATTACAAGATGGTTCCTGAAACTTCTTCCCCTCCTGTGGACCTGCGGGCCCAAGTTATTGGTCAGTCCTCTGCATCCCTTATAGGCACCCCGGCCACTAACACCGCTCGTTCTGCAGAAAACTGCGAGTTCTTCAGCGGGACCTTTGCCCGTTTTTCGTTGGTCGCCGCCAAGGAGCCCCTGGGCACCTTCAGGGCCATTGTTTTGAAAACGGAGAACGGCATCCGAGAGGTTCTGCTAGCCGAAACGGCGCCGTCATACTACGAGGCCCTGCAAGCTCTTCATGTCAAGTCTGCGGAGGCAGTCCAGAACTACATCAACACCAATGGTTTTGCTTTGGCGTCCGGCGTCAAGAAGCAGAGCCCCAACGCCAGCCGCTATGACGACAGCCATGAGAGTGATTCGTCCACCGTGACGCTGGACGACTGCGAGTCTCTCTCTGACGACGAGACCGTGTCGGTGACTTCAGTTGGCAAGACCAAGCGGAACCGCCGCAAGGCGAACAGGGCAACCAAAACGAGCTCCACGAAGCACAAGACGAGACAGGGCCGTACCAGGTCCCGCTCGCCCTCCTTTTCCACGACCCGGGCTCGTTCGCGGTCAACATGCTCTAGCTCGTCTGACTACGAGCTCCATTACGATCCACCAGCGCCCCTTCCCAACCGCGCGCCCTTCCTCAACTCCTTCCCCCAGCGCATGCCTCCCCGTCCGCCCCAGAACGCATTCTCAGCTTTCCCCACGGGCGCTCCCCCGCCACCACCTCCGCCCCCCGGCCCTCAAGGACTCCCCCCGAACAGATTCGCCCCGGCCACGACTATGCCACCACCGCCTCCTCCCGCTGCCCCTCTATTCTTCACCAACAAGCTCCCCCCTAACTCACCAATGCCCCCGACAATCCTGACCACCCCGCCAACACCCCCCCAAGCCAACCCCAACCACAACCACAATAACCCCAACCCCACCTCCCCCACCCAAACCACCCAAACCACTCAAGACCTCATCCTCCACATCCGCTGGCGCCACCACGGCGAGCGGCGCACCGTCGAACAAGTCCCCACCCGCGGCCGCGGCAGCATCTCAGCGCGCAGCCTGCAGCAAGCGGCCCTCGCCTGCTGCCGGCGCCAGCCGGCGTCCTTCACCTCCTTCCAGACACCCCCCGCCCCGTCGTCGGGTCAGCAGCACCAGCAGCACCAGCACCAACACGGGCCGTCTTCTGTTACGCAGTGGCGGCTGGCGGGGCTGAGTGCAGCGGTGAGGGCGGTGGTGGTGGAGGGGGTGGTGTATGATTTGGGGGGGTGGAGCGGGGATGATTTGGGGAGGGTGGTGAAGGGGTTGAGGGCCGGGGCGGGGGTTGAGGCGGGGGCTGGGGATGGGGAGGGAGAGGGTGGGATGTTGTTGCGGTTTGAGATTGACGTGTGGAATGAGGGCTGGGCGTCGCCGGGGGTAATGCCGTGGGGTGGTGGTGGTGGTGCTAGTGGTGCTCCTGCGCCGGGTGGGTTGATGAGTACTAGGCCTGGGATGGGTGCGGGTTCGGGCTCGGGCTCGGGCTCGCCGCCAAGGAGTTTGTTTTCGTCGTCGGGGGCGCCAGCACAGAATCAGGGGTAGGTGGGTAGGTGGAGTGGCTCGGTTCCAGTGCTCTGGGTGGGCGTTGCAAGGGGAGTGAGCGGGATGAGAAACAAGGCGGATGGATGGCGGACAGGCTAGGGGAGGAGTTTGCAATTGCCGATCCTTGCATTGGTCAGAGTGAGGCTGCAAACCGCCCATCCTGCAGTTGCGGTGATCTCTAGCTACACATGTCGTCCCATCGAGTGGCAAATCACACGATATGGGGCTACAGCCGAAGTGATCGGCATTTGTTTACACCCCGAGGATGCAGAAAAGCACCTTGTTTGGCTTCAACACATCTCATAGGAACTTATCTTACCGGTCTGGGTACTGTCTAGACCTTTCCTACTCTATTTAGCTCTTCAACAGGAATATCGATTTCCCTCCTTAGGTCGTTTACCCAGTCCCATCATTCTCTTGTAGGACTTCAATTTTACGGTATCCGGGGACAGCCTTTGAAAGCATAGAAATCTTGACCAAGGAGGGGAATGAGAAGGCTGGGGGTAGCAAAACAATGGCAGATAAACCCGCCGCACCCATATGGTGTATGTGTGTGATATATCCATTGTACCCTTTGGCCATTCCCAGGTAGAGCTCAAAACCACGTTGAAGGTGCCGCATCCCGTGCCCTTGCTTCGTCATTAATCTTACAATGAGTGCGAATGCTAAGACCAGATGGTCTGCCCCCGATCTCACCGGCTTTATGACCGAGTCATGTTTGTATGATATTCTCAAGAACTGTGTCATGGGCAAGGAGGCCGTATCTCAGCGGCCGAGATAGGAGAAACCGATGAGACCGCCAATGCTTCAGGGGCCAATAATCCCGCGCCCGCCCACGCCTGGCTTTTAGCTGAGGCCTCAACGCCAAAAGAAAGAAGACAAGATTAGATTCCGCGGACTTTCTTCACCACTCCCGCCCGCGAACGAGGCATGGGGGAGGGCTCGGCTCAACTATAGCAGGGCGTCGAAGGGGAGATGGTCGGAACAGTCCGAGGCATCCCCGAAAAGTCCGGTGCCCTTGGAAAGCACCCAGACAACACCACCAGAACCAGCCGGTGACGGAATGAGAAACGCCGCAGCCGTACATGCCTTCTCAATAGTTTCTGCTATCGTCAGCACTCCATGTTAACGCCTTCCGAAAACCTCCGGCGAGTAACCAGGGCGGGCAGTCAAGTTGGTCTTGGTTTCGTTGCCCTGTTGTCTCATGAACCTGTTTCCTTGCACATCCCGTCGTCGCCCTTCTCCGAGTGGCAGGGGGGATGACACCACGCCGGGTCTTATACCGCACCAAGCCCCCATAACCAAGCTCGCCACAACCATAAGATCAACATACGGCAATAACCAACCGATGTAGACGCAGGGAATGGAGTTGCCGGAGCCTAGTAGACAAGGCGAACGAAACACAACCATCACACCATCACCACAAAAAACCAAGGAACCAACAGCGACAACGACAGCCCAAACCAGGAACCAGGCGCTTACCTCGGCAACCCCCAAACGGGGGAGACGGGGGAAAGGCGGGAAGCTTTTTTTCTTTCTCGTGGCGCAACCAATCCGGACCGCCGGGCCAGTCCATTCGTCGTCAGCCATCCGGCCGTCGCGTCACAGCCTCGCCTCGTCCCGAGTCCTGCCAGCTGACTGGTCAATGGACCACGGGGGGGTTCACTCGTTCGTTCGTTAAAAAGACCCAAATGAGAGAAGCTCGTGATCAGCGGCTGTACCTCGACACCTCGATACCTCGAGAACAAAAGTGTGGGGGGGGAGCACGGGGAGGTCTGGCCGTCCGTCCCCATCCCCCGTCCCCTGTCCCCCGTCCCCATCCGGTAGTTATTGGCTTATTGGCTGCAGGGATGGGCATGGCATGGGGATGATTGGCACGTTGTGCCGTGTTTGCACGCCAGATTTGCCGGAACGGGCACGATCTGGGCCTTTCTGGTGAATTGGTGAACCTACCTGGAACCTTGGTTCTTTGGGTGGTGGGAGGTTGTGCGGGAGGTTTTCCCAACGCGGAAGGTTGCGCGCGGATCGGTGGTTTGGTGAGGCTGTCGAGCTTGGCGGCGGTAGTGGTTGTTGAGACATCAGTCACGTCCTCGTTCATCGTCGGCTTCATCTTGGCGGTGGTCATTCCCTGCTTTTCGGTGTCCGTGAACACGTGCCATACGCCATACGCCATACTGCAGAATGGATATGTGGATGTAGACGAGGATGGGTTGGCCTTCAACCCTTCGGACTTGTGAAGGAAAATCGCACGACCCAAGGGTGTACTCCGTCGCATGGTGCTCGGCACCACGGGAAGAGCTTTGGCATCATATCTCATTACCTGTCCCCAGTCTATGTGGTCGGTCACCCAACGGCCGTTTCTTGCCGTCCACCCTCTGACCCCTCCCTCCGTTGACCAGACATCACCCAACAACAAGCTGGGCGCTGACTTGACAGTACAACTCTCAACCCAAACAACGGCAATAACCAGCCCGCTGCCTTTCTACCGCCCATCTATTATTGTTTCGCCCAACCGCAACGCCGTCGATCGATATGTCTTGGTGCCAATACCTCGCTCCTGGAAACAGAAGCCAACTCGTATATAACCCCTGATTAATTCCATGCCTCCAAGCGAGACAACCACCCGTCCTATCAACTTTCTTTTCATCCGTCTAGTAGATCCCCTGCGTCCTATATTGGAAGGTATCGTAACTGTTGTCTCAGGTCAGCGCCGCCGATATATCACTAACACCATCAATTCTTCCACCTCCACCACTCATAGACGATAACCCAAGTAAACAAGAACTCACAGTCGTGTGTAATAACTGCCAAGCGCCTTGGCAATAAGGTCAGTCTCGACGAATTGCTCGGCCTCGTCAGCGCTCAGCTGCAGCTGGAAGCGCTGGCGCAGCGCTGTCGTGACCTGCGTGACGCCTGCGCCGAAGCAAGGCATCTTGGACTCGCGGCCCATCATGGAGACTAGGTCGATGATGTTGTCTGCCGAGCGGCGGAGGGCTGTCGCACAAACGACCAACCACATTAGCATGCATTCATTCGTTCCCCACCATGGAAGGACAAACATACCCTGGAAAGCCTGCTTGCAAAGGCTCTTGTAGTCCTCAAAATCCGGCGAGCCCACCCCGCCCAGGACATCGACATACTCGTACGTGAGCTTGAACGGGGCGGCCTCGAAGCCGACCGACCCCGGCGAGTTGGACAGCATGAAGCCAAAGTCGATGTGGATGATGTGGCCCTCGTTGTCGATGAGCACGTTTCCGTTGTGGCGGTCCTTGAGCTGCAGGACATACGAGATGACGCTGTAGGCGGCGAGCGAGCGCTTGAAAGCGTCGACGCCCGCGCGGAAGGACTCCCCCTCGGGGATGCCAAAGGCCTTGACGAAGTGGTCCTTGAGCGTGGCGATGCGCCGGCGGGGGTTCTGGCCGGATTCGATCGAGGCCAAGGTTAGGCTGCGCTTGATAGAATGTAGCGACACGCCATTGGCGATGGTCTCGATCAGGCCCGACGACTCGCCCGTGACGAGGATGCGCATGAGTTTGACCCACACGGGCACGCCAGCGTCGACCCAGATCTTGTGGCAAACACGGATCAGCTGGCAGGCGAACGCTTCCTGTCGGAGATCTGAGCCCGTCTTGATGATGACGCTGACGAGGTCCCAATTCTTCATCCACCCATAAGGCGACGACTTGCGGATCCGCTCCTTCTTCGTCTCCCATGCTTCGCCAAAGACCGCGGCGCTGGGGTCGTCGCGGTCACCCTTCCGCTGGAGACCGCCCGTCTTGATGTCGTTCTCCATCCTGTCGATGCCGGCATTGGCGTTGAGGTTCGGCTCGACGGTTGCGTCCTCGGCAACTTCGGCTCCGCCGGCGTCGGTCGCTGCCGCTGTCACGGCGGCTGCCTGTGCCTTGGCCATGATGGTGTCGAAAGTCGGCCCTTGGCCATCGTCCAGATCAAAACTCTGCTCTTCCAGGCTTTGCATGCTGGCGATGATGCGCGCTCTGATGGCGGCTACTTCCTGCCGGGGCCGCTTGCCGCTGGTTGCGTCGAGCTGTGCAAGCATCTGCGACGCAGTCCGCATGTGCACCGCAAGCGCCGAGAAGTCTGGCTGATCGACCGAGTTGTGGCGCGGGTTGGTGAGCGTCAGCCTCCTCCGGTTGAGGGGCGGGCTGAGTGACTCGGAGGAGCCTCCCGAGCTGCGTGACGTCGTCGTCTTGTCCCAGGAAGCGGGGGCCGGGGTGCTGTTGTTAGATAGGCGCAGCGAAAAGTGAGACTGGGTCGGCGTCGTCCCGAATAACTCATCATCCTCGGGCCTGAGCATTGGCGAGCTCCCGAGATCCCCAGATGACGGCTCAAAGACGCTATCGACAACTGGCTCCGGTGCCCGAGAAGCGGGCGGCATGCTCGGTGAGTCGGACAAGTCGAATATCCGCTTCCGCGTCCCTTGTTCGTCCAGTAAGGTTGTGAGCAGCCTCTGGTTGTCAGGGGTGTCGGGGTCGAAGGTGAAGTCGTCGCGGAGTATTTCTACCATCAACAAGTAGGGCACTTTCTCGGCACTATTCAAGACAGTCGCTTCGGCCGGGTTAAGCCGGACTATTCTATGGTGGCGGCTCCTGGACGGGGAACCATCCACCAGGTTAGGGGGGCAGAGGACTGGGATATCAACCTCTGCCGGGAGATCCCGTGCGATGAGGGCGAGTTCCGCGCGGAGTGCGCTCAGCCGAGCCGGTTTTGGCACCACAACAAGGCGATTCGAAATATCCTCAAGCGCGGTCAGGAAGGCGGTCTGGCAGCGGAAGTAGTTTTGGCGGAGAAGTCGTGTCTTTTGTAGTTGCGTCATCTCACCCTGGCTGAGCAGCGTCTTAACATGATGAGAGTGTCTCCTCGGGGCTTCGGACGGGCGTAATCCTGCCGACACGGGCGTGGTTGGCCTCGTAACAAGACGGGGCCTGTGTTCCGGCAGTGGTAATGAAGCTGAGCTAATGCGCGCCTCCAGGGCGAGGTTCTCGAGATGGCTGGGGAGTTCTTCTTCCGCCTGCTCCCGCGGTGCGGGGGTGGACTCATTCGTTTTCGACCTTGAAGGAGGCCGAGGGGTCTTCAACTTGAGCTTGCCCGGCGATTTCCGCGGACTGGCGTGCGTCTTCCCCTCTTGGCCACTTGTGCTCCGCCCCTCTTTGGCGCGTCTTGACCGGGTGCTGCTGGCAGAGATGGTGTGTGCTCGAGTTGGTACGTTATTCTTGGCAGTAACGGCGGTGGGCTCGGAGATGATCTCGACGACGGGGCGTGGTTTCCGGGCCTGAGCAATGGCTAGAGGTCCAGCCCACTGGGGCAACAAGGGGCATGCGATGCTCGCAAGGACGAAGCTTCCCAAAACCGTGACCGGCAGCACATTCTCGGTGATCCTCTCCTGCCGTACAGTCTCGGAAATTCCAAATACAACGTGTTGAACCTTGTTATACACCCTACGACATGTCTTGAAGGCCTCGGTCTGGGGGTTTGGTGCGAGGTCGTGGAGGTAGGTTTGGAAGAGCCAGAAGGTCTATGTGAGCGTTAGCCATGGGCTGTCGAGTATGCAGAAACGGCAGGGGAGGGCGAACCAGCAGCGCAGCGGTAACCGACTCCTCGCATAAGTCCAATAGAAACTCTTCCAACGCCATCGACTCGTTGTCGACGCTTATTATCAGGTGACATAGTTGTGGCAGGAAGAACTCGATGTCCTCGTAGGGGAATTGGCGGAGCTTGCTGCAGAGGACATAGTGAATACCTATATGATCCGCATAGCGACTAGATGCCACACAGTCAGCCAGGCGGTGCACTAACAGGAAATCCGGGATTCCCAGGGTACGCACGAGAGATACGACACCGAGAGGAAGGGGTTCTGATTGAAGACATCGCTCTCAAGGAACCGCTTTAGCAAGTCCCAAGACATTGGTCGCGAGTGCGTCAGGGAGGGCGGCTAGATTGGGCAGAAGAGAGGGTGATCGGACGGTATTGGGGGCTGTGGCGTCGATGGCGGTGGTGACGATAGTGGTGGTGGTGGTTATGGTGGGGGGAGGGCCTAAGCATGCTCATGTCCTCCAAGCCCTGTTCATTGGCGCTTTTCGGCGGCGGTAGTGCTAGCAAATCCGGGTGTGCGCAACTGATGCAGCATGGCTGGCTGCCCCGTGAATCTCTCTCGATGTGTCTGTCGGTCGCGTCGCTAAAGTCAAAAAAAAGCTGGGCGTACCTCGGAATGCTGAAGCTTCGGAACCAGCCGTTCGTGTTGAGGACAACTGAGCCAAAGCGCCAAAGCTCCATTTGGCCAAATTCACAGGGGGTTGCTCCGCACTCCTCGTTCGTCAGTGTGCCCCACCTGCCAATGTCTCCGGCTCGGCGCCCCGAGCCCCGATGTGAGAGGAGTAGTTGGTTATGTGTGCTATATACGAATACCTAGGCAGGTAAGTATATTCAAAACTCTGGGAGTTGATCACAGTCGGCATTCCTGATTGAGTCTGTCTCTGTCCCTTTGGCGTCGTTTTCATTCTGGTTTTTTATATGCCCTAAACCATCCCTTCCTTGTTTTGCTTTGTCCGTTCTTCGATTCTTGACACGGTTAGGCTCGGCATTCGGGACCGTTCAGGGGCTCCTCAGGGGTTATGACATGGGAAAGCAGTTGTCTCGCTCTGTTGGCCATATAAATTTTCTTGCTGCCTATGACAGCAGAGCCCCCAGTTTCCTGTGGGAAATATGATGCAATATAACGTCAAAAACTCCAACCCTACCATTAAAACCCGCTTCACCAAACAGACCGTTTCCGCTGCCGAGTCCACTGCCCTGGTTTCTTCCGTTTCTTCGGCTTGACCCTCTGCCACCAAGACGTCAGCCAAACACGCCCTCCAATGTGCACATCGCCCCATTGTTGGACTCACCTTGTATTTGACCCTCTCGCTCCCGTCCGGCATCTGCACGATCTCGTGCTGGATATGGTACCCAAAAGCCGGCAGCACCTTGGCCCACACGAGCCAGTACCCAGTGCCAATGACCAGCAGGCTGGTGCCTAGCGTGGGGAAGACATAGTACGGCACAAACAGGAGAAAGTCATTATCAATGAAGGGCGCCACCTGTACGAACAGAAGTGACAAGATCCAGAAAATGGTCAACAACGGCGAGCTGCGGAATGTCGTACGCTGCTCGGCCCAGCGTTCTGAGGGGGCAAAGTTAAGGTAAACGAGGCCAAGAGCGAGAAAAACTAAAGCCAATGTTAGATGGGCGTGGGAAGGAGTGACGAAAAAGAGAACGTACGTTTAATCCAGTTGCCGCTGTAGATGAAGACGTTGGTGACGAAGCTGTAAACGTCTGGAGTTCGGCAGCCGAGGATGAAGATCACTGTGAAGATCCAATGCAAGAAGATGGCTCCGGATGGTGCGTTGAACGGCCAGTCGCTGGCCCAAAATCGGGAGAACGGCAGCACGCCCTCCTTTGAAAGTTCTTGTTTCACTCGAGGCATAGCAAAAGATTGCGCAAACGCATTCCCAAGCGCGGAAAGGCCGATGAAGAGTGGTACCACCCTGGTTACGAATGAGCTCTCGCCCCATACGTTTTCGAAGAACTTGGCCGCAACAACCGTTTTCGCGTTCGCAATTTCGATCTTGCTCATGGCCGCAAACTGTATCAATTAGTAGGGGGCTCTCCAGCATCCGAATATGTGGGTTCTTACATAAGATATATTGGCCAGCACGTAAAATATCGTGACCGCCAATATAGAAATCGGTGCTGCCCTCCTCAGCGTCTTTGGAGCATTCCGAACCTCGGTGAGGACGTAGTTGGCGTTCTCCCACCCGCTGTACGAGTATAAGACCTGTAGCAGAGCAATTGAATACCCGCCGGCTGCCCCCGCGGGGTTGTCATCAGGGGCCCTCGACGAGCCGGCACCGTGAAAACTCGAGAAGTTATCGGGCCGCGGCGTTGCCGTCCTGCCGGCGAGGGCGGCAAATCCAGTGCAAACGAGTAGGCTAAGCATGACGAGCTTAAAGGCACCGAAACCATTGCTCAACCAGATACCCCACCGCGGGGCGAACGCGTGAATGAGGCAGACGACTGGGATTGTGAGTTACTGTCGAGGCATGCTTGTGTGCTGTTGGCGGCATGAACTCACCGGTGATGGCGGCGATGGCAATTCCCTGATTCATCCAAGTCCCCTCTTGGGAAGACTTTGTGGCAGCGTGGAGCAGGTAGCTGCTGAAGCTGATGCTGTTGCCCGTTGAGATGGCGAAGAGGACGAATTGTACTGTTCAGGGGTGAGCGGCCGGTATCATTTCGGGGGCTGGGTGAGACAAACCTGCAAAAACACAGGTGGCCAGATATCTTGGCCGTTGATACACTCGCTCCAGCTGGGTGAGAGCATATCGCGTCAGCCATTTACTTGACATGTAAGAGGGGAGGGCCGTGGCTCACATAGACCTTTTCCCCACCCGACCGCGGCAAAGCGGTGCCATACTCAAGGTAGACAAACAATCTAATCAAGGTCAGCGGATAAACACGTCAACGCAGTGTCGATTACCCATACCCGCTACGGCAAGTTAGCCCAAATTCCTTAGCAACTGGACGCGAAATGGATTGGAACTCACCAAAAAGTCATCACCCCGCCCAAAACCCAAAAGAGCAGCGTCGCTCCCACGCTATTAAGATAGAATATAATCCCCGATGGAGTTGAATATATCCCCGCGCCAACCACCCGGTTAATGATAAGAAACGCCGTTGACCATGTCCCTAATTTCCTCTCTAGAGAGCACAGCAATGTTAGGAAGCGGGCCCCTTCACCTTACCAGCGGAGAAGGAGAAGGGCACGACCAACCTTCGGGAAAAACGAAGTCGCGGTAATCGTCCGATTCGTCGTCTCGGGCGGCCACTGGCGAGACCCCGTTGCTGTAAATGGTCCCGCCATAAGCACCGCCATACATCGCATGCTCGTCACCGGCGCCATGAGCTTCGGGATCCTTGCTGGCCACGGGTTGCTCGAAAATCTCGGGTTCTTGCATGTCGACCTAGCTGGCTGTCCTTCCAGCTCGATACCGCCGTCGCTAATTTTGTTGACCCTTGACCGAGACCCCTCGTCTCTCCAGCGCGCGGGCGCTGTGACTGGGCGCTGGCCGCCAACGAGGAGAGTCCAGGATGGGCTTGTTGAAGCCCCTCGGTATGGCGCTCGCAGTGCCGAATCACGCACACAAAACCCCAACGCCCGCCTCAGTGAGTTGCCCGATATTGTCACGCCATCCACCGACGCCAAAAACGGAGACCGCGTGGCCCCGGAAATCGTAATCCTCCAAGCCCGAATCTGACCCCGGGCGCAAAGTCGGCAAGCAAATCGGGAGCGGAGTAAGCGCACAGCTGCTTTCAACCCCGGGTGTGCCGAATGGGAAAGTAACTGTAGGCAGGCGAGCAGGCACGCAGAACCAAGCACGAATGAATACGCAGTACACAGCAGTGAATCAACAAGAGTCAAAGCGGAGAATGGCAGTTCGGAAAACCCACAGACCCAAACTTTCAGCAGAGCCTCATCTCAATCTCACGGGCGACAACTCCCCAGAGAGCGAGGATGCCCCCCGGGCAGGACACCGACCAGGGCGGAGCAACCCTGCCTCAAGCCATGCACGATGCACGGAACCTGCGCGAGCTGGGAGGCTGAGAAAGGACGAAAGGGTTCCATTCGCCGTCCACCAGCCACTGAAAGGTTGAGCCAAGCCCCAACAAGCGAATGCCTGTGCAACTAGCCAGGTGGGTGGACCGGGGGTGCAGACTGCGAGAACACAACCCAAAGACCGAGATTGGTTTGCGCGAGCGAATCGTCTGGGTTCGATAAGCGTGGAAAAGACAGTGCGCTGGGAGGGTGGTGGGGCGACCCCAGATTGACCTGGATGAAAGACAATTGGAAGCGACGTAACGATGGAACCATACGGTGGGCCGGGTCATCAAGCCATCCGAGGTGACACTTTAATATAGTGAGCCTGTCTGTGGGGTTGCGCTGACCGAACCTTATATTCATGGCTTGTCCCATTCCATACAACCACGCCGCAAGACAAAAAGTGTGGTGATTCTTCGAACTCGAGTCGGGGGAGAAGAAGTTCATCGAGATTCCAAGGCTGCTGCCTCGTGGCTTCCCAACCCCTGTCACACTTTTAGCTCAGGAGGGCGGGGCCTCAAAACGACGTTGCCAAGATTACTCCCCACCCCCTGTTTCTGCTCGCGTGCTCACTTTTGACAGTGCCGACATTGCGTTCCATTCATCACACTACCGACCACATTGCGCTCGGACGACGAGAAAGACGAGCAAGGCAACAATAGACATACCCTCGAGTGCGCCAGTTTCATCACCGGTAAAGCAAGACTCGGTTGCCGCATGGACAAACGTTCCACTACCGCGCAAGGGAAAGCTGCAAGCCGATTCAATATTCGGAGCCTGGGCTGACTGCGCCGCGGTTCTCTGCAACCGCTTATCTGCAAGCGCGGCACGCACGGCTCCCACGGTTCAGCTGCCGGCCCTCGATCCTGCTCCCGTCTGCAACCTACCGCGCCGCCCCCCCAGCGACCGAGAGCGACAACCAAAAAAAAAAAAAAATTGATTGAATGTTCCTTTTTTGATTACGCTCGCATGGCCCCTACCAAGAACCCCATATATGGTTCGATATCTACAGAACAACTCTTCCATATCGCAGTTCACATAAAAACGCCCCGTGCCTGACGCCCCGTAAACACCGCCGCTTCCATATCCTCCTGTATGTGGTTGAGCCGCGCACGCTGGCTTCTTCGCTCCCGGATCACTTCCTCCCATTTGCGCAGGAAGTTGTCTTGGCCTAGTGGAATGTTGTTAGAACCCCGAACCGGCTGCAAATCGAAGGCAGGGAGCACAAACTCGGCGAGTTCTCAAACTCAATCTCAAACGTCTTGTACGAGTCGTAATCCGACCCGACGTCCACCTCAACGGATTTGCCGTGGATATCAAATCCTGCGGGCTCGGATCCTTGGTTTGGTTCTAGGTGCGCTGCTGCCCGTCAACAAGGGGGTCCAGACACGAGACAATATTTCGAGAAACGAACCTTTCACAAACGGCCAACGCGACGCCTTCCTTGAGAACGGCGTTGACCCTTTTTTCGGTTTCAGTTTCACTAGGGTTTGCCCTTCGGCTTTGATCTCAAGATCATCCGTGACTGTCTCCAAGTCAGCACAACTGTCGCCCGCGATGCCCCGTGATTGCGCAAACGTACTAAAAACGGTAATATACCCCCCCGACCGTCCCAAATACAACATCAGCCTCGAAGAGCTTGCCACAAGCCTCTCCCTCAAAGGCCCCGATAGTGCGGTGCCAGCTGTGACGAACGACGCGACATCCGATTGCGCTGTTCGCCGGCCTTCTGGTTCGTGCCAAATCTGCAACCGTGCACTTGAAAACTGGGTGCTCGACCGGCTGCTGGCTTTGCTAATCGTTACCATGCGGACGCTGCCGATGTCCAGGACGACCTTTTCGCCCGTAAGTTTAGCCTGGAAGTCAAAGAGTTCTAGAACGCTGCGAGTTAGTATGGGAACTTCCTTGATGAGTGAGCCGTGTGCGTTATGCTGTACCTTTCAAGCTCGAGAACTGATAGATGCCACTTGGCCTGCTATTTCCCTGCGTATACCCATTGACATTGTCGTTTTCCTTATCGCGAATGTACACGACATTGGGCAAGCGCTGATCGTATGCGTATGCGGGGATGAGTTGCGCATTGCTTGCTTTCACTGCACATGGGCGTTAGTAGCACTAGCGAGAGAGGAACAGTGTGGAACCCGTACTCCAATATGTCTCAGATTCGTAATCGACCTTGCAATGGAATCTAAGATCGTTCGTGAGGGCGCTTCGAAACACCTTCAGCACCCCGTCTCGGAAGACTGGCGATGTGAGGGTCTGAGTACTTTTGACGGGTCTACGTAAAAATCAATTAGAACTCCGATCGGTACGCCCCAATTGAGGGGGGTTCGCTCACCCATCAAACAGCATATCCTCCCCTGGCAAGACATTATCCCGCCCCGTACTTGCCCCGTCACTCGCGGTAGATTGCGCATGATCATGCACAACCACGGGGGTCAGAGTATCGATATCGCCCGGTCCCGTATTCACATAAGTCGGTTTCCGTCCGACGAACGATGGCGCTGATATCGAAGGGTGGAGCGGATGATAGGGGTACCCAGTCCCAACCCCTTGCCCATCCCACGCTTCCTTGTCTGGTGATCCTGACGAAAAAGTTGAGGTCGGGTCGGAAGCTCGATGTGGAGGAGGCGGCAAGGGTGTGGCGTCTTCTAGGAGCGACGGGAGCCCCGTCGTTGCTGTTGCGTTTTGTCGCGAACTCTGAAGGTGTGCATATGTTTGCGTTGTGTAACTAGCATAGTTGACATTCGTCCAATATTGCGGCGCGGCGCCTGGGCTGGGGTAGTCGTGCGGCCCCCAGGACGCGGCCTGATAATGTGATGGCTGTTCGTGATGGGCATATGACGCCCTCGGTGAGGCCATCTCCCGCCCAGGGCTCCCTGGTATCATCGGTGCTCTGGGGGCGAGGTCGGGATCCGTAAGGGTCTCAGCCGCTTGCACTCCGCCGTCCGACATTCCGTACAACGGCCTTGCGCCGAAGCCGTTGATGCTGAGTTGCGCCATCGTATTCGAAACTTCGTGGATCGACGCTCTTGGCTCTGGCGCAGGGAAAGCGGCCCCGGCATACCCAGATCGAGTTGAGGGTGCGCCGGAGGAGCGCGAGTACGAGCTAGCATTGGACGGAGACCGTCCCCAACCCAGGCCGGTCCCAGGAGGGGCGTGTACGTGTAATTGCGGCGGCGGGAGAGAAGCTGGCGACCCTGAAAGGGTAGAACCTGACGCGTATAGAGAGGCTGGTCGTGCAACAGCAGCGGCAGCAGAAACCGGAGTCAAGGTAGTCACGCGACCTTCGACGGGGGTCTGATCTGGGATTTTCTCGATGCGATAGCGGCTCCCGTTGGAGGCCACAAAGATGCTTCGATCGGCGAGCTGGGTCGCAGCATCGATGGCTGCAGGATCGAAGCCGCTCTTGAAAAGGTCGGAAAAGGGAACAGTAGCCTCATCAAGGACAGGTGGAAGGCTGGGAGCCGGGGAACGACCCCGAGCTGGCATTATGGACGGTGCCGCGCAAGCCCCATCAGCTCAACCGGCCATGACGGTGTCGCGCTGGCATGGAGAGGGAGCGGATCGGCAGGTCGCATGTGTACCTTTCCGTGCCTCTTGGCCTAAGCATATGTAAGGGTTGCTGGAAATCCGCACGAGCGAGGGTAATCTGAAAAAGGGACGGAGCAGGGAAAGACATGGGGGAGGGCAGGGCAAGAAGGGTGGGAAACCGGGGTAAATTCTTGGGGCGCTGGGGAGCAGGCTGGGTTGCCCTGTCCGCCCCGGTGCTGCAGGCCCTCGTGCGGGCAGCTGGGGCTGCGTGGCTGCGTTGGTCCGGGGGTGTGCATTGCTCACCCCTCCCCGATTCAACCTCCCATTCGCGAACCGCTTCCTTACACAGTACGGAGGTTTGCGGGCATTGAAACCGAGTCGCACAGCTACATCGTTTGGGATAGGCCGCATCGCCTTTTCTTACCGGTTCAATAAAGCCATCCATACTGGCGGTAAGGCTGACCACAATTGACTCTCCTCGGGCAGCATGGAACCTAACAGTGGAGGTGGCGAAAACTCCCGGAACCTCCCGCTGCAGCACTCACCTATTGCTTGCCTGCATCCCACGCAGGTCTCGCCTCGCTGCAGCACCGTACTAACCGAAGCAACCTACCTCAGGTAGGCAGGTAGATAGATACCTTGCTGCCAGCTGCACTTCCGATAGCATCAATGGATCTCTTTTTGACTATTCGAGACGAAAGAGAGACGTCGAACTTATCGCCTTATCTGCTCGAGGGCAAGGCTCGCGAGGTGAGTCGCACACCGCCAGATAACTAACATGGATCATCCGGCACCAAAACGCCGAGTATGTACATCGGGTCAAACCCCGCAGCTCCTTTGACACAGTTGAGAAGCCAAGCAACCTACTTGTCCGTTGCGATCTATCGAGTTCGAAATCTACGGCAAGTAATTCCAGCACGCCGCCCGGTGGCACGAATTGCCCACTACCAAACACCATTTAAATATCGCTTATACAATGCCCCATCCCAACGCCCATTCCCCGCCCGTGAATATCATTTGCCCGACCATTCATTCCTCGTTCCTCAGTTGCCCGCTCCCCAAGCTAGCCTCAACCATGGAGACCATGGGACACGACACCAAGCCCCTGCTCCTCAACCCCAACCCTGAGCCCCTTACTGGCCCTTCTTCTTCCTCCCACCACCCCTCTTCTTTTTCACCCCAGCAGCAGCAGTAGCAGCAGTTGCCGCCTCACCGCCGCCACTGCCCATTTCCTCATCAGTATCACTATTCTCCGGTTTCCCCCGCCCGCCCTGGACTCTGAGCTCGCGCCCCTGCCACCTTTCTCGTCACCGTCCACCTTACCGACGATGTCCCTCAAGAAGTCCCACTGATCGTCGCCCTCGACCACGTGCTTGAGCATCTGCGCCGACACCCGCTTGGAGTTGCGCTGCCGCGCCACGTCGGCGCTCTTAGTCACCAGTGCCATCATGAACAGCTCCAGCGCCTTGCCCACCGCGATGGGCGTCTGCTGCGCCACCTTGCCAACCTCCTCGTCCGCCTGCATGATGCGCTTGATCCGTGCCGTCGGGAACTTGGTCTTGACCGTGGCCGCCTCGATGGACGGGGCCGCCGCTACCACCACCGATGCCGCCGCCGACGCGGACGCGGACGCGCCTACCGATGGCGGGGGGCTCAGGGACTCGTCCCCGGCTGTGTCGGACGCCGTCTGGGCGGCGACGGCGGCTGCTGCCGCGGCCGCGGCCGCTCTCCGAGGAGGCATCGCGTCGACCGATTCGTGGAGGTTGTTGTGTCTCTGCGCCGCCTGATGCCGAGTAACCGTAGGGATGGTGCGCCTGGGCTTGGGCAGCAATGAGCTCGTGCGGGAGTTGATGGGGATGTTGGTAATGCTGGTACTGGAAGCTATCACGGTAAGGCGGTTGGTAAAATGTCGACGGGTGTTGTTGTGGCCGAGGAGCTGGTGTTCCTGCCTGGTATCCGGTATTAGGCTCGCAAATATCCAGAGGTGGGATAGCTTGCTGCGCGAGGCGAATAGTATTCGTGCTGCTGCGAGGGGGAGTGTTGTCCTGCACCAACGCCAAATGATGCTGTTTGGCTTCCGTTTGGATTGTGTGTAGGGCGTGCCTGTGCGACTGCCTGGGGTGGCGTCGCAAGCTGGTATTGCCGGGTTTGAGGGACTTGACTGTTGTGTGGGTGGTGGGAGTTCGCAAAAGAAGCACTTGCAGGAGACTGCAGGTGCAAAAAGTTTGGCTGGGATTGCTGCGATAAAAACAGCTGGGTTTCTGCAGGTTCCGACGGGGGTGTGGGGCCCGAGTGGAAGGAAGACAGATCGGGGCTCTTTGGCGCATAAGTGTCGTCACCAGACATGACTTCAGCTCGCCGGAAAAGGACCAACTAAAACAAAAAAAAAAAAAAAAAGATACTTGGGACAAAGAACGTGACTGTCTCACGGACCTGCTTTATGATAGGCTGCCGTGGTCTTGGTGTTCGCTTCTTGGTCCCTTTGGGTGGGGCGCAGAGTCGCGTTTGCAAACGAACGAGTGTAGGAGCGGGGTGGTTGGAGCTTCAAGTAGGGCGAGTTAATAAGGTCGTAGCTCGCTGTGGCTGGGCCACAAAGGCGACAGCGAGCTTCAATCTGGGAGGGGCGAAATGGAGGGGTAAGGTTTGAATGTGGGGCATTGATGAGCAGGGAGAACTCCAAGTGGCCAAAAGAAAAATAAAACGACGCCAACCTACAATCAGGCTGGGATCGGCATCATTACTTGGCCGGAATGCTGGGATGAGTGCCCGTTTAAGCCGTTTCACAAACATCCACGCATTGCAGTTCGCCGCTTGGCATTCATTACCAGCGAGGCCAACAACTTCAATGATATCGCTGTCAGGTCATCAGTCTCTCCAACCTCTCCCATAAGCATTCTAGCGGCACAGCCGAAAGAATATGCTGACATATTTAGACGTATCTAACCACGGGATGCACTGAACTTGGCAGAAGTACGACGGGTCTGCTGTGCCGTAAATTGTGGAAAGGGCACCACATCACGTATCACAACAGCCAGTGACGGAAGTCTGGCTTGTACTGTGTACACTCGATGCTATTGTTTAAACTCTAGCCTACTAGCCGTGATACGCCAACACGCACGCACCAGTCGTCCATGATTGATCGGGCAGCCGAAGGGGTGGCTCTCCCTTGAAGCTGCTTCTTGATGCTTCCAAGCGCCGGCCTAGAAGCCACAACAAATTGATTCTACATTGCACACTAGTGAGTGGTAACAAATCAGATATATCGACCCGTTTTCTACCTCATGTGTAGGTATCTTACGAACCTTCTCGGTCATCCACACCGTCATGACCGGGACTTCCCCTCTATTTGAAAAGTTTCTATTGCTTCACTACCATGACAGTTGCCCAGCATCCCAGTTCAAGCTCCTTCCGTTCAAGTGGGCAGAAGGCCACGACTTCCACATCTGTAAGAATGAATGTGCCTGGCGCCTACCTCATCTGCCTGGAGACTGTCGGTGCATCTGCCCGTGTTCCTTCCGTTGTTCCAAGGTTGCCCCAAGAGTTGGGTCGCTCTTGCCTGCCAGCTCCAAGCCAGGGAAGACCCCGCTGCTCTTCAAGTTCTTCCGACCTGGGCACGGGAACTCCCAAGACCGATGAGCTGCTTCTTTCAACAACTCAACCCATCCGAAGTCGTCTGAGAACAGGCGGCCGCGACCCTTCAAACTTTCGATTCTAGACAACCGGAAAGCAAGAATCACCCAAAATGGGCCGCTGGGGTCACTGTAAGCCATTCGTGCCTACCTATAATTTTAATCTCCAGTTGCATGTTGGGAAGGCACTGTCAGCCTTCCAGGCCTCTTCAAGGCCGATAACGACCAAGACCGCGCGTACGAGCTCGCTCAGGAAATCGCCGGCGATGAAGATGGACCCGAGTCCGAGGCCCTCTGCTCCTTCGGATACGCTGGTCTCATGGCCGACGGGGTTAACATTCTTGACAAATCCGCATTGGAGAGTGTCCGCCAAAAGCTCGACGCTGGCCTTGGTGACAAACTCATCGGCAAGTACCGGGCCCTCGCGGCTGCTACCGACAACTCCTGGAACGAGCACGAAGCCAAGTATAAGGTCATCATTCTGGGTGCACTCCTGATGGGGACCGGCGCGAAATCAGAGACCACGACCTTCAACATCTCCGTCAGCTCGCTTCCGAGGTTCAATGCAACGAGAACTTCACAGTCGCCTTTGCTGATACAGGGTTTCGAGGTCCGGGTAAAAGGCAGTTTCTCGCCGCCCTGGACAATTACTCGCCCGGAACTCCACGCAGTTACGAGCCAAGTTGCCGTACGTGAAAACCGCCCTCTCCTGTTCCCTCTCTCCCTTCCTCACGGCCGCTCCTGAGCGGGCTGGTAAAGCAGCTCCAGCCGTAAACTGCCCCCCCGTATACCTAGAGTGACAATAATGATCTAACATATCTGAACAGATGCCTGCGGTAAGTCAAAGCAGGACACTGGAAAGGCCCCCTTGAAGTGCAGTGGTTGTCCGAAGGGCTGGTTCTGCGATAAGGTAGGTTGCAAGCACAGTGCTGGCCTGGGGTGGCGGAGTTAGCTAACACATGAGTAGAACTGCCAACGGAGTCTATGGAGTGTCCACAAAAAGAGTTGTGGTGCCAACGTTAATGTTATGATGTTGAACGTTTAGAAAGTCGTGGAAAGGCAGAAAGGGTTGTGAGGCCTGGGGTGATGATGAGTTACCTGGTTAGGCAAGGTCGGCTTAGTCAAACTCAATCTAGCTGTTTCGAGCCCACGGGTTGGTGTTTTCATTTGTCATTTGCGGCTGATCCTCATGCCCGTCCACACCACTCAAAACCCACCGTCGCGACAGTCGGCGAATTTGTCCTCGAGGCAACACCATCGAGACGCCAACAATTTTCGCAGGTAAACAAACCCATTGTCTTTACCCCTTGCCCAATATATTACATTTGCTGCCCCGTGATGACATTTTTTGAGCAACACAAAAAGCCAAAGACGAGAACACAGCGTTGAAGAAACCGAGTCTTGCCTCTGGGGTCATCTTCGCTGACATGTCAATGCTGGCATAAATTTACTTGATCTAATCTGAGGGCACCCAACTCATTCTTTTGCATTCATGAACCACCGTTATGGGATCCGTTGTCTAATTTCATTCGTCATAGTCAATATTCCGTCCAGCCGGTCGTCGCGGTCGCCAGAAAGAAACAGCGAGGCAACAGGCCAGGCATGGATGCCCCCGATATCTACGTTGCTCTTCACGGCAACTTCGGCTTCTCGGAGCGTGTTGATGAGACCCTCAATGTCAGGTGCAAGCACCTCCTCCGTGCCATACGTGATGACGATACCTTGGGTCGGACTAGATCTCTCCCACCACAGAATATCCTTGCAACAGCCCGGTGACACTAACGGGTCTGTCGCGGGGATTCGGTTGCCCGCGAAATGTGTGCCATATCGACAGAGCTGCTGCGCGTCCAAGTAGTCGCTCGCAGTATTCTTATGCCGAGTCGAGACCAGCGTCGCCCAGGGCGATATTAACACAGCAAGTGCAGGTTTGGCGGGCAGCTGCTTCTTTCCGCTGCCATTTGCCCGGTTGTCACCCAAGCGGAGCAGCAAACACAGAATAAGCGTTGCACCTGCAGAATCGCCGCTTACACATACGATGGACGGATCCTGCGCCACCGCTAGGACGTGCTCGTAACCTTGCAGTGTCTCCTCGACTTGCGTGGGGAACGAAGCATCAGGGACGAGTGTGTACTCCAATGCGAAAATCGCCGGGTTCTTGTATCCTGCCGGACCCAGAACCGACAGCCATGTCAAGAGATACTCGAGATAGAAGTACGACGAACCCATCGAGAAGCCTCCTCCTGAATCTGTGTTAGCTTGAGGAAACCTGCGCTGCCGTACTCCTTACCATGGGCGTAATAGAGGACAAAGTCAGGCTTTACTTCTGGATTCTTGCTCATCCAAATGCCACGAAGCCCGCGCTACAAGCTGGTCAGCGTGAAGGACCGGGAAACAGATGCGCGGCAGCTACCTCGCGATGCTCCCACCAATGAATCGGAGACCCTAGATAGCCATGGCGGAGCAACCGGAACCAAAGAAACGGAAGCGACACCTCCCTCGCAAAGAACACCCGTCCTATCCTCGGCGGAATATTTCCGAAAGCGTACCGCACACAGCGGACCACGCCGTCCTCAAACAGCGACGCCCTCCTCTGGAAACCGCTCTGCTTCTCACGACGGGCCAGGTACCGGTCCCGGATGAGCGCAACAGGCAGCCCCGCCACTTTCGACCAGTCAGCATGCGTTACGAGACCGGAGGTCGGTGGTGGTACCACGACATGTCTGCCGCCGGGGACTTACGGAGGAACGGTAACGCCTGCAGAACGCACCACGCCGTCTCGAAAAAGCCGGCTCGCCAGATGAGCTGGGGCGCTAAGAAGAGGCAGAAGACGGCGCAGTCCAGATACGACACGGGCCCGAGATTCAGCTCACCCCGGTTAGGTGGGCGAGCGGGGGGTGCCGTGCTGGATGTAGTTCCGCGGGGGTCAGTTACACCAGTCTCACTGCAGATGTTGGGGACGATGCTGCCTACCACTCATTTTGGCTTCCGTCCCGCATTGGTCGGGCCGGGTGTGCTGAAGGGGAGGGTCGGGATGGTTTGGTGAAGCTGCTTGCTTCTGCAGTAGGAGGATGACGTCGGAGCGAGATGCAACACACCTACGGTTGCTTGGCAATCCCTCTCGTCTTGGCCCGAGTTCCTCCGACCATGGGCAAAAAGTCACCACTGTTTTGCAAAAAGGGGGAGGAGAAGGCCGACAAACGCGGCGATGTAACAGTTCAACCAGCTCGCACACAAATTCTTGGTCAGGCCCAGCACCATATAACACCAACAATGCATTTAATGGATAATATGTGTTTGAATCTACCCCCAACCCTCAATCACCAGATCATCCTCAGAACCAAGGACAAAAGCAATGCTATTCATTCCCACAGCTTCTCACTCATCGCCCCGGTACCTCAGCTCAGGTATTCTTCGCCACCTTCAAAATCCTCTCCTCCATCTCCTCAAACGCCGCCAGCACATTCCCATACTTCTGGAACACCCCATCGCGATACCCATCATCCACCTTCTGAATCGCCCCCTCCTCCTTCCAGCGCTTCCCAATCAGCTCATCAAACGTCTCGCCCTCGGCCCGCTCAAACGCCCACACGGCCTTGTACGCGCCGCCCAGCGCGCAGGCATTGCCGCCCACGTCCAGCTTGTACACGCCATCCGCCCCGCCCAGCACGTCGCCCACGATGCGCGCGATGGCCGGGTTGTGCGACCCGCCGCCGACCAGGTAGATGCGGCGCGGCTGCGCGGGCAGCTGGCCACCGCCGCCGCCGGGCGGGCTGACCAGGTTCTGGCTGCGCAGGCGCATGGACAGGGCCTGGGACTCGACGATGACGCGGGCGTCCGTCTCGGGCGCCCAGCCGGGCGGGTCCTGCTCCCGCAGCGCGCCGCCCGTGGCCGCGTCGCACGTGTAGCGCCAGGTGCCCGCGCGGATGTTGGGCACGATCTCGGGCAGGTAGAAGTACAGGCCGAGCTTGGCGCGGTCCGAGTCCGAGCGCACGTCGAGTGGGGGGGTCGCCAGCGCGTGCTGGTTGAAGGTTGCCCAGGGGTCGTTGTTGTTGTCGGTTGTGGCGGAAGACGGGGGCAGCGCGTCGCGCACCTTCTCGCGGGCCAGGCCGCCGTTCTTGTAGCACAGCATGAACATGTGCTGGCCCGGGGTGGTCGGGTGGTTGAAGAAGTGGTAGCTCGGGTCCGGCTTGTAGACGGGGGTGCTCATGAGGAAGGTGGTGCTGGTGCCCAGGCTGACGATGGCGTCGAGCGGGCGGAGCGGCAGCGCCAGGATTGTCGCCGGGTTGTCGCCCGTGAAGGGCGCGACCTCGCAGTCGGGGCTGAAGTTGTACCGCGAGGTGAAGTAGCTGCTGATCCGGCCCATGCTGCCGCCGCCGTCTTTCCGGACCTCGCCCAGCTTGCTGCGCAGGTCTGCCACGCCGTCCTTGCCGGCCGTGAGCTCGAGGAGCGGCTCGGACCAGTCGTTGCCGGCGATGTCCCAGAGGTTCATGCCGCAGACGTCGCTGATGTCCATGGGCGCCACGGCGCCGAGGAAGAGGGAGGCGAGGAAGGACGAGGCGAGGGAGATGCGGGATGTGTTGGCGTACATGTCCGGGAGCTTTCGCCGGAGGCGCATTATCTGTGTGCCGGTGAAGCGCTATTTGGCCGTTAGCCAATGTCCCTCTCTCGAAGGTATGTACCCTATGATCCCGTGCCCTCAACTTACATGATGCGCAGCACTCCCCGTAACCTCAGCCAAACGGTCCGCAGACCCCAGCTTCGCATCGAACTGGTCGCATTCCTGCTGTGTGCTGTGGTCCTGCCAATTCGGGGCGTACGGGTGCGAGAATGCCTCCTTTAGTTGGTCGACTAGCGGCCTGTCCGACTTCAGACTACCGAGCAGCGACTCGGCCTGGCGACCCCAGTAGACACTGCCGTGTTGCTGGCAGGAGCCGCTGATGCCCCGAATCCGGTTCAGGGGCGTCTTCTTCTCCTGCAACCGCTGCAGAACTAGGTCGAGGGACTCTAGCCACATGGCTACGGGGGCAAACACCTCGCCCTCATCCTCATTGACGAGCACGCCCTTCTTGACCTTGTACTTGGAAGCGAAGTCTTGGTCGAAGTCGACTTTGGCGTCCGCGACAACGTTGAGATCGGACTGTACGACAATTGCTGTAGGCAAAGATAATGTTAGTAGGTTAATTTACCCCAAGGAGTAATAGGTTTGCTCGGTGAGGCGCACCCTTCAGCTGCTGGGTCGAGAGGTCGAACCCCAGGTACAGGGGTCCGTCACTCATGATGATGAGGGTGTACTTGAAGGAGAGAGAGCTGTCTTTGTGAACCGCGAGACGAGATGGCGGGGTAAGTCCAATCAAGGAGTCTTCAGGCTTGGAAATCACACAAATTCAACAAGAACGCGAGGCACCACGGAACAATTCAAGCAAGACAGGAATTCCTCACGAAAATAATTAGAAGAGGGAGGGACCTCGTGCCCCTTTCAACCGACGTGGGGTCATCTTCGTCATTATCCCAAGCCATTCAGGTACACGGCATGGCGGGGCAGGCAGCCCCACGCTTCACAGAGAGCAGCCTCGTCTGGTGGCATTTAGCCTGAAATAGAATTGGTGGTCTCGACCAATGCCGAATGGCGACTGGCAGAAAAGGCTCCGGTGCGCGACATCTTTGGGCGATAGGCGCGCTTCCCATTGCGCATTGCCTGCCACGCTGCGTTTGCCGATGTCGCTCTTGGCTACTGGAGGGTTTCGAAATTCGGCTATTGTGTCGATAGAATGGATTCATCAATTCTTTGTGAGAAGATTGAGAACTTGCCCAGCATTGGCTGGACTCGGGTTTCCGAGTTGAGACGAGTTGGCTGCTGCATTGTTTCACTGATGAAACCCTAACCCAGACCCTCTAACCCTCTCTAGCCGCTAGAGCCACCTCACCCTGGAACCCTTGAATGATGAATGCCAGCTTGCAGCTGCACTGCTGCAGGCCCCTTCTCTTTTGGCAGGGCGCCCATTCCCGCCGCCAATGACAAAGGAACTAATCAGTTGACCCTTGGACTAAACAGAAAGCCTTCACAGAAAAACCAACCACCTGCCCCCGACGACTGTTTTATTTCACGACAGCGCCATGGACAGGCCGGGACCTCACGCAACGGCCTGAGGAAAGAATGCGCGCCTCGGTAATTTGGGCAAAACCATTGACGCCGGCGCTAGTGGTCCTAGGACTCCACGTACTCGCCGCCTATGGCTCCAGGTCCGGCTCTGAGACCGCCGTGACCACCGCGCCGGCTGCCACAGAGGTATGCGAGTCAAGAACCATCAACTACATCACCCACACCCTCCCACAGCAATGTCTGCGGACCTCATGGACGAGTCCCACCCCAGCCGTCACCCCCGACGACTCTACAATCCAGCCCGCCGTCACGACTACTGCCACGACAGCCACCGAGACCCCAGGGTCAACCCAAGACAATGAAACGGTACAAGAGCAGGACGCCCAGGAGGAGCTGGCCGCAAGCTCCTTCATGTCGTTCGAGGAGTGGAAGGAGATGATGTTGCGGAAGTCGGGGCAGGATCCCGCCAACATCAAATCCCAAAAGCAGCGCGAACACCGAGAACGGGACCCAAGCATGAACAGCGGGGATGTCGACAGCTTTGGGGAAGAGGGGGAAATCGCGCTCGATTTTGACGCCCTGGCCGAGAAGGTGTCTGAGATCACGTCGTCCACCGACAAAGCTACCCCAAAGACGGACGAGGCGGCGAAAGAAGAGCAAATCTTCTACGACGACGGCAAGACGCAGTACTACCGGAGCAAGGACGCCGGCAAAACGTGCAAGGAGAGATTCTCCTACGCATCCTTCGATGCCGGCGCGACGGTCCTCAAGACGAGCGCCCGTGCTAAGAATGCCAAGGCTATCCTGGTCGAGAACAAGGACTCGTACATGCTCCTAGAATGCCGCGCCAAAAACAAGTTCGTCATCGTCGAGTTGAGCGACGATATTCTTGTCGATACCGTCGTCCTAGCCAATTTCGAGTTCTTCTCTAGCATGATTCGCAAGTTCAGGGTTAGCGTCAGTGACCGCTACCCCGTGAAGTTGGACAAATGGGTAGACCTAGGCACCTTTGAAGCCCGTAACGCGCGAGACATGCAGGCTTTCTTGATCGAGCATCCTCAAATCTACACCAAGTACCTCCGCATCGAGTTTCTGAGCCACTGGGGCAACGAGTTCTACTGCCCGGTATCACTGCTCCGCGTCCATGGCACCCGTATGCTGGATACGTGGAAGGAGCCAAACCACGATGACGAGCCGGAGCAGATTCAAGGGTCAACCCAAGAGCCTGCAGCGGAGCCGCAGCAAATGCAGGAGCCAACAAACAGTGAAAATCCATCAGTGGTTGAGACTGAGGAGATTGCTCCCCGTGCCTCCATAGAAATGGGCCTTAGCCCCTGGCGTCCTCTTTTCCAGGGGAATTTCTCACTCCAAGTGTGCGAACTACGTTCGCCAACGACGGCCGATCCCACACCTGTCGAGTCAGGTTCGGTTATACCACCCAAAAAACCTGCCGCGGCCCCCGATTCGGTGACTCCGCGCCCATCGGCACCCTCAGTCGACGACGCACCTCGGTCCCGCCCAGGCAATTCGTCCTCGTCCGAGCCCGCATCTCCTGGAGCGTCCGTCTCCCAGGGGCATTCCGGGGGTGCTGCCGCTTCCAGCGCCCCTTCAACACCACCGCAGGCCAACGATAATACAGCCAGCAACTCAGGTCAGAAACAGTCGGATGGCAAGGGGGACACCGCGGAGAACTCATCTACCACCACAACCACCCCCCGCAACAAGACCAGCTCCGTCTCCTCCGCGTCTGCCTCCCCTACCGTACAAGAATCTTTCTTCAAGACCATGACCAAACGTCTCCAACTCCTCGAGTCCAACACGTCCCTCTCTCTCCAGTACATCGAAGAGCAGTCCCGTTTTCTGCAAGAAGTGCTCCTCAAGATGGAGCGCAAGCAGATAACGCGAGTCGACTCCTTCCTTGACACCCTCAACAAGACGGTCCTCTCCGAGCTCCGCAACGTGCGCACGCAGTACGACCAGATCTGGCAGAGCACCGTACTCGCCCTCGAAACCCAGCGTGAGCAATCCCAAGGCGAGATCGTCGCCCTCACCTCTCGCCTCAATATCCTTGCCGACGAAGTCGTCTTCCAAAAGCGCATGGCCATTCTCCAAAGCGTCCTCCTCCTCGCCTGCCTCGTCCTCGTCATCTTCAGCCGCGGTGGCCTCGCCGCCCTCGACAGCGCCTCCTTCCCCAATTTCCCCCCGGCCTCCACCGGCACCACGTACCGCCGCTACGGCTACGCCCGCTCCGACTCCCTCTCCGGCATCTCCATGCCCAGCTCATCGCCCCCACACCCGGGCCCTAACGGCCAGCCACCAAACGGAGCAGCTGCCGCCCAAAACTACAGCAACAACAACAACAATAATAACAACGGTAACAACCTCGCCACCTCCGCCCTCCCGCGCCACCTCTACCCGACGTCGTCCTCCGCTTCTTTCCGAGACAAGACCCTTCCCCTAACCCCGCCATCCGAGTACAGCAGGGAAAGCACGCCGGCAACATCACGCCTCAACCACCTCCACCACAGCCCCGAACCGCGCTTCTATGAGAAGCAAGACCCGGACCAGGACCAGGACCCCGAGCAAGAACCAGGGCAGGAACAGGAACAAGAACAGGAATACGGGACGCCATCGCGCCCACGCCCACGTCGACGCCACACGGCGTCTGCGGCATTGACAACAATGCCAGCATCGGACGCAGATGCCGAGGTCTCTTCCATTGAGATAAATCCCGGCATGACAGAAGAAATCGCATCTCCGCCACGAAGGGGAGAGGAAGAAAAGGGGCAAGAGGTGCAAGAGGAGGGGAAGCCACCGTTGTTGAGAGCCCGGTCATCGCAGCTGGGCGGGCTTAGGAAGCCTTTACCGGCGCTGCCCGAGGACCCGAGCTAATCGCACTGGTACTTACCTTAAATGTATTGACCGTAATGAGCCCCGTGTCGGTTCTTACCTAGATCCATTCTAATTCTGTTTTCCTGTTTTCTAATCCTTCTCACAATCCCATTGGAACTCCCTGCAATGGCCATTTTGATAAAATCACTCTCCGTGACGAGCTCGAGTGACAACAGGATGGAAAGGTAACGCTAATTGAGAGGCCAAAAGCTATCTCCGGGAATCTTAGCGATGCTGGATAATTGTCCGGGTCATACTCAGCCGCCGTCCGACTGCTCAAAAACCAGGCTCTGCGATATGGGACGACCTTTCCTAGACTACCAAGGCTTCAAGAACCCCATAGTCCAATCCCAAATGTCGTCCCGCTTCTTCACCTGCCGTTCCCCTCTCTTTCCCCTACCCACACTTTCCCTGAACTCTTTTTTTCTGGTTTATTTCGTGAAACTGGAGCCAAGTAACGCTGCGATATCATGCTTTCCCTCCGTTTCCGCCCAAAATGTGAACGTATCTGTAAAGAAAGTGTATCTTGAAGACAGCAAATGAATTGCAACGCAAATGGTGTCCACCTCTGTCGACTTCTCAAACATGGCAAAGCAAGCTAAGCCAGCGCTATTCCGCGGGGTGAATATTAACGTGTCTCGGCATCCCACCAAAACTCCTGTGATCTGCGATGTTGGCGTTCCCCGTGGAGCGCCCTCGTGGCGTCTACTGCTGCTGTCCGAAGTATCCGTGCTGCTGGGCGTGAGCATCGTAGTCGTACTCCTCCAGGGCCGCAAGCCTGGTGCCACGGTCGTACTGAGAACGCCGGCGGCGCTGCTCATCACGGAAATGCTGGCCAGCGTTGGGCGTGAAGAGCCCTAAAATAACAATGATTTAGTCAAGTACATAAACCCAAGCCAAAGCCTACTACTCACCGACATGCTCAGCATTCTCGCAGCTGCGCTTCATTTTGGACTGGTTGTCAGGCTCCGGGAACGGTTCCTCCTGGCCAGCCAGATCCGGCCTTGGCCCATTACAGGTAAAATAGAGCTGAAATTGTTAGCCCAAGTGTAAGGCACGACAATAGGAACGGGGCTCACCTTGGGTCGATAATGAGGCGCTTCCAGCATGACGGAGCTGTTACGAAATTTCTGAACCAGACAATCTTTCCCTTGAATGGCTTCGAAGCGTCAGCATGGAATCCAAACTTCTCGAGTGAAATCGTTAGAGAACGTACTCGCGTAGGAGATCTCGGCGACCTTGTCGCTCTTGAAGCAATTCCAGCGTTGGTTGCCTCGGGCATTGACGAACTGATCGCAGTCAGATATACAAGCCTGGGAAGACTGTGGGGGTTCAAGGAGTGGTCAAACATACATCAATTATGTCCAAAGGCTGGCGATTGTTAGCGACTATGGTGCTAGACAGACAGAATAGATGACTTACATCCACGAAATTGATGAAGGCGTAACCAACACTAAAAACGGACCGTCAATAAGGTAGGATGGATGCGAAGAGTAGGCTAATACTGACTTGCAGTCGTTGGCAAAATCAATGCGCAAGTACATGAAATCATACTTGCCCCAGCTCGACTCATCGACAATACGCTTTAACATAGCCTGATCGACTTTGTTGGGGATATTTCGCAACATGATCTACTTGTATGAGCTACCGCGCAATACGTGAGTATGGGGGGAAAACATACAGTAGTTCGGACGTCAATGCCGTCTCGGATGCGGTTGACATCAACGTGGTTGTGATGACCAGCGTTATTGAAGTATGGAGTGCGGTTGACCCGCATGGCGGTATGGCGGCGCGTGTCAAGACCTTGACGCCCATACGGCTGCGTGACTCTCGGGCTGGTGAAGTCGCTGTGCATTGCCATCGGTGTATCCGGAGGAGTAGTATTGAACAGTGGCGTCATAAGTGGCATGTTTCCTGAAATAGGAGTCATTGGCGCCATATGGGCAACACCCTGGCCGCGTGTCGGAGTCTGGTCAAGCATGTGCCGGCCCGGTGCGGCAGACTGGAGACCATGATAGACAACTGGATACACGGCGTATTGCTGCGGCTGGGCACGAAGTCGGGCAGGTGATTGATTGAACCGGCCAGGTGCGAGAAGTCCAGTTGGTCGCTGGGGGTTCTCTGAGGCACCCATACCTTGAAAGGCACTTGTAATGTTGTGATCGATGGTTTGCGAATCATTGAAAGGAGGGTTGTAACCCTCAACCGGCCGAGACATGGTTGCCACCCCGTTCAACTGACAAAGTGTCAGAATCAGGTGAACCCCCTGCGGCGAGAATGGAGGTTAGCGTAACTCAACGAAGAGGATTATTGCATCTTACACCCAATGTGGCCCTATTGAACTTGTGAACAACGGAGATGGCAATATCGGCGTCTGAAAATTCAACCGAAGCCCGGAAAGTCTGGTCGTTCGTCTCGCTTTGCCGCAGAAGCGCGAATACCTCACCCTGGGTTTCCAAGAAAGTATGGACGACAGTTTCAACGTGAACGGCGCCGAAATTGACACCTTCATCAAATGCAGTGATCTGAATCTTTCCGTCGCAGATCGGGTCAATTTGAGCCACCGGCCCACAGGCCTGGTACTCGTTAGCAAGATGAACCTGGGTTCTGCAAAGCAGTGAGAAGAAGTCTCACCTTGTGGAATTCGGCCGCGGCGATATACTCGGCACACCAGTGCGGAGAACCAAGTTGTACGTTGTCGTGGATGTTCCGGGCATCCCGTACGTTAGGAAGATGAAGGTAGACCCGGCCCTCGGCGGTGACCAGGTTGCGTTTACCCTGGCAAGGTGACCCAAGCCGCTCAAGCTTCTGTTTCTGCTGTTAGCGACGCATCGATGAGTTGATATAGAGTGACCAAAATCGTCTTACTGCGAGATATCCTTCAGCGTCAGTAACGGTGATCGGGAAAGAAGGTGAGTAGAGAACAAGGCAGCGCGAGATTCCCAGATCGCAGCTGAATTTGGCTGTAGCTTGGGGCGCGAAAAGTTGACGGTTGACACCAAGACCAGCATTCATTCCGGGCGACGCATTGAGCGATCCATGGGCCACGAGGGGAACCGAAAGAGGGCGAAATGCCGAGGCGGTAGGTGACAACTTCTGTTCTCCCTTACTAGTTGTGTTAGAGATGAAAGGATCCTTCTCAACGGTGGCTGAACTTGTATTGCCAAAGCCTTCGGGCCCGACATGGTGGTATTGGGCAGTGTGGCTGGAAGGGCCGTCAAGCCCGAGGGTGGTTAACAGCCTGTTAGATTTGGCCGGGTTCTCATCAGGAGAGAACACGGTGAGCTTGGTATCCGGGGTTCCCTCATATTTGTAAGAATCGACACCACCACTCGATGAGTGGGGAGAAGACGGGTTGAACGAGGCATCCCGCACATGCGCCATGGTGATGGTCGCCGTGCTGGTTCTCGTCACCGTGTGCCTTCTTGGCGGCGCTTTTGAAGCACGCGTGTATGAGGAAGTCGACGATGATGTGATTAGGTATCAGGTAGGACCTGACGAGAGGAGAAGAGAAGTGAGGGTAATTCTCGCAGGCGGGCGTCTCGTGAAGGAAAGAGGAGACCGATGCGCGATCCAAAAGAGGTTTGCGGAAGGAGAAACTGGGGTCGCTGGCAAACTCTCTAAAATCCTGAGATGGTGGAACAACCAAAAGTCGGGAAGGAGCGTGATGTAAAGAATATTAGAGTTCCTGAGGCAGGAACGGAGTAATTAGAAGTGGAAGGCAGGACCTGGGTCACTTCAAGTCAAGAGCTGCGATTTTGGAGATTGCCGCGAGTCTAAGCTTTGCAAGGCCGCACCACTTTGGAAGGGAACAAAAGGTGGAGGGTGAGAACTAAGGTAGACCGTAAATACTAGGAAATCGGATGATAGGTAGTGTTCGTAAACCCATGGAATCAGGGAAGTGTTCCTTTGATTTGGGACCCGATTTCGGTGTTACCACGGGATTTATGATGAGACGAGAATGTTGTTTAGAAAGAGATTTAAACTTCTCTTGTAATGCAAAAGTGTGGTAGAAGAAAGAAGAGAGACCACCCGAGTACCACGGAGAGATAAGGAGGTAGCCGGGAGTGCGAGACTGCAGAGACTGGAAGGCCCAGAGAACAGAAATGAACTTGCCTACAGAACTGACCTCCGTCGTCCCGACTCGACCTTTTATTTATTCATCACATATATTGCCATATTTATACTTCGGTTCCACATCGGTATCGTCCTTCTAATTTGTACGGTTGCGAAAAAGCCCACGTCATAAGGGAGCTTGGGCTGTATACCTGAACTATTTCTGGCGTGGAAGCGATCATATCCAATATCGATACGGAGCCGCTCGAAGTCTGTACCAAATGGCTCAAGACCCAAAGTTGTTCCATGTGTTCGGCATCGGCGGCAGCATAAATAAGTTGTCCGTCGCAAACCTGAGAGGGTAAACAACTGAACCCTTTGTTTACATGTATTTTATGCGACCACGGTGACCTCACATCCTGGATGGGTTTACGGGTTTTTGGTTTGGGGATCTTTGATCATGGGCAGCAAAACAGAGGCCAAATTTAAACCACATCACGGGTTGGTCGAGAATAGGTAGCGGGTAGTTGTATGCACACGTAGGTAGGAGACCGGGGACTCGACCGATGTCGTCGGAAAGACGGTGCTTGGCAACGGGTCCGCTCAACTCAAATCCCACGGCGTCACAAGCAGCATGGAGTCGGCGGGGCGGGCGCACAGACCACTAACCGCTCCCCAGGAAGCACTTGGTGACGCGGAGTTGAGGGGGGCGCTATGAACATCATCCTTTACGATTCGACAATTTCCCGAAGAGTTACGAATTAGGAAGCGGTAGAGGCCCTGATGCCCTCGATCCAAAATGCCGAGGAAACCCCAAACGTGGGACGACTATGACTCGGCGGTCACCCAGGTTCGTAATGCGATCAAGTTGTTGGCGAGAGTGTATCCCCTCGTTCCCCATACTCGTTGCTTACAGATAGCGTCGCCATATCGCAGATCATCCTTGCGCCGTCCGATTCCGAGTTTCTCGACCAGTTGATTCCCGTTCTTAAAGATGCAACAGCAAGCAGCCGCATTGGGTCCCTCGTCCAGAGCCTTTCCCGTTACGCCGAGGAACGCGAGGGAGACATCGAGCGCATCGGCCTGACCAAGCACGAAGAATTCCTAAGCTCCGTCAACCAGCTGCAGAAAGTGCGCGAGGGAACTGTGGCCCTGACGGCCGAGATCCTGGACCTCAACCAGTCCATTCAAGCGAGCACGGAGAAGCTCGCTGAGCAGAAGCAGGGGCTGGTGGACACGCGCGGGGTGCGTCAGAACATCACGGATGTATCGGACGCCCTTGAGGAGTCGCTTAAGATTCTGCATGCTGTCAACAATGCCCACGACCTCATCCGGAAAAAAAAATACTATGCCGCCCTCAAGTCCCTGGAGGACCTCCAAAACGAGTATTTGGTACCCATCATTCAAAACAAGTTCGCGACTCAGTACAAGCTTGCCGATATGATCCAGAAGTCAATTCCCGCTTCACAGAAGGCAATTTCGGAGGCGGTTATGTCGGATTTGAACAGTTGGTTGTTCATCGTCCGGGAATCGTCGCAGTTCCTAGGCGAGGTGGCTTTCTATCACACGGAGCAGCGAAGGGCCAGGCAAAAGGAGCGGATGGAGGGGAACGAACTATTAAGCCGCTTCAAGCTGAACTCGGCTATCGAACTGGTTTTTGACGAGGACGACGAGTTCGACGTTCTTTCCAACGATGAGCTCCAGGTCGACTTTACGCCGTTGCACGAAGCGTTGCATATTCACGAAGCGCTTGGGCAGGTCGACAGGTTTCGTGTTGAGTATGCAGCCACTCGAAGGCAGCAGAAAGACTTGATTTTGCCGAGCTCCGAGAACCTGTTTGCCAATAATGACAACGAGGGCCTCAAGGCCCTCCTGGAAAGTGTGGCTGGGTTTGCAATCATTGAAAAGGCCACCATGCAACGGGCACCGTTAGTTCGTTCGACGCTCGATGTAAGATTTCACGATATCCGGGATCAGGAACAACGACTGACGCTAAGCAGGTTGACGAGCTTTGGGATTCCATGTGTCAGGCCGTTATCCGAATCACCTCGAGGTCGTTGGAAGGCGTAAATAATGAGGAGCTGCTCAAGCATATCAAGGAGGATATTGCCCTGTTTATCCAAACCATGGAGGTGAGTTATCCGGTTGCGTCACACCCGCCGCTGTGTCTGACAACACATTCAGGGCTGGGGATATTCCGCATCTCTAGTGAACAATTTCCAGCTTGTGTTATTTCACAAGTTTGCGGAGTTGCTGCAGTATCGGTTCGCGGCAGTCTTCAAAGAGGTGAGGCAACTGATGGGGGTGACCTTGGACAGAGCTGACAAGCGTTGAAGACCGTTTCAACGGATGATTACATGCCTATGAGCATCAAAACCCCTAGCGACTACAGCCAGGTTTACTCTGCCATCCTATTCGACGACGAGATGTCCCCAGAAGAGGTCACGTATGTTACCAAAGCTATGCCCAGGAGAATATTTGCGGGTTCTAACCGTCGACTTGTTGCAGACTCCCCATCGTCCTACCGTTCTCCAAGATGTACCCTCACTGCTGCATGCACATTAGGGAATATGAGCAAGATTTTCGCAAATTCACCCAAGAGAACTTTGACCGCCCTAATGTCGTCGATGAAATGCTTAGAAAGGTATGGAGATAGTGTTCAGAGAGCCTGGGTTTGGTCCTCGCTAACCATTCGCCCAGACGCTGGATGAGCTTCTCACCGATATCGTTTGCAAAACCCTTGTGGAACGACTGAACTCGCAATATCTCGGGCAAATCGTGCAGATCCTGACCAACCTCGAGCACTTTGAGGCTGCCTGCCAAAAGTTGGAGCAACTGTTGATTCAGGGCCGATCTTCCACGTCGGCAGGGGGTCCAGTCACCTTGAAAGCAACCGAGTTGTTCAGAAACCACAAGAAGACAGCTGAGAAGCGTATCTTTGAGCTCGTGAATTCCAAGATAGACGACCTTGTAGATACCTCTGATTACGACTGGTAAGTTCGGCGGCCCGGGACCATTGCCGGATTTGCTAACGCAGAATAGGACCGCGACGACACCACCTGAAGAACCCAGCAACTACATGGTAACCTTGACTCGCTTCCTCGAAAATATCATGAGCTCGACCCTCCTCGGCTTACCCCGCGAGATCAAAGAGCTCATCTACTTCGACGCCCTTAGCCACGCTTCCAATAAGATCCTCGTAAGAACGCTTCCACTATACATACCCCCTCCCTATGCAGCATGGTGTGGTCAATAGCTAATACCCGACCCCCTTAGGCACTTCCGCTCCACCCCGACGTCAAGAAGATCAACCCCAACGGCGTCGCCGCCATGGCGCTCGACGTCAAGCACCTAACAGACTTCGTCAGCAAGCTCGAGAACGCCTTCATGCTGGAACAGAACCTGGACGAGCTGCAACAGACGGCAGCGCTCATGCAGTCCGAGGACCACGAGGAGTTCTACGACATCTCGATCCGCAACAAGAAGTACGGCCGCGTCGACGCCATGAACGGGCCATTACTACTGGAGAAGTACGTTTATCTTGTATTCTTTTCGTAGGGATGGGGATATATCTCGTGAGGATTTGTTTGCTAATCAGTGGTTGCTCATCAGGATCACCCAAACGGTCGAGAACCCAAGCCGGACAGCGCCGCTCGCTAATTTCGGATCGCGCTTCGGTTTGAGGTGATTGATTGATGGCCTCCCTTCTCGACACGATGTTACGATACCACCCACTACCAGCCAGCTCTTGCCATCCCCGAAAATGACGTGGATAAAAATGAGAGTCATAATTCAATCATGAAACTAACCCAACATCGCCGCCGCCGCCGCCGCCGCCCAGACAGACCACTACTACTACCACTACTACTACTACTGAAAGCCCGATACCGACAAGGAAATGGATGCTGAACATGAACACACTGGACGGCTCTATCGGGGGAAGATGGAGGAAAATCCCAGCAAAACCACCCTGATGATACCCCCGACCTTACTTTCTGCGCCAAAACCATATTCCCCAATTTGATACGATAACTAACAACTCGGTCCCTGTGCATCCGTTCCGCTCTCCGATCTTCGCTGGCCACGGCTCCGCATTTGCCCGAAACGCTATCTCGGCGTGCAACGCGAGCCCCGATAGTTTTTATGAGTTCATGAGTGAAGGGTCCATAGGTGCCGCGTCGTCGACCCGCCCCGATTCCATGTCAGCCATGGTAAGTCAATGGCTCAGAGTTGCCTCGTCGGTAATTGTCGTGAGCTTTGTCTGATCCGCGGGGAAGCCAATCTGAGCCGCAATTTCTTCATCCGGCTCGAGCTTGATCGTCCCCGCTAGGGGCTCAGCGCCAGCCTCATGCCCCGCCGCCCATGGCTGGCTCACAGGCACATCCTGGTGCGTAAGCCCATATCCCGCTGTGGGACTGCTCCCCGCCGGGTCGGCCTTCTAGGCGCCCTACTGGTCCAGTTAGCTTGATTCGACACGGGAGGCGGCATAGGATGCAAGGGGGGGTTGACAGGGGAGACAAGCGGGTGGCAAAGAAGAATTTCGGTGCCTGAACATACTTGCTGAGGAGGCATCGTCCCATAGGTGTACATATCGTCAACGTTGTACATTTGGGCTTGGGGTTGGCCATACGTGGGTGCGCCTGGCTGGACTTGGCCGGCGTACATGGGCTGGGGCTGACGGTAATCGGCTTCGGGACCCATGTTGTGGCCGCCGAGGGTGTAATCCGGCGCAGCCATCGGATGTTGGCCGGCGTGATTGGGGGCGCCGACGCCGGGGATTTGAGGCTGGGGGGCAGCGGGTTGGGGAGCGGCGGCGGTTTGGTTGGTTGTCCGCTTTGCGTGGGAAGAGGCTTCTTCACGCGGGACAATGTCGATGAGGAAGTCGAACATGTCAGACTTGGCCAATGCCGAAGCGATGTCGGATCGCTGGAGGGTCCGCCGTTTGTTTTCTTCCGCATGGATCCAGGCCCGCATGGTAAGCTCGGTAATGAAGATATCGCAACCCTTGGCGAACAGAATCGGGGCCTCGGCCGAAATCATCTTGACCTCTGGGTCGGCCTTCATGACCTTCTTGATCCGCGCAAGTGGTAACTGATGCATCTTGTAGTCGTGTGTATCACTCTCAAGGTGGCTGATAGTATGTTGCCAGTAGGCTGTGAGGACATCTTTGTAGTGGCCGGTCAGACCTTGGTGCACATTCGCCCATGTCCCAGTGTACAGCTCGGAGGGCGCAAAGCCTTGGGTAGAGATCTAGAGGGGTGATGTCAGCGGTCGAAGTTTGTCGGCTGGGCGGGATGGAGACAAATCGTACCGCGGCACTCGCGCCGTAATGGCCACCCAAGCTGAGGTCGTAAACAGGCATTTGCCGGGCCTGCTGCCCGTGCTGCCCGTGCTGGGCCGAAGAGGGGTTCGGATCCATGATGGGTTTGTCTTGGGTGGTATAACCTAGGGGAGCGTTTGGGTGACCTTTAAACGCGCCACGAAATAGAGGTAGAGGTCGATGGTGGTTGCGCGGGGATTATGCCGATGTCGCCCGAATTGTCTCAGTTTCTCCGCCTTTCTGATGCACTGTGGTTCGGTAGGTGCGCGCTAGATTCACTTCACGGTCTGTTAGCCCGCGCATTTGTTTACTTTGCGACTGCCGCCGCGCCGCTCTATGGTCGCAACCAGCCTCCCGCGAATGCCCCGTTGATTGGGCGGAATGGTGATTGGGTGGGCGCGTCAAGTGTGGGAAGGGGAGCGAATGGGTGGAGTTCAAAAAGGTTGTTTGAACGACTCGTCTGGGCCGAGGACGCGAGCCACTCAGCTCTCGTTGCGAGCGGTATTAGATGATTGGTGAGAATTGAATTGGCGGATTGGATAGAAGCTCAAGTGGGAGGCTTGGAGAATGGCGCAGCAGTTGCCGGTGATAATGGCGGGAGGCAAAAACTTGTAGCACGTACCTTGCAATGGAGTTTTCACGACGCGGGTATTTGGATGAAAACTGTTGAAGTCTTGAGGGATTGGGGAAGTGGTGATTTGTGCAGGCGGTCAAGTCAGCTCGGAAGGTTGGGCATCAGCGTGGGCGGACAACGTGGGCGGACAGCAAAGTGTGGCGCAGGTCCCGGTTTCCGTGTGAGAAGCGTGCGGGGATTGGCTGCTTTTATGGGTATTTTCCCGAAGCTGCCCAACCGCGACAGCTGGCCGGTCTCCAGCCTCATTTGTTGCCCTATGACGACACGGCCAATGAAACTTGAGGCTGGAATGGGCTGGCGCCAAATGAACCTCGCCGGGGCAAGCCGGGCATCATCGTTTCTCCTTCTGCCGAGCGCACGGACCGAGTTCCAGGTTGGGAACAGCCCAGAGCCTCGTCGCATCGGCCCACCTGCAGTGGGACAGTTGCAGGTTGAGGGCCCCACCTCAGATTTTGTCGTCTTCATTTTTTTTTTTCCCATCGCGCTCAGCTTCCTACCGTTTCTCCTTCGTTCGGCTCCCAAAATTGTGTCACCTTCATTAGGCAATTATGGCGGCCACTTTTGGCTTGCCCGATGATGAGATCGACCGGCTACTTTCGGAAGCCGAGGCTCGCCTTTCTGGCAATGGCAGTTTAGACGCTGTCGCTGTTGCTGGTGTAGCCGCTGCAGCTGCAAAGACACCAGCAACCATCGTGGCGCCTCCCGCGCCAACTGCTGGGGAACAGACGTCAGTCCCCGAGAAGAAGTCTGAGAAGCTGACTGTTCGGGTTCCCCAGCTTCCCCAGAAGAACAAGGTACGTAGCCAGCGCTATCGAGTCCATCACCCCCACGTGTTCCATGATGAAAGCAAATCCCAAACTCTATGACGCCAGCAAGATCCCGTCATGGGACTCGAGCTGGCACCATAATGATTTCCTTAGTTCATAGTTACTCTGACACGGACACTCCCCTCAAACCTTTGTTGATTCTATACTCTATCGCTTGGTTTGTCCACGGTGCTGACTGAAGACAGGGACCCAAAGATACGCTGGGCGCCGATTGGTTCAACTTGCCGCGTACCAACCTTACGCCCGAACTGAAGCGCGATTTGCAAGCTTTGAGGATGCGTGACGTGGCCGCCATGGGCAAGCAGTTCTTCAAGAAGGATTCTCGCAAGGACCTCATCCCGGAGTACAGCCAAGTCGGGACTATCATTGCGGGAGCAACAGAGGGCGTAAACAGCCGTCTGACGCGCAAGGAAAAGAAGCGAACGATTGTCGAGGAGATCCTGGCGAGTGAGAACGTTGGCAAGCTCAAGAGCAAGTACTCAAGATATCCAAGAGAAGAAGAGGAGCGGGAAGAAGGGTCATTACAAGAAGCTGGTGGCTGGCCGGCGGAAACGCAACGGGTGAAAGCCGGGCAGAGCCATCTGTGAACGATACGCATGCCGACCTCGATATCAGGTTGGTTTTGATCAAGCACCATATGCGGCCGCGTTGCGGCCGCCAGCGCAATGCGCACACATCACGAGTTGAAGACTCGGCTACAGTTGGGTCTCCTCGATGCTTGTTCTATACGAATATACCCAAAGGAACCAGTCCCACTTGCTCAGGACGAAGCACAATGTGCTGGCAGGTGGGAATCATGCAGCAACCCTTCGGACGGTGGAAATGGACTTCTTGGCGATACTAGCCTGTGACAGACAGAAGAACGAGGGTTAGTCCAGGGTCTTATCAGACGGCCCTTTGACCACATACAATTCAAAACAAATGTCAAGCCGATCAAAAACGATACCTAGTGTAATCATTGAACGCTCTGCTCGTGTTGGTTGCTTGCATTTTGGCTGAGAGCATGCCGCTGTTGAAGCTGTCTTCTTATTTTCACGAGATCTTATCGATAACAACCCTAGCCAACATCGCGCCAAAAACTCGGCTGAACGGTTGGAGGTGTTGCACTCAACATCCACAGTTGTCGAGGGTCACGCAGAGATGAATCCGCCGCGGTTAATACGGCCATTACGGCCTTTCCTCCAAGGGCAATTGGTATGACACATGTTTGCATTTGATTAGGAAGCGGGGGATATATCTGACATGCGGGGAATGTTAGCCCCTCACAGCCCCTCGATCGGCCGTGGTCGGCATCCCGCGCGCCTCGATCCAGCTTCGAACCTATGCTTCGGTGTGAGTAGACATTGTGTCTTGGAACTACGTCGAGTTTCTAAACTGACTCCTGACAGTGAAGTGCCTAGTACCGGAGAGAAGTCGAGGTCAGCCAGCCCTGCCTAAGTCCCTCGACGGGACCCCTGAACCGCTCGCTCGTGGACGAAGACTAACACCACACCCCCGCAACAGCGCCACACCACCCGCCCAAAATGCGAAATCCGACAAGCCGGCCGTCTCCCGAATGCCCCGTGCCCTGGAGGCACTCTACCTGAAGCCGCTCCGGCGCGAGGTCGAGTACGGCGTGCCGTCCTGCAACCTGCAGCTGCGCTCCTACTCGGTGCGCAACCTCGAGTTCTTCTGCGACTTCGCTCTGCGCGCCGCCTACTACCTCGGCCTGCCTGCGTTCGGCCCCGTGCCGCTGCCGCGCAAAGTCCAGCGCTGGACGGTGCCCAAGTCGACCTTCATCTTCAAGAAGAGCCAGGAAAACTTTGAGCGCATCACCCTGCGCCGCATGATTCAGATCCGCGACGGGAACCCGGAGACGGTGCAACTGTGGTTGGCGTTTCTGCAGAAGCATGCTTACTATGGGATCGGTATGAAGGCGAACGTTTGGGAGTTTAGCAAGCTGGGTATGTTGGCTCTTTTCGGTGTCGTGATAACTTAGAGGCGTCATGGCTAATTGTCTTTTTCTCTCTCTTTTTAACAGGCGTCGGAAAGGAGATGGACAAGAGCCTCGAACAAACGGAGAAATTGATGGAGGACAAGTGGGAGCACCTGAGCTACGTGGAGCGGCGGCCAGAGTTCCAGAAAAAGAAGGACAGGGGCCCTCGCGAGCAGCTGCCTCCAGCAGAGGATATGGAAGCGTTCCTAGCGTCAGAGAGGAGGAAGATTGCAGGCGGCCGGTAGACAAGGCTATGTGGATGTTGTTGAATGTATCATATCTCAAACCTGTATCTTCTGTGGGAGGTTGAGTTGTACAACAAATACCGTTCTGTCTGGGCCTATGTGAACATTATAAGAATTCACCATTTGTAGGAAGAATCATCCCAAACTAGATAGACTTTACTATGTACGAAGTAAGTTGTTTATATTCTTAAATTCATGTACGACACTCCTTGGGTGCCAAGGTGACTTGCAACTGTGATCCTTGTTTGATCAAGTTCCGGCGAGCCAATCCCGAATTTTTTATGCGCATACCTAACCCTGAAAGTCTCATCTCACACCATCAACTCACATCACAACTCAGATGACAGTTTGTCCGGCCGGCGGCTTCACATACTCTCGTTTTGATCTGCGAAAGGCAACTGCCGCCGATTCGCCATGTACCGAGGTTTCAGGGCCGGAAATAATGTCTGGCAGCAACTGAGGGCCGGCGAGCCTGGCCGTTCGTTGCGGAGGGCAGCAGCATCCATTGCAACAACAACGGGAAAGTCAAGAAGCACAATCACGAAAACTATCACGGGGACAGGGCAGACTAGGAACTTTGTTTCTGGGGCACAGGATGATACAACTTCGGCGACAGAAGCAAAGACGGAAGCAGAAGAGCCACCAGTCGGCCAAGATACGGCAAAGATCTCATTGCCGGAGGGTGAGAAACCGTCGGAAAACGGCCCCAAAATCATCTTCTCGGGTATACAACCTACGGGCAGGCCTCACCTCGGCAACTACCTCGGGGCCCTGAAGCAATGGAAACATCTGCAGGACACGGCTCACCCGGACACGAAGCTTTTTTTTTGTATTGTTGACCTACACGCCATGACCACACCCCACGCCCGAGGGGAAATGCAGGACCTCAGATGGGATATGATGGCCAGCTTGCTCGCCTTGGGACTCGACCCGGATCGGTGCACCATCTTCTTTCAGTCGACCGTACCGCAACACGCCGAGCTGCAGTGGATCCTGAGCTGCACTGCCTCTACAGGCTACTTATCACGCATGACACAGTGGAAAGTAAGTATTGGACCGGATAGGGGCGCCCTGCGGCTCGGCAGCTAATACAGTGCGCAGACCAAGTTGAAACTCGACGACGATGCAACAATAGAAACCACCAAAGGGAAGAAAACTCTTAAGCATGGCTTGTTCTCGTACCCTGTTCTCCAGGCGGCCGACATCCTGCTTTACGGCACCACCCACGTCCCCGTCGGCGAAGACCAGCGCCAGCATCTCGAGTTCACCCGAGAATGCGTTTCCAACTTCAACTACGCCTACAAGACGGACCTTTTCGCGGCGCCCGAGACCTTGATCTCTCCTTTCCCCCGCATCATGTCCCTGACAACACCGCGCCAAAAAATGTCCAAATCCGACTCCGCGATCAAGTCGCTCCTCCACGTCACCAGCTCGCCCAAGAAAATCACCCAGAGGATTTCCCAGGCCGTTACCGACTCCCGCAACGAGGTCACCTACGACCCGGAAAACAGAGCGGGAGTGGCCAACCTTATCCACCTCCTATCCGGCTTCGATCCCAAGGGCCGCACCCCCGAGGAGCTGGGCGAGACGATGAAAGGGTATAAAATCTCCGAGCTAAAGCAGGTTGTAATTGAGGTTCTCACCGACGAGCTCGCCGAGACCCGGGTGAACTTCGCGCGGCTTTCGTCAGATAGAGACAAGCTACGAGAGATCTCGGCTCAAGGCACTCAGAAGGCGAGGCTCCAGGCAGAGAAAATTATGGCCAAGGTGAAGGACGTCACTGGTATATTTTGATTGATCATTGCTTGGGCAGGTGGTAGTGTACAGATAGAGTCGGGCACATACAGGAGCGTGTAAGTTTGTACAATAGCAGAACTACATCGTTGTACATTTGTTCCTTGGGGCCCCTTTATCCAGCTCGGCGCCGACTTGGTACATCACAATGTCAAGGCGTTGAGGGGGGACGTAGTCGCGTCATATGCACCCGGTTTCACTCAGCCCACTCACATCAAACCCGATTTTCTCCACAAACGGCAGAACGACACAGTTCACACCCTCACGACCATCATACCCAGACCCAACAATATCGTTTACGGCAGAGAGACCGTGGCTGCTACAACGATTTTCTAGCCTAGGTACCAGTTCAATTCACCCACAATCTACCCACACCATTCAACCTCCCCTCGACACATCTCAGGACACGTACGCAAAGTTTGCCCCGCGACAGGCCATCCAAAACTCCCTCACCACCTGGTTCGTCGCTCTCGCACCTCTCAACCTATTGCCGAATGTTAGCCACAACCTCCCCTTAAACAACCCCCAAAACAATAAACAAATAATCCAAAAGAAGAACCGCCAAAAAAAAAAAAGGAAAAAGAAAGCCAAAAGAGAGAAAAACTCACGCAACAACCCTCCTCAAAAACGCCATCCTCTCCTCCCTCCCCACCCTCTCCGCCCCGGGAAACCCACCATCCAACCCCTCCCCCCCCATCCCACCATTCACACCATTCCCATTCCCAACCCCCCCAACACCCCCTTCAACACCACCCTCAAAAAACAGCGCCCCCTGCAACCACCCCTGCGCGGCCGGGTGCATCCCGACCAGCTTCTTGAGCGGCTCACACAGCTTGTCGAGTTCGGAGCGGGCGGCGTGGCCGCCAATGTTGCGGACCAGGGCGGCGGCGATGAGCGGGCCGAGGTGGGTCATGGCGTTGGCGATGGTGGCTTTGAGATTGGGATCTGGGGGGGTTGGTGGAGGTTGTGGTGAGGGTGGGGGAGGTGGCGAGGGTGATGAAATTGGCCTGTTTTTTTTTTGTTTGTCATTAGTTGGATTGTGCTGGGTTGGTGTTTGTGGTGGATTGGGTCTGTGGGGGTAGGAGGGTGGGAGAGTGGGAGTAGGAGAGAGGGAATGGAGTGGACGCTTACCCAGAACTCGGCGGCTGCCCCCTTGGGAAGCGGTTCGTTGCCGTCGAGGACTTTGATGGAGAAGAGGAAGAAGAACTCGAGGAGGTGGGCGTGGTGCGGGTGGAAGAGCACGTCGGGGTATTTGGACATGACTTTGTCAATAATGGAGATGCCGTTCAGGGAGATTTCCGTGTCGGCCTCGGGTTCTGTAGGAGGGTTAACACTCGGAGGGGGGGAGAGATAGGGGAGGGGGGGTCATACCTGGCAATGCCTGGAGGATGGAAACCACCCATGGTAAGAGCCGGGCAAGTTGCGCTGGTACGTGGGCCTTGGGACCGCGGTAGAGGCTGCCCACAAACGAGCAGGCTGTGCTGAGTATAGTTCCTACCCGTGCCGTTTCAAACCGCTGTTGGACGAAGTAGTCTGTAACTACATTCGGTGGGAATACGAATGGCCCTGGCTCAGTCTCGGAGAAGCCTGCGCGGAAGATGTTGCAGATGATCTCGACCACCTCGCCGCTCGTGTTAAACACTCGTTGGACTTCCATCAACACCCGCATAATATTCTCCTGTAAAGCGGCGAGCCTGCTGTTGGCGTTCTGCGACTGTGGTTCGCTGTCCAGGTCAACTAGCGACTCTTTGACGTCCTGCATACCCTTGGCAATGCTAGCAAGGCACCTCATGGACCTAAGCGCAATCTGAAGAGCAATTTCCTCTGTCGGGGGCGCGGACTGGGGGTTCGGTGCATCAAGACCTCTCAGAAAATCCGGGTTCTGGAGGTTTAGGAGTCCAGGGTTTGCCTTGAGTTGCACAGCAAGCTCAAAGTCTTTTTTGAGTATGTTGTAAAGCTCCTCAAACACGCCCAGTCTCTGGTTCTCATCTTTGATGGCCTGGATAATGGATGCAATCGCGAGGACGATCCTCTCTTCGGCCAACGAGTCGAGCACTTGACTGCTGCGAATGGTTTGGTAATGGCTGATGAAGGCACCGGCCTCGCTCGTGAGAATAGAGCGGCACGATGAGCAAAGTGTAGAGATAGACCTTGCCGACGGCCCCCCAAGAACGGAGTCGCCGACAGCAGCAAAGAGGAGATTCAGAGCGTTAGGCAAATACTGAGCATTCCGTTCAAAGTACTCACAATACCGCTCAATCAGCGCCAGCCCGGTCTGGCGGAGACGTAGAGGAATCAGGCCTTGGGCCTGGCCGAGGAGATCAAAAAAGGGAGAAGAAAAGACCTTGTTTAGCTCCTGGTCAAATCTGGCCTCATCCGATATACAATCGGAGAGAGCACCAAGGCAGAAGGCGGAGGCCTCGAGCTCGGCCCAAGACTGGGCAGCGAGAGCTCGAAGGAATAGATCGGTAAAGAAAGAGACGAGACTCAAGCCCTCGAGAGTGAAAACGGATTGCAGCATATCGCTGACGTCCTTCCTGGCGTCACCAAAAGCAACACGTTCGGTCGAGTCCCACTCGGCGAAGGTCTCGGCCGAAGGCCACTGGATTTTGCGCCAGCAGTTCATCACCACGGCCTTCAGGTGTTGCTCGGCGTAGGGCTTCCAGTTCTGGGCCTCCTCCTCGTCCGAGTAGGTACTATCAATCATGGTCTCGATGAAGGTGGACCAGAACTCCAGAGCAGGGACAAATATGCTATCCTCGCCGACGAGGTAGCCATCGGCGGCAAGGAGTCCACTCAAGCTCTCTAGGAAGCGCTGGGAGCGGTTGTCAGTGCTACGCATGAGGTCTTGTACTTTGGCGTCTCCGTAGGCTAAGATGACCAGGCCGAAGGAAATGCCGTCCTCCTCGTGGTTCCCGTGGAGAATGTGTTGGTAGTGCTCGGCAGCCCAGGGGCTCTCGAAAAGGGAGGCGAGCGTGTTGTAGTGCTCGTCGGTAAAGAAGGACGAGTAGTTGCCAAGGGCGTCGCTGAAAAGCTCGGCGGTCGCGTGGAAGAGGTCTCTGTCCGCGAAGCAGTTGATAGCAGGCCCCACGAGCTGTCTAAGGGGTGCAACTAGATCTGGGATTGGGGATGCTCGCTGCGCGTATAAAATCCAGGCCTGGGGTCGTTAGCCGGTGAATGGAGGATTGGAGGGCTGGTGCTCACCTGAAAGCAGCCGAGAGCCTCTCCTTGCGTTTTGAGATCGGGGTTGTCCTCGGGCAGGGAGAAGCCTCGGGCGAGTAAACCAGTGACATCGGGACCATTTTTGACGAGGCGATCGTGAACTTGGAGACTGGTTCGGTCAGCACACGTCGACTATTGAGCGTGAGAGCGGTATGCTCACAATTTGGGGGCGTTCATGTCGGTCTTGCCAACCTCCTCGACAAACGATGTAGCGAACCATATTGCCACCTTCAGCTTCTGGGGGCCTAGCTTGCCGACAAGAACGTCGGTGGGAAGAGCATTGTCGAGGCTGTCCACCGGCGTGCCTTGACCTAGATCAAGGCAGTAGATGAAGTGGCGGATGCAGTTGGGCCACAGATGGGAGAAGTGCATGAAGTAAGTGACGAGGGCGGTACACAACTTCTTGATCACAAAATTGCCTGCCCCATCGGCGAGCGATTGGATGGTCCAGCCAATGATATTCTCCAAAAGACCCTTTGCATCATCTTCGCTCAGACCAGAACTAGGCCAAAGTCAGTTCGATGCCTCTTCTTTGTGAGACCGGCCCCCTCGCCTCCGGGACCATGGGCCATGAGCGCGTACCTGTCTCTGTTGAGCTTGATGATGAGTGTCAGGGCGGCATAGAACCTGATGTTATCCTCGCGATGGGCGATCAGGCTCTGAGCTAGTTGCCACCCCTCAGAGGACCTTTGCAGACGGTGCAGCACCTCCTGGATTTTGGAGATGGTATCGGGAGGGTTTGGTTGGTAGAGGGCCCGGATCAGCTGCCAAGTCGAGTTCGTTAAACTTGGTTGTTATTTTCATCTCGATGACAAATGTCGAGTCTACTTACTGCTTCGACCTCAGTGAGGTTTGTGGGTAAAGGCAGCTGTTCCATCGCGCCGTTGCTCGTTTATTTTCTGTTTGGTTCTTGGCGGATTGGTCAGTAGATGAGTCCCCTCCGAGATGGGACACCCCATAAAAAGAACCGACTGCTGACCACGGTCCGGGGAACACAGTGTCACTCCTAGGACTTGTATCCCATGGTCTGAGAATGAGTTTGGGGGGTTTTTAGGACCAAACTGGGATGTTGTTTGATGGGTTTTGGTGTTTTGGAGGTTGGTACTCCCAGCAGTTCGTCCTAGGTAGCTCAGGCAGGTGCTCAGGTCAACTCAGCTCTACCTTGGGTGTACTGTGAGCTGTTGCTATGTCCAAACAGACTAGGTAGGTGAATGGATGTATAAATTATTGTATATCTGCACATGCATATGTCAGTAAAATAATGTGCAAGACGTGAAAGAGACATTCTTCTATTTTATTACCTTTTGTTGGCTTATGATAGAGAGTGCCTGGACCTTTGCGTAGATTACTCCCGTCGGCAGGTGTGAGATGAGGTTGTGGAACCTCCAGGACGGCAGGCGAGCATGGAAGGCGGCACAGCGGCAGGGGGTAACCCCACCATCGTCATGCTGGGAGCAGTGGTGGGGTCAAATGTTCATGCAGTTATCCGTAACTGCACTTCCGTTGTCTTCCAACGGTTCTTTGACAACATACAACACGCCATGTTTGTTACCTTCTCCAAAAAACGACAGGAAGTTTGGTTTGAGCTGGTTAGGCTACCGAGCGAAGATGTGGGGTAACTGCAGCACACCTCATCTCAGTGTGTGTGGGAGGGACCTTACACAGTACAAGTAAGAGAATCAGCTTGGAAGCAACCGAACCCCCCCACCACACCTAGGCGGTAGTTAACCCGATCCGGTAATAGAGCATGACTAGCAAGACTGCCTAAGCAGGCCGCACCTCAACCTCGAATATCCGTCTCTTGCCCGACGACCTTCAGGTACCACCCTAATTCATCCTCCGTTTACTGGCCCGACACACCCACTCGCTCCGCCCCGGCGACATTTGGTTCGCCGCACCCCCCGGCTACCTGAAGCCCATGCCCCATATATGGGCGCGACAGAGCTCGACAATATCGTCACTCCTGCGCAACCCCTCGATTTCCCTCGCACGACCACAATCTTATCGCCCAGTTTCGGCTATTCCAACATTATTCTGGTCCAGGAGAGGAATACACGCACCATCCACCAGAAGTAGAACGCCGTCTGTTGAAGAGATGGAGACCGTCAACACCACAGCCCGGTTGACCACCCTTCGGTCGTTGATGAAGGAGAACGGCGTCGACATCTATGGTATTAGTACCCGCGGCCCTTTGAGCCCCAGCGACTGATGTATTTGGCCACATAGTTGTTCCGTCCGAGGACAGCCACGCCTCCGAATATATCGCACCATGCGACGGCCGCCGCGCCTTCATCTCGGGCTTCACCGGTTCCGCAGGGACGGCCGTGGTGACACAGGACAAGGCTGCCCTCGCCACCGACGGGCGATATTTCAACCAGGCTGGCAAGCAGCTGGACGGGAATTGGCACCTCCTCAAGACGGGTCTGCAAGATGTCCCGACGTGGCAGGATTGGACGGCCGAAGCATCAGCCGGCGGCAAGACGGTGGGCGTCGACCCCTCTCTGATCTCGAGCCCCATCGCGGAGAAGCTGGACGAGAGCATCAAGAAGAGCGGCGGCGCCGGCCTGAAAGCCGTCAGTGAGAACTTGGTTGACCCGGTGTGGGGTAGTGACAGGCCTGCCCGCTCGAGCAATCCCGTCAAGCTCCTTATCGGTAAGTACTCGGGCAAAGACACAGCTGCTAAGCTTACCGAGCTCCGCAAGGAGTTGGAGAAGAAGAAGGCCGCCGCCTTCGTCTTGTCTATGCTGGATGAGGTCGCATGGCTCTTCAACCTTCGCGGCAGCGACATCACCTACAACCCCGTGTTTTACTCGTACGCCATTGTGACACAGGATTCGGCGACGCTATATGTGGATGTTTCCAAGCTGGACGATGAGAGCCGGAGCTACCTGGACCAGAACAAGGTTACCATCAAACCGTATGACACCTTGTTCGAGGATGCCAAGGCCCTGGCCAGTGCCGCCGAGGCCAAGGGAACGTCCGAAGCGCCGAGGAAATACTTTGTCTCCAACAAGGGCTCTTGGGCACTGAAACTGGCACTCGGGGGCGACAAGTTTGTGGAAGAGGTTCGAAGCCCGGTTGGGGATGCCAAGGCGGTCAAGAACGACACCGAACTCGAGGGCATGAGGCAGTGCCACATCCGGGACGGCGTTGCTCTCATACAGTTCTTTGCCTGGCTTGAAGACCAGCTCGTCAACAAGAAGGCAGTCCTCGATGAAGTGGCGGCCGCTGATCAGCTCGAGGCGCTCCGGTCGAAGCAAACGGACTTTGTCGGTCTTTCCTTCGACACCATTTCATCCACAGGGCCGAAGTGAGTAGCTAACCGTGCAGTATGCCAATGTTTTATTCACTGACATTTTCTAGCGCTGCTGTCATTCACTACAAACCGGAACCGGGGGCTTGCTCTATCATTGACCCGGAGGCCATTTACTTGTGCGACTCAGGGGCTCAGTTCCTAGACGGCACGACCGACGTCACCCGGACCCTCCACTTTGGCACCCCCACCGCCGAGCAGAAGAAGGCCTACACGCTTGTCCTGAAGGGCAACATCGCCCTCGACACAGCGATTTTCCCCAAGGGCACAACCGGCTATGCCATTGATTGTCTGGCCCGGCAATTCCTTTGGGCAAGCTCACCTTTCTCTACCGTTCTGAACCGCTTAGCTGGAATGAAGTACTAACGCCGCGCAGAAACAAGGCCTCGATTACCGCCACGGCACGGGCCACGGCGTCGGATCGTACCTCAACGTGCACGAGGGCCCGATCGGCATCGGCACGCGCAAGCAGTACGCTGAGGTAGCCCTAGCGGCCGGCAACGTGCTGTCCATCGAGCCGGGCTTCTACGAGGACGGGTCCTACGGCATCCGCATCGAGAACCTGGCCATGGTGCGCGAGGTCAAGACGGAGCACTCGTTCGGCGACAAGCCCTTCCTCGGCTTCGAGCACGTCACTATGGTGCCCTACTGCCGCAAGCTAATCGACGAGGCCCTGCTGACGGCCGAGGAGCGGGAATGGTTGAACCAGAGCAACAAGGAGATCCGCGAGAAGATGGCCGGGCGGTTCGACGGCGACCAGCTGACGCAGGCGTGGCTGGAGAGGGAGACGCAGCCTTTTTGATAGCGGGCGGATTGAAGAGGCATAGCGTTAATACCATAGCATAGCAATGGCAATAGCATTACGCCGTCTATTTTTCTTGTGATCTGGTCTATGAGTGATATGCGCCGGGTCCGGGCGATCAGCGAGTGACAGTGGGAAGAGGTGATTAGAAGGACATGAAGGCCGAGAGGGCAAACGCGATGGCGAAGGAAAACTTGAAGGCCGTGTGCTGGTTCAGCAGCGCCACGATGCGTGACGTGCTGGCCCGCTCCTTGAGCTTGAGGTACGAGACGATGTCTATCCCATTGCGCGCGGCGACCTGGGCGGGGTGTTAGTGAACCGGGCCGAGGTGAGTCTGCGAACTACGGTGTCTCGGGGTATACGCACCTGGATAAGCACCATCCCGATCCCCGCCAGCAGCACCAGCGTCTTGGAGAACACGCTCACCAACATCCCCGCAACGAACCCTACTCCCCCAAACACCACTCGCATTAGCACACATCCACCCACTCATCACACATACTCCCTCCAACACAGGGGGATCCATACCCGAAAGACTTCCCCCCGACAACTGCTTCACCGTCTCCCCATCCAGCAACTCCTTCCGGTCCCGGTCCCCCTTACTCGAGTACGCCCGCGCCTGGGGGGTCAGTACCGCGGCACTGTCGAACCGCATCGGCCGCTGCTGGTGCACTGCCACCAGCCCTGTGGTGAGGCCCAGTCCCAGCGGGAGGGCCGCGTGTCGGAGGGAGAGGCGTCGGAGGGCTGCGGTGGGGGCGGTGGTGGTGGTGAGGCGGGTGTGCAGGGCGCTGCGGGTTAGGGTGCGGGTGGCCATTTTTGTTGGGGGTTGGTTGGTTGGTGGGTGGGAATTGGGTTTTTTTTGCTTGCTGTTTTATTTGGTACCTAGGGGGGGGGGGGTTTTAAGCTTCGTGCATATGGGAGAGTGATGGATGGGATATTGGGGGATCTGAATGCTGTATGGATTGGGAGCTGGTATTGGTTGTTTTGGGGCCGAGTTGTGACGTAATCTGATGGCCGGGCCACTTGACAGCGCGACGGTTTCGCGTCAGAAAGGCGGCCCACCGTTACCCCCCTGCTAACAGGTATATATAGACAGGGCTTTGAGGACTGGTCTCCTGCTGCTTCATGGTCAACTTCCTGGAACTACTTTCAGAACCATAATTTCAGTATTTAACCCAACTTCTCGGCGCCTCGGGTAGTACTAGTGTTTTCAATGGCAATAAAACGCTGGAATCGAATAAAACTTTGTTAGGTAGTGTGACGAGATGTTTGTAGGAAAGTGAGCCCATTTCACGACGACTGCTGGCTCTGTGATAACTTAAGCTTCATAAGAACAGAGGCCACTACCACCGCGGCAGCGGTAACAAGAAGGATAGCGTACGTCGAAGTGTGCTTGGTTGGGAAGCCGCAACGAGAGGTGGAAATGAGCAGGCGTTGCCTCTCAGCTTTCAACATGTAAGCGGTTATTGGGTTGTTGGCCGTGAGAGATATAAGGCCTCACCTTTCAAGTCACTGACGACTTGGCTGCATTTCTTGTACTCTCTCTCCTCGCCAACATTCTAGCCCGCACTGCCTACACTTCCCAATGAGTTTGCGTCAGGGAACTTATCCTGAGAATAGTGGTCGAAGATCACTTTGTCAGTCAACCCAGCGTGCGGCCGACTTTCGTTCAGCAACTCATATAACGTGGAACCCAGCGCAAAACTATCGGCCTCAACAGACAGGAGGGGGCCTGGATATTCGTGGCTCGCCGTCACCCCCACAAGAAGCGGAGAGCCATCAAGCGAAGACCCCGCGAAATCAGCTCGCTTCACGTCGAGGTTTCTATCGAGGAGAATGTTGAAACTATTGACGTCTCCATGAATAACACCGCATTGGTGGATGAAATTGAGAGCCTCGGCAATCTGTACGGACCACAGTAAGGTATTCTTCGTTTTTCATCGGCGGGGTGGTCTTCAAGATGCGATCGGATGTTGCAAGCCTCCAGGCCCCAGCCTGCTGACAAGCATTTGGACCCACTAATTGACTGCAGGGGGTCCCTCTGCGACGAACCAGGCAGCCAGGGTTGGTGCAGAGCACAAGTCGGTGGGGCTCCTTGAAAGCGTTCTCAACTCGGTTGTTGTTTTCGCGTCGGACGCGTCTGGAACTTCTTCCACCCCGACATCTTGAACCCTGAATATCGCAACGGTCGACCATCCCCTCCCGCCGCGAACCGATCGATACTCAAATCTACCACCATCTCCGAACCGTATATTTCCTCCCACAGATACCCGGCACAATGCCTCGCCCAAAACGATCGCGCGTCCCTGCGACGCGTCCCAACAAGGTCGCTTCCCCATCACCCGAGGGACCACAGTCGTCCGGGACGCCACCCATTGTGACGAAACCAATTGCCGCGCAGCCTGAAGTCCCCGGTAGCGATATTTACGGTGTTAGCGATCGCGAGAAGGAGCGCATGAAAGAGCGATCCGCTAAAGCCGCAACGGCTGGCTCGCAGTCCCGTCGGACACGTGCATCCCAACATCTGGACGTGAACTCGGACCAAGCGAGGGCGTTGGAGGACTCGAAGCGCAGGCGGGACGACGCGATGAACAGGTTAGATGATCTTACCTCGACCTCGAGACCGGACGAATCCGAAAGCCCAGGCACCGGGCAGGGTAGGGAGATAGCGGGCGAAAGGCAGCCCCGGCTGACCGACTTGTCGGGTCTCGATCTGGATGACGAACTCTTCGCCAATCTCGACGATAGCCTGGACGACACAGAGAACGCGATTGAGGAGACACGGACTGGCTACCGCTCCACAGACACGTCAACATTTAATGTGGCCATGTTCAAACGCCGGCCTCGGCAGTCGAGCGTCGCTGGGAGGGGTGACGGTCCTATCCGTCCGAGCAGTAGAAGGCAGAATACACCTAGTATTAGCGGTGCTCTTAATTTCGGCGATTTTAGGCGGCGTGCCCGGGAGCAGAGCATCCTCGGGACGGACCGAAAGGCTCGGACGGCGAGGTCTCTATCGCGAACTTCGCAAGCCTCGCGGAATGCGAGCGTTCTTGGAGACGGAGATGATTCTGGTCCGGACGGCGAGTCAACACCACTTGACAAGACGAGGAGGCAAACACGCGCATCGCCCGCAGAAAGCCCCTCAAGGACGGGCTCTCCAGTCCCGCTTTCGCGCAAAAGGAAGTCCTTGGAAAGCCATCAGGACGATAGAGAAAAGCGATTGGCTGTGGAGGCCGAAGCGGAAGATTCAGAGGCGGACGACATTTACCAGTCGATTGAAATTGAGGTCGAACGAACTCCCAGCCCAGCGCGCGGCCGCGCTAGGGAACGGGAACGCTTCTCGACGCCAGTCCAAGAAGACGATCCGGATATGGCGCCTCCTCTCAGCAGCTCCTCAGAAAGCAATAGCCCAGCGGCATGGCCTTCGATGGACACGTTGGGCACACCGCACCTACACGCACAGACAACCGACAAGAGCACTGAAAACGCCAGAGCCACTCGATTCATCGTCGGAACTTTCCTCTCCGCCGTCACTCACCCATTCGCCAAACTACAACGCGCCAACCAAGGCGGCCGCAAAGAAGAAAGCGGCGCCACAGCAGAAGAAGGTGACGACGGCTGATCTAGCCTCTCTCCTGCCCCGCCGGCGACACAAGGCATCAACTCGCGACAATGACAATAACGACCCTTTTGACTTGGATGCCTCGGAAGACGAGCGTTACAATGCCAATGGCAATGATGCGAATGAGGCCTCGTACGTCGACTCGCGGCCTACGCGACGGAGAAAGGCCCAACGGCCTCTCGCAAAATCGACATCCAACGGGAAGGGCAAGCAGGCTGAAACCAGGAATGCGGGTGGCAAGCGGCGTGCTGTGCGGACGTACGGGTCGACGAATGACGACAAGGAGAACGACGAGGTTGCAGATGAGTTTGTGGTCGGTAGTGGAAATGAGGAACTCGATGAGGAAGCACAGGAGGAGCTCCCTGTGGAGGAGACGAGCCAGATGATGGTGGAGCGGCTCGGAGAGGAGCTGCAGAAAGCCGCGAAGAAGTTTAAAGAGGTGGACAAATGGGAATTGTCGTTTGAGCAGGCGACGCAGAGTTCGTCGCCGGGCCCGTTCGCTCGTTGAGACACCCGAACGATGGGTGGTTTTTGTTTTCCTGAATCCATTGATACCATTTGGCTTGCTTGGCTAGGATTCCTGTATCCGATTTTCTTGTCACGGACGTGGATAGTGACGGGTTGTTCTAAGGTTCCGGTTTGGAAGAACTTGCACTGGGTATCAGCGTTTGCTTAGGTTGAATCTTTGGCCTCGGCCAGGGCTGTTTATTCGTATTTGACGGAGTATATGTTCATTCATCATGCCTCATGTTTTACGTCGTCACAGGGGTTTTTCACGCCCCCTTTTCTTCATCTCGACTGCGGCAGCGCCCTATGACTTTTCCGCCAAGCAGACACTGTCTAGCGAGTGCTCAACAACCGGCAGTAGGTTAGCTACCTGGTTGGAGTCTCTCAAGGCGATGGTGACAGCGTCTGGCATCATCCCGCTCATGTGAAGATTCTGCCATTTGGTTAGTGCTCGCTCCACCAGAAAGGAACAACAAAAAACGACGACCTACCCGCTTCACGTTCTCAAACCCATCCTCCCGTGCGGTGTACTCCCGGATCACCAGCTCCTTCTCAAAGTCCACATACACCCTCGTATCCCTGACCCTCACCACCACCCCATCAAGCCTCATATACAACCGACACAGCAACAGCATCCTCTGCGCCATGACCCGCACCTTGACCGTCATGACGCTTATCCCATTATCATCCAACTCACTCTCATACAACACCACCTCATCTGCAAACAAAATCGGATCCCTCCTCTTCAACAACTCCACCGGAATCTCCTCCCCGCCCCCTACCTCCAACCCTCGCCCACCCACCTTACTCTCCCCCCCCTTATACGCCGCGCTATAACTCCAATCAAACGGCCGCACCACCTCGGAGATGCCCGCGCTGGTCTTCTCGCGCGAGCGGCTCCACTCGCGCGCGTAGGCCACGCGCAGCATCCCGCCCTCCCCCGTCTTGTCCACCGTGTCCAGCGCCGCCTCGGCCTCGAACTGGATCGTCCACCCCGTGGGGAGGTGCCGGATCGCGACCAGGTTGTCGCCGAAGATCATCTCGGGGATGGGGATGGACAGGCGTGCCGCGAGCGCGTCGATCGGACCGGCTTTGAGGATGGGGAGCTTGCGCGTGGTGATTTGGAAGGGGGATTGCGTGTGCGTGCGGGTGGAGAGCGCGGGGTTGGGGGTGCTGGTGCTGTCGAGGGGGGCCGTTGGGGGGTCCATTTTCTTTTTGTTTTTGGGGGGGCTGGGTTTTGGGTGGATGTGTTTTGTTGTTTGGAGAGGAGGGAGGGTTTTTGTAAAGCGCGACGGTTCTGTTCTGTTCGGTTGCGGTTGGATGGTAATCGTGAGGGTGGTGGTGGTCACGGCCGCTGAGGTTGGGATCGCGTGGTCAGTCGCGGGGTTGGAGGGGTCGAGGTTTGGTTATTGTCGGCCTGCGATGCGCCGTGGCGGAAGAGGTGTCGGAGCGTAGAACGGTGTCAAATTGTAAACCGCGGCGCTAATTTAGCTTCGTGCTCTGGCACTTGGGGGTAGAGTTTGAGCCGCTTTGGTATTTTTGAAGAGTTGTCGGCTCATGTTTCAAGAAATTGTAGGTTCCAAAATGGACGAGCGGTTCACAACTGGCCAAGCCAGGGTCCACTTTGGACATGCAGCTCTCCAACCGAAGATGTCAAAACGCAACCGCCTGCAAGTTTCAAACATGCTGTTTAAAGCCAAAAATCGCACATCACATCTTGTTTACTGTAGAGCAAGCCAACATCGATTGGTATTAGCTTGGCAGCTGGTCAAGGACTAGAAGCCAGTCTCAGATCCACGTAAAACCCTAAGGCTGCTTCCAAGAGTTGATCGTAGAACTATTTTGCCAGTCTTCCTTTTACTTCATTTGTAGTTATTGTTCTATCCTGCTGATCCAAGCAACTTCGTCCGGAAATGCTATTTCCAAATCTGTGTTGAATCCCAAAATGGATTTGATGCAGCCTGGACGGTGCCAGCATTGAAGCCTTGGCGGGACTAGGGCGGCGGGTCCGTTGCTGGGCAACGGCTCATTCCCAGCAAACGTAAATACCCCGACATTCCTCAACTTGAGGGATCCTGGAACTCCATCCTTCTCCGAAGTCGAGAACCGTCACAAGGTCGCACTTTTTTTTTTCTTTATTTTGATTAGCGCCAACACCCACTCTTGACCCTGACCTAACAACAGCAACACAATGGCGACGACAACAAGAACGTTGGAAGGCTGCTTTGACCGCCTTTCAGTGAACGACGAGAATGATCCTGGGGAGAACACCCGGCTTTACCAAAAGACCAAGGTACTTTGGACATCGCCTACCGGTTTGCTGATGGTGTTTATTAACGTATTATCCAGCCGATCAACTCCTCCAGCCAACTCGGCGGCGCCAGACCGAATCACCTCCTGAAGGTTGCGCTCCAAGCACAACACACCAACACCGTCATCACGACGGTGAACCTTCCCTCGCAAGCGGCCCAACGAAAGGGCACAGCGCCCCCAGCCAACCCCGTTTCCCCCAAGAAGGAGAAGCCGTCATCATTATCATCACGCCCCTCCGATGAAGATTCTCTCGACAGCGCTTCCTCCTACGTCGACCAGCCCCTCGTTCCTAAACAATTCCATCTCGGCATGTTTGAGATTGGCCGCCCTCTCGGAAAGGGCAAGTTCGGCCGCGTATATCTCGCGCGTGAGCGCGGCACTGGCTTCATCTGCGCGCTCAAGGTGCTCTACAAGTCGGAACTGCAGCAGGGCACCGGCGTCGAGAAGCAGGTCCGCCGCGAGATCGAGATCCAGAGCAACCTGCGCCACCCCAACATCCTCAAGCTCTACGGGCACTTCCACGACAGCAAGCGCATCTTCCTGATCCTCGAGTTTGCCGGCAAGGGTGAGCTGTACAAGCACCCCCGTCGCGAGAGCCGATTCCCCGAGTGGAAGGCCGCGCAATACATCGCCCAGATGGCGGCGGCGCTGAAATACCTGCACCGCAAGCACGTTATCCACAGAGACATCAAGCCTGAGAACATCCTGGTGGGAATACACGGCGAGATCAAGATCTCAGATTTCGGCTGGAGTGTGCACGCCCCCAACAATAGGCGGAACACGCTGTGCGGTACCCTGGACTACCTCCCGCCCGAGATGATCAAGTCCGGCAGCAAGGACAACTGGTACAATGAGAAGGTTGACCTGTGGAGTTTGGGTGTCTTGATGTACGAGTTCCTGGTCGGTGAGGCGCCGTTTGAGGACACGCCCATCATGACGCACAAGCGGATCGCCAGGGCTGATATGACCATCCCGGAGTGGGTGAGCAAGGAGGCCAAGGACCTCATCAAAAAGGTACGTTGACTTATACCCTCAACTTTGCCGTGCCATCACCGCTAACACAATGCAGCTGTTGGTGCTTGATCCCGAGAAGCGACTTCCCCTCGAGGAGGTCCAGAACCACCCCTGGATCATCAAACACTGTGTGAAGGGCGAGCGGGCGGCCAACAGGGAGAAGCCGGTCAAATAAATTCGCCATGATTAATGAAGCATCTGCGATTTTGGGAGTTAGCGAGTGGCGTTTGGGGTTTATTGGGTTCACTGGGAACTGTGTCAGGAGTTCATTGCATCTAGCCTTGGTTGTTTAATTTTGACGCCCTCAGCCATGTCCTATGAGTGGCGGTGCATCAACTGTTGTTGCAGGGAGATCCGTTACTAGTACAAGCATTTTACATTTACAGTGGGAAAATAGCCACTCATCGGAGACTCAGCGATACACCTCCTCAAATGGCCTCTTGTCTGAGAAGCACGAGTCCCACACCTCATTGACGACCTTGGTCGCATGTACGTCGTCCCTGCAGGTCGGCCGTGCCATGACGGACTGGATCGCCCGCATCCGCACGCAGTTCTGAAACTGTTGTGTCAATGTCCAGTTGCCCCGTGTCATGGTCTCTCTCGTCCACCGGCACTCTCCGCTAAGCATCGACGCCCGGATCTAGAAAACACCCAGTTAGCTTGTCGTGCCCCATACGCCCACCCATCCAAGCATTTGCCTTCCCAGAGCTCACCTCAGTGCACGCAGCATGCCTCAAGTTCCCTCCCCCACTCCAATCCACCTTCCACCGCAAATGATCCCACGCATGCACCATCTCATGCGCCAGGGTATCCTCCAGATGACTGCCGATCACGCATCTCATTCGCACAAATCAAGATCCCATGCTCGGGACTAAACCCGCCCCCCTGGCGCACCACCCGCCCATCCTCGGCCACGCGCGCCGGACACCGCCGGCACACCACGTTGGTCTCGTCCAGCGTGCCGTTGAGCGCCGCCACCTTGTCGCGCAGGAACCGGATCGTCGGCGAGTACGCGAAGAGATAGGCCCGGTCCGCCTCGCACCGTGCGCAGTCGCGCGCCTCGTTCGCTTTGTACCGGTCTTCGCGGTAGTGTTCCACCCCTTCGCGGGTTACCTGGCCGGTCATGATCCGGAAGTAGTTCAGCCACCATTTTACGGTCGGGTCGTAGCCAGTGCGGGCGGGGTCGTTGTCGAGGAAGCGGGGGAGGGGCGGTTGTGTTTTTGGTGGTGATGGTTGTTGGGGATTGGAGGAGGCGGAGGAGGGGGAGGGAGGTTGTGTGGAGGTTGAGGATAATTGTGGTGGTGGTGGTGTTGCCATGGTTGCTGGGTGTGGTGGGAGGGAGGGGTGAGGTCGTGATGTTGGTGTCGACTAGGTATGGACTAGAACTCGGTCTGGCCCTAGCGTATCCTAAAACGGGGTATTATTCTGTTCGGTGGTGAGGTAGAACGCCGTCGTCCAAGGTCTGGTCGAGAATGTCGAAGTTTCGCGATCTGATCTGCAAGCTGCTCTCAGCGGCTCCACCGCCGAACCTCCAGTGCCTGGGCCCCATCTTTTTTCCCTGTTTGAACCCCGGATTTCCATTGGCGCCCCTCCCGATGTCGGCCAATCGAACGGCTCACTCACTCCCCAGAACTGCGCCTTGCAGTCACAGTGGTCCCACTGAATTTGGCGAGCAACAAGAAAATTACAGCACCCCTGTGAAGCATACCCGAGGCCCGATGCTATATAATGGAAATGAGTTGCTGCGCGTGTAAGAGAGAAATCCCGCAGAAGAATTTGATGTTCCTGCTTTTGCTGTTTTGCCCTCGTTTTGCTTGCCTTTGACTGACTTTTGGATTCTGTCGATTTTACCAGCCATGAGAGGACCACGTCCGCTTGGCGTTGTGATTAAGCTCGGTGAGTAACATCTCACTCAGTCAATGAAATCTAAAGACAGGGGTTTGTGTAACTGACATCTCATTCCCAGGGACGAGCTCCATCGTCGACGAGAAGACCCATGAACCTCTCCTTTCTATCCTGACGTCGATAGTGGAAACGGCAGTGAAACTAAGGAAAGATGGACACAAGGTCATCATCGTCTCCTCTGGAGCTATTGGCGTTGGGCTACGGCGGATGGACGTCGATAAAAGACCAAAGCACCTGTCAAAACTGCAGGTAAGGTGCTCGCCCCTTCGTAGTTGAACTTGTTGCCTAACTAAGTCGCAGGCCCTTGCAGCCATCGGTCAATGCCGGCTGATGAGTCTCTGGGACAGCTTGTTCACCCATCTCATGCAGCCCATTGCTCAGATTCTTCTGACACGAAGTGATATTGCCGATGTGAGCAAGTTCGACGGTCCTTATTAGCGTTCGGTCACTTACACTATTGACAGAGGTCACGGTATCTCAATGCTCAGAGGACCATCAACGAGCTCTTGGACATGGGTGTCATCCCCATCGTCAACGAGAACGACACGCTGGCCGTGTCAGAAATCAAGTTTGGCGACAATGACACCCTCTCAGCCATCACCGCCGCCATGGTCCACGCCGACCTCCTCTTCCTCATGACTGACGTCGATGCTTTGTACGATAAGAACCCACGGACTCATCCTGACGCTCACGCTATCGAAGTGGTCGAAGACATTGGGGCGCTGGTAGCAGATGGTTCGTCCTTTACTTCCAGTTCTCAAGAACCGTTACCTAACCCTCTCCTAGTTTCATCTGCTGGCTCCTCCCTTGGCACAGGTGGTATGTCTACCAAGATCGTGGCCGCGCGCCTCGCAACCTCAGCCGGCGTCACAACCGTCATCACACGGTCCTCCATCCCAGGCAATATCATCAAGATCGTCAAACACATCCAAGCCCAGCCGCTCCCCACCCTCCCTCGCCACCAAAGCCAACCAAGCCCCCGGCACCCCAGGCACACTCTCCCGCAACCAAAGCACCGACGCGCTCCTCCACTCAGCCGTCGCCGCTACCACCCAACACCAGCAGCAGCAGCAGCAGCAGCAGCAACAATCCCCGCACCACTCCGACGCCGAGCGCACGCTCACCTCATCCCCCATCCCCGGCTCCACACCCAACAGCAACACCACCAACAAAATCCCCCTACACACCCGCTTCCTCCCCTCGCCGCACCCGGTCCGCGACCGCTACTTTTGGATCCTGCACGGCCTGCGCCCGCACGGCACGCTGTACATCGACCAGGGCGCGTACAAAGCGCTGGTCGGCAAGGCCGGGCTGCTCCCCGTCGGGGTGGTGGATGTGGAGGGGACGTTTGCGCAGCAGGAGGCGGTGCGGCTGTGCGTGGTTGATAAGAGGAGGAGGGGGGGGAGGGGGGTGGTTGTGGGTGGTGGTAGTGGTGGTGGTAGTGGTGGTGGTGGGGAGGAGGATGGGAATGGGGATGGAGCGAAGCTGTGGGAGGGGGAGGCGCGTGAGGTGGGGCGGGCGTTGAGTAATTATTCGAGCGCGGAGATTGCGAGGATTAAGGGGAGGCAGAGTGTGGAGGTGGAGGGGATTCTGGGGTATGCGGACAGTGAGTATGTGGCGCACCGGGAGAGTATTAGCTTCTTTGCTTCGGTGAGTAGGCCGGCGACCCCGGTGAGGGAGGTGGTGGAGGGGAAAGGGATCGGTGGGTATGAAGGGGAGGGGGCAGTCTTGTAGGGGGCATGAGGTTTCACATTTTGAGAGGGGGAACACGGATAGACAAAATAGACCTTTTCTTTGATATCTTCATATAGCTAGCTGACTTGAGTCATATTTAAGCCAATTATTTGTCTTTACTATTCCGCCCACTGCCCGCCCGTCTCGCATGGGAATCTAAGACCCTCAAAACGCCTGACGCCGTGTATTTTTGCTAACCATATCGTCCAACACTTACTCCATCAACCAGCAAAAAGCGTGTCCTCGTCGCGGAGATACTCCCCGCAGTCCGACTGCCGGAAGCACACGATACCCGTGGGGTCCAGCCGCCTCGCCTCGGCCGTACTCCTCGCAGTCTATTCCACGTCAGTCACATCTTGTCCCCTGGGAAACCCAAGGTGAAAGGGCACCTACCACGCCAAATCCAAGCGGGACATCTGCCATGCTGTAGACTACGCAGCCCTGATGTTCAGGGCAGTCCTCGGACCACCGGCCAACATGCGCCTTAACCACTAATTCCGCCCAAAACAGTCAGCATTTCCCCTTTCCACAACTGATATCCACATCCACCGCCACCCCCTCCTCCCAAGAAAAAAAGAATCTCACCGTTCGACCCGTAAAGAAACGGCTGGGCCCCGTTGTCCTTGACCCAGATCTTGTGGCGGGCGCCCGCCGCGATGATGGGCAGGGCCGTGATGTGCAGGCGGAACTTGCCCGTCTTGGTCACCTTTCCGAGGCAGGTTCCCAGGCTGAGGAGGGCGTCACGGCTAATGCTGGTGGCGAGGTTGGCGATCGAGAGCTTGACGTAGTAGACCTGTGCGTGACGGGGTGATGTAAGTATGGTTGGGATGGATGGGACGTTGGGTCGCGGATAGGGGGGAGAGACGGGGGTCGTACGCGAGAGTGGTTGAGGCGGAAGACGTAACGGTCGCCGTCTTCGAGGGGCGCGATCAGGCTCTTGAGATCGGACATGTAGTTGGCGAGCTAAGGGAGGTGTTAGTTGTTGCTTTGAAGCTTTTGGTCTTCGGAGAGACCCATTGGAGGCGAGTGAGGGAGGGAATTGGTAGGCGTACCTTGTCCAACACCGTCTTCATTTCTTCATCTGTTAGGGGGCGCATCTTGACGGACTGTGCAGGTTGATTGCTGTCTTGACTGAGAACTGGCGTGTTGATTCCTGCTTTCGCTCCCTGCAGCAATCTCGAGGCTTATCGGAACACCAGAAAAAAAGTCAAAGTCAATCGCAACCCCACATTTCGGTGTTCGCTTGGCAGGCCCGCTTTTACCCGCCTCACCACGGTCAGCTCCGATCCACTCTCACATTATTTCAACGAATCGCCAGTTCGGAATTTCTTTCATCCGATTTTTTTTTCCAAAAAGGCAAGGGGTTATAGGATTTTTCTTTTGCAACACAATGTAACACAATTCGAAGAACCCAAAGGCCCGCTGGCCAAATGGTAAGGCGCCAGATTTCGGCTCTGGAGATTGTGCGTTCGAGCCGCACGTGGGTCGTTCTTCACTTTTTTTGAGTTGTGTCGGGAAAGCGCACCCGCTCAATTCTTGTCTTAGTGCGTTTCTCTTCCCGACTTAACAGACTGGAAAAGAAGGTACAGCCTTTCGTACCTACCCAGCAATCCTCATTTCCTTCGTAGTTGCATTTTATTCAGCCAACTGAGACACACTCTTGCAGCCCACCTCTCTCCGCCCCCCACTTTCAATTGACTATCAAACAATTAACTCTCCCGTAGCTGCTACTACCACTTTTGCATGAGCCGCAATCAAAGAAAGTTTTAACAATGGCTGATCATTTCCTTTGTTCCAGAATTCCGGTGCTCCTGAAGATGCGGCTCTCGCTGATCAGCGCAATCAAGATGCGCCCCGGATCACTCCTTCAGGGAAGCGACTGGTCGATTGGATCGGAGTAATCAATGCTGGAAATCATTCGAGTGGCCCAAGCAGGTCCGCACGGTGCGGCAGAGTGATGAGCAACAAGTGGTAGGGGCAACGACCGGGTTTTCGGGTCGTGGGTGACGATACCTTCCTCTTTCGATATCGCTGCAACGTTCTCAAAATACCCGGCGCCCCTCCCATCTGCCTCGATCTGCTTCTTCACATCTTCCGCATCTCAAATCGTCCTCAATATTGCGCAAGTGAGATCCTAGAGGATTCGACGCGGGGTTCCCTCTTATTCTCCACGAGTCTGCTACGCCCAGACAACCGCCAAGCCCATCATCATGACAAACATCGGGCTCCTCGTTGGCCCAGGCTCCTGAGCCGGGAACTTCGGGCGGCCTTCGAACGGCGGGGCTCTCGGAGGCCATGCGCCGTCGAGATCGTTTACGGAATGGCTGCGGCTCGCCGGGAGCCCAAGCCCCAGGAACAAGTCTTGGCCTGCTGCCAATTAACCGCGATGCTGGCTCCCGTTCTGGGCGCCGAACGGCACGGCCCTGCCACTACCCCTGCCGCTGCCCTGCTACCGCCCCTGTAATCACCGGGACTTCCCATCCGAGGCGTCGACTTCGGCGTGGCAGCCACTCTCGTACCCACCGACCCGGTTTGTGTGCTGCAGGCGAACTGTAGCTGGAACTGGAACCAGGTTGGGTTGCCAAACCCCCCGGCTCGGGCAAGACCGAAAGAGTATGGCGTGCTGTAGTATGCGGGAACCATGGCATATCACAGCTCTCTCTCAGGCACCTCCCAACGTAAGCCTCGGCGTCTTACCGCGTTGAGAAACGGCGGACAATCCCCTTCTGAGTCGAGACTACAGAATACAAGCATTACGAGGGAGACATGGAGGTGGTCAGCTGTCCGCGCCGCACCTAGGTGTTCCCGTGGCCTCCACTCGCTTCATCCGTCGTGGGATGTCCTTGCCTATTCCCCGGATGCATCGTTGGAGTTGCATCCTGCTCGCGATGGCGGACAGGGTTGCCGCCGTTCCACCTACCGGAGATTTTGCGTACCCTGTCCCTCATTTGCCCCTCCACTAGAGGTGGAAGCGTGCCGGATTGCCTGGTGCCGAATTCAGGGAAAGGGGGGCCTTCGACGATGGTTTAAGAGGGAAGCTGTGTCCTCGGGTTGCCATCTCTTTGTGTGCTTGTACGCCGGTAGAGTCGAGGTAAACTAGTCTCTGCACTCCACGATGAGATCCTCCTCTCGCTTCGTTGGCGCCCTTGCGGCGGCGGCATCGTGTAAGTACGAGTCCAGTCACGTCAAGTCCGCCAGCCACTAACACTCACCTTGTAGTCCTGCCGTCTGCCCTTGCCCAGAACAACGTCCCCGACACTTTCACTGACGCGGACTCTGGCATCATCTTCAACTCTTGGAGCATCGCCAACGGCGGTGCCCAGACTCAGGGCGGTTTCAAGTTTGGTGTGGCTCTGCCTGAGGATGCTCTTTCGACCGATGCCTCAGAGTTCCTCGGTTACCTGGTATGTTCCAAAAGACCGCAGAGGTGTCGCTCCCAGAGGCTGACCGCCCTAGCAATGTGCGAGGACTGAAGACGCGGGATGGTGCGGTGTCTCCCTCGGCGGCCCCATGACCAACTCGCTCCTCATCACGGCCTGGCCCCACGAGGATACTGTCTACACCACCCTCCGCTTCGCTACTGGCTACGCTATGCCGGATGTTTACAAGGGCGATGCCGAAATCACCCAGGTCTCGTCCACCATCAACTCGACGCACTTCACCCTGGTCTTCAGGTGCCAGAACTGCTTCTCGTGGAGCCAGGACGGCGCAGAGCGCAGCATCTCGACGAGCTCCGGTGCCTTGGTCCTCGATTGAGTCCAGGCCTTCAGCGAGGTCGGCAACCCTACCTGCCCGAGACCAAATCACTATCGACCAGCACGACAACGGCATGGGCATCTGGGGCGCCCAGCTCGACGCCAACGCCGCCAACCCGTCCTACACCGCCTGGGCTGCCCAGGCTACCAAGACCGTCGCGGGCGACTGCGACAGCTCGACCCCGACTGACGTCATCAGCGTCCCCGTGCCGACGGATGCTGTGTTCGACTACATCGTCGTTGGTGGCGGTGCCGGTGGTATCCCCACTGCTGACAAGCTCAGCGAGGCCGGCAAGAAGGTGTTGCTCATCGAGAAGGGTTTTGCCTCGACCGGCGAGCACGGCGGCACTCTCGGCCCCGCGTGGCTCGAGGGTACCGGCCTCACCCGCTTCGACGTCCCCGGCCTGTGCAACCAGATCTGGGTCGACTCTAAAGGCATTGCGTGCGAGGACACCGACCAGATGGCCGGTTGCGTCCTCGGCGGCGGCACTGCTGTGAACGCCGGTCTGTGGTACAAGCCCTACTCTCTCGATTGGGACTACATCTTCCCCACCGGCTGGAAGTACCGTGACGTCCAGGCCGCCATCGGCCGTGTCCTCCAGCGCATCCCGGGTACCGACGCCCCGTCGACCGACGGCAAGCGCTACTACCAGCAAGGCTTCAACATGCTCGCCAGCGGTCTGACTGCCGGCGGCTGGAGCAAGGTCACGGCCAACTCGGCCCCCGACCGCAAGAACCGCACCTTCTCCAACGCCCCCTTCATGTTCGCCGGCGGTCAGCGCAACGGCCCTTTGGCCACCTACCTGACCAGCGCCAAGAAGCGCAGCAACTTCAACCTCTGGCTCAACACCTCAGTTAAGCGTGTCATCCGTGAGGGTGGCCACATCACCGGTGTTGAGGTCGAGGCCTTCCGTGACGGCGGCTACAAGGGTATTGTGCCAGTCACCAGCGTTACCGGCCGCGTTGTTCTGTCCTCTGGTGCTTTCGGAAGCGCCAAGATTCTGCTGCGCAGTGGTATCGGCCCGGCCGACCAGCTCGAGATTGTCAAGGCCTCCGAGAAGGATGGTGCGACCATGATCAGCGACGACTCGTGGATCAACCTCCCGGTTGGCTACAACCTGGACGACCATCTTAACACTGACACCGTCATCACCCACCCCGATGTTTCTTTCTACGACTTCTACGCGGCGTGGACCGACCCCATTGCCGCCGACAAGACCAGCTACCTTAGCAAGCGCACTGGCATCCTTGCTCAGGCTGCCCCCAACATTGGCCCTATGTGAGTTGCATCATGACCCCGGATCGCCCCAAAACATCTGACTAACCAAAACAGTATGTGGGAGGAGATCAAGGGTGCCGATGGCCGTGTCCGTCAGCTCCAGTGGACTGCCCGTGTCGAGGGCAGCCTTGACACCCCCAACGGCAGTACGTTCCCCTCTCTAACCCCCCTTTTAACAAAAAAGAAACAAGCAAAGGACAATCCACTGACCCCCTCCCCCCACAACAGAGGCCATGACCATCTCGCAGTATCTCGGCCGTGGCGCCACTTCGCGTGGCCGCATGACCATCACCCCGGCCCTCACCACCGTCGTCTCGGACGTCCCCTACCTCAAGGACCCCAACGACAAGGAGGCCGTTATCCAGGGCATTGTCAACCTCAAGGCCGCCCTCAGCTCCGTTCAGGGCCTGACCTGGACCTTCCCCAACGCGAGCGTCTCTGCCCGCGACTACGTCGACAACGTACGTGTCCCCTTTACCCTTCCCCTCCCTCAACCACATAATTATTAACCCCCCTTACAGATGGTCGTCGCGACCAGCAACCGCCGCGCCAACCACTGGATGGGCACCAACAAGATCGGCTCCGACGACGGCCGTCAGAACGGCGGCAGCGCCGTGGTGGACCTCAACACCAAGGTGTGGGGCACGGACAACCTATTCGTCGTCGACGCCTCCATCTTCCCCGGTGTCCCCACCACCAACCCCACCTCGTACATCGTGACGGCCGCCGAGCACGCCTCGCAGCGCATCCTCGCCCTCCCCGCGCTCAAGTCCGTGCCCCGCTACGGCCAGTGCGGCGGCAAGCAGTGGACCGGCAGCTTCATCTGCGCCGCCGGCACCACCTGCCAGGCCCAGAACCCCTACTACTCGCAGTGCTTGTAAAGGCGACGGGAGGGGTAGGACATGCGGGTCCGTCCAGGTGTGACTGGTAATGGGGTTTTATTGTAAGGGAGGATTCGAGGTTTGGGGGGTTGGTAAGGTGCATAGCCATACATATACACATACAAACCTGCGTTTCGTTTCATGTCTATAGTTCTTTTTTGATTGTACATAAATTTGAACCTGATCAGTTTGGCAAAAGTCTTCTTCTGGGAACGTGCACAAGTGGGAAAAATTAGTATTGAGGCTCCCTAAACATCAGCTACCTATCCCTTCTCCCAGCTTCAGCCCAGGCCATCATCCGAATACTAGATACCAATCGCTCCAGATCCGTCGGCTACGCCACAACGACGACGGGCGCTATCAGCCATGAGAAGGCAAAGCAATACAAAATACCAAACACCAGACACCAACATAAACCTGATCCTGATCGTAGCCTCCCAGATATGAGAACCATGTGCACGGGAACAAGCAAAGCATCAAATGCCGCCGCCAACCACCTCTTCCACCACCACAAAGCGCCAGAGCCAAGGCTAACACCAGTCGACGGAGGGCTAATAATCGGGATCGACGGCACCCGGGCCAAAAGCGCAAGTGTGCTCAAAGACGACCTCGTCCAGCCAGCAAACCGGGTCTTTCCGGCCCTTGGGCGTGCGATGGACCGCCTCAAAGCGCACGAGCTCTGTAAAGTTGAGGTTGTCTTGAACCAGTTTCTTAACCCAGACCAGGTCATCAGGGTTCGCCGCCTTCTCGTCCCAGCCACTCTTATGCGGGATGCGATAGCTCAAATACACTTTGAAGTGCCGCTTGCGGTCGCGAGTCTTCTTGTAGACGGGGCTGTTGTCAGCATCGATGAAATCGTACGCGGCCTCGGACGAGAAGCAGTCCGAGACGGTCGTCAAGAGCATGTCGAGAAGTGAAAAGCCAATCTTTTTGCGCTTGTACTCGGGATGGACGAAGACGTTGATCTTGCCCGTGGCTCTACTGCTACCGAGGGCGGTGCCTCCAAGGCCGGGCTGCCAAACAGACAGGAAGGCAAAGCCAAGGATCTCACCACGCTTTTCTCCATTAAACGGCACCTGTTTGAAGACCGAGAATGAGGTATTGCAGTTGGTCATGCCCAAGTTCCTGGCCGAACCGCGAACGGCGACGAGGAATGGCAGGCCGAGTTGCTGCGTGGTGGCGAGGATCTTCTCAAACTCTTCGACCGTGACAGGTTGAGAGTCGAGAGCTTGGATGCCGTGTTCCACCTCCCAATTGTAAATAGCCCGCACCGCCTCCATGTCATACTTCTCGGCTGGACGGAGGAACGAGGGAATCCGTGGGACAAAACGGTGGAATTCGGGCCTCTCAATTACCGGCTCGTGGACCACAACGGGCAAGTTCTCGTTGATGGTTGCTGGACCCTCAAACTCCAGTACCATAGGGGTGTTGCGGCGCCTGTCCCCACCAGGGCGGCCGCTCCTTTGCTCGTTGTACTTTTTGATGGAGAGGGCGGTGCTCCAGATTTGGCGCCGCCACTCTTCCTGTGGATTCTGCGGCCTGATGCCAACAGTAGAATCCGGGTGGCTGATGGGCTCTCGGAGATTCCCTGTGAGCGTGTCGATGTCACACCTCCAATGGGTGTCACTCTTATCAAAGGTAACCACCGGGCCCTGAGGAATTCGTGCCTGCCAGGCGCCAATGAACGACTCGAGATAGGACTTTTCCGTAAAGATCTCCTCCTCGTTTCGACCACTCTCGTTCCGGAGGCCATACACGGTCCAGGAGTTTCCTGAGGCGTAGATTCTATGCGGCAGGCCGATGGTGTTCCTAACGTCCGTATCTGTGCCTTCAGCGGCCCGTGTGTCAACACCGGTGTCGCTCACATTGAATCCAGATCCCAAGGACGGAAGGCTGTACGACGATCCAGCGTAGTTCTTGTTTGGGCGTGGCAGCCGATATTGACGCAGGTCGAGGTCCATTTGGTCGAGGCGAGGAGGGCGTATCACATCTCTTTCCCCATCAGTCGTGCGCACGTCTTCCTCCTTGCGGCCACCTCCACGCCGGCCACGTCCTCGGTGACCACCTCCGCGTGAGCGACTCATCTCGCTCGTATCAGTTCCGCTGGAAAGCGAAGGCGATTTGGGAGGGTAGCTGTTCTCTCGTGCCTCCGGCGCTCTGTACCTGGGATTGGGGTTAGCTGGCAAAAATGACTGATGAACTGGAGCACTATAGGTCGGCATGGGCTCGTCAGGCTGTTCCCAAGACTCGAGATCAAGAGACCTTAGGTCGGGCCACTGGGCCGCTTTGGACCAGATTACCCGAGTTCCAGTTACGGGATACATCGATAGGTCGACAATGCCCTTTGTAATGCGCTGAGCATCCCAGTAAGTGTTCGTCAGTTCAGGTGCGTTTATCATCCGTGCCTGTCGGGTGCGGACCGCTGTGGGCTGGGGTGGGTTCTGAGCTTTCGGGGGTTGAGGCGTGGGCCGCGTGGTAGTGGGCACATTTTGCAGCTCGATGCTGCTTTTTGCAGGACGCGCAAAACCGATGGCGGAAAGGAATGCATTCTCCAAATCTGGGGAGTCCAGATTATGGGCCTCCTTGGGGCTCAAACCCGCACTCAGTTTGGTAGTTTCCATGGTGCCGTGATGCAACGTGTTGTAGATGACTCGACTAAGAAGAGTTGAATTGTCAGCGAACAAAATCTATAGAGGCGGCCTTGAGCGACTTACGTTGCAATGTATTTTCAAAGTGATTTAAATCAGGAAAACATAACCGCATAGGTAGGCAAGCTGCGCTGAGCTGGTGAGCATCCATCTACGCTTGGGGCCGCTCTGGAGCCAGGAGGGATGGACTTACCTGTCGAGAAGTCGCAAACAAGAATGTTTTCAATCGATTTCCGAGGATTGAGATATTTGAACAACGTATACCAAATCCTATGGTAGAAATGGGACTTCTCCCGATGCCAGCATACCCGTTCGACTCGCAAGGTTGTTCGGGGATGGCGAGATAAAGAGAGGAGGAAGAGGAAAGAATTTGGGGGCACAGGGGATATTTCTTACCAAATGGTAAACTGTGTGCAATCCAAGGCGGAGCAGAACAGAATTTTAACAGCCCTGGCGCTTGATAGGTGTGCAGAGAGGTGTGCAGATATGCTCCGGAAAAGTGAAGCTTGTGAAGAACGAATTGGTGGACAAATTTGGTGTTTTCCGTAGGATGATAAGAGCAAGAAAGGATGAAAGGAAGGTGCCTGATTTAGCCCCAGACCAAGCCAAGTATTTAAAGCTATTCGTTCAAATTTGCACAGGCAGTAGCAAAACAGATCAGATTAAAATCTTAGTAGCAATCCTGGAACCTAAACTTGGGAAGGCGCTTTTGAGGCCAGTCATTTCAATGGGCAAGAGGCCGAAGGGAGTTGTTATCTGGAGCCTCACGTTCAATCATTGGACACTGCAGCTAATGCTGCATAATAAAACGGCAATGCATCGCAAGTACATTAACAATGTATTCGACTAATAATATTCTTATTGTGTTTTGCTGTCTCTTCTGCCCACACTGAGTTTTCTTCTTGAAGACTTGGGACCTTGGTCGAAACAATCTCCAAGGCGGAAGAGATACCTACCTAGGTAGTTTGGCCACCGTGACCAGAGCTGAGTTATGAGTGCCTACCTGAGTCATATCCTTTGTAGGCACTAATACCGTTGTTGTTTTGTTGTTGTTGGGGTTCCCCGTCTTCCTCTACCATGGAGCCTGTCTGCTGAGCACCCAAGGCATCAACGGTCATTTGCTGAGAATAGTGGGATCCCGCTTCATGTAACCAGTAACTGTACGGGGTGATAGGTATTTTTGCCGGGAAGATGATTGCACAAAAAACTGTCCATGAAGCAGATCGGTGATGTTGATATTTGTCACGTGGGAGCCTCTTCGGGTTCCATGCCTCTATTTTTCGCTTATCATTGGCTTGTGTAAACCAGGCACCGATCTGGGGGCAATGCACTTCCCCCCCTTTTAACATACCGCTGGTGCAGGACATGTGCGTGCTTGGATATCTTGAGTGGTAACCAACTAGTTACCTAGTTTAATTCCAATGATTAACGGCTCCATCGGCTGCTTGTGGTAATTATTCGAGAAGTTGCTTTGGCTCTCTCAGTATTGTGACCCCGCATCGAAGCAAATATGCTCTCCATTCTGCGCAAAGCAAGACTCAAGGATAAGGAGTTGCGCATCTTGATGCTGTATGGTGCACAGAAAATTCTTCATTTGGCGGTGCCCTCGCTAATATTGATGCAGCGGTCTTGATAATGCAGGCAAAACTACCATTGTCAAAAGGATAATGGGCGAGGATGTCAACACTGTCAGCCCCACCCTCGGCTTCATCATCAAGACGATCGACTACGACGGGTATGTTCGCACTTCTTGGGGAACTCACCACGGTCGGACAGGTTACATGTGCTAATCTCTCCCAACATTAGATATAAGCTCAACATCTGTCAGCACAGTCTTTTCTCGTCTGTCTGTTTCCAGCACTGATTTGGCAACTAGGGGACGTTGGCGGCCAAAAAACACTCCGTTCATACTGGCGCAATTACTTTGAGAAAACGGATGCCTTGATTTGGGTGGTCGATGCTACCGACAGGTTGCGCATCGAGGACTGCAGAGAGGAGCTGCATGGTTTGCTTCAGGAAGAGGTGAGGGTCCTTGTTGCTGTCCTGTCGCGGGTCCTCGTCACTAACCCACAGAAAAGCGTCTTTCCGGGGCAAGCTTGTTGGTGTTTGCCAACAAGACCGATGTTGCTGGGTGCATGGGCAGCGATGAAATGCTGAAGGTTGGTCTTGACTATCGAGCCCTGGTTTGGCTTGGTTGGGTTTGCGCTAACGTCACGGTTCCGACACAGGCTCTGCGGCTCGACGAAATCCGGACGCACAAATGGAATATCCTCCGGTGTAGTGCTATGACTGGAGAGAACCTCAAGGAAGGATTGGCCTGGGTTGTTGAGGATGCCAAGGCCCGCCTCTTTTTGTACTGATGAAGTTATACAGTTCACTATCTAGTTGACTAGTTAGCGGCTTTGCCTCATCTTTTCCTCTCTTGTCGTTCCAAAAGTTGGCAATATCCGGGGCCCCTGTAAATAATCTCGGATGAGCCCAATTTCCCATTGTTACTAAGGCAATCAATGTAAACAAATGGTGAGGTGGGTCAAGGGAGGTTTGTGGCAAAGCAAATCCAACAAATCCAACATCCTGCCAGTTGGGCGAGAAAGAGGCAGGGAGGTTCCATTTCTTACGTCCGAGTATAAATCCTACCCACAGTGACACAGGTTTTGGTCCAGAAATATCCTGAAACAAAGCATAGATTGGCTTGATGTTGCAGTGCTTTGAACAATGCCGGTGCGAGGGAGGGCACTTGGCCAGAGCGTCGGGAGAGCAACACAGGGCTCTCTGCGAGACAAGACTCGGCTCAGCCTATTAGAGGGCGCCATGGGGCCGAACACTGGAGCCAGCGCCAAGCCCCCCCAGTCCCGTCCCGTGTGAGCCCTGTGGATGCCCCGTGCAGCCGGTCCGGCTGGGCACATCAAACTGCCCCTCCGGGACTCTGCCTGTTTGTGTTCAGTCTTCCATTCTAGGATTCGAGTTTTGAATGTTGACATCCAACCCGTCCTAGGATTCCCCCGACAGCCTTCTCTTCGTGCCCCCGTGCCCCCAATTAATACTGCATACTGCCGTTGTGTGTCATGCCGAAGACGTTGCCTCGGAAACAGCCATGTCTGACGAGGTATCCGACTTTTTGCGCTCAGTCGAGCTGCTGAAGGAGAGACGAGAGGAGGAAGATGAGGCCCGATCGCGGGATCTGGAAGAAAAGATCTTGCAGGAGAAGAAAGAACGCCAGGCCCGGCGCGCAGGTACGCCCGACCCCGATCCCGCTACCCTACTACCACTTCCCACCGGGCAGCTTTCACCCCTCCGTCCAAAACATCGAATCGAATCCATGTGCGCGTGCCTTCCTGGAACTACGCACTAGGGACCCAGGAGAGCTCGGGGCATTGCTTACCGGATTTGCCCACCTACCTGGGCTGCATTGCGCACGCTTTTCTGGACCGAAACACTGATAGGTTTTTTTTCCTGCAGAACGCGCAAGATCGATTTCACCGCAAAAGTCATCACCCGCAAACACTCCACCGCCAACCGCACATCGCGCCAGCCTCCTCCCGTCTGCTTCCGGCGACACAAGTTTGGAATCACCGGGGCTTGAGAGCTCCGGGAGTCCCAGGCAACGCACCCTCGAACCATCCTCCGATGCCATGAATAATAGCGCAGCCGAGCAGTCGAGCTCCCCGACAAAAGAGAACGATTCCCCATTCGACTCAGAACTCAAACGGACTAGCGTGAACTTGGGCTCGCCGTCGATCGGCATGCCGTCCGCGCGATCCACGCTCTCGTGGCAGAGGCGACCGACCTCACAAGCTTCCGATCGCCCCAAAAGCCGACCTTTATCCATGGTCGCTGCTGAGAATGCCGCCCGGAACGTTCCCGGCAGCGCCGAACCAGCCGAGCAGACTTTGTCTCGGGACCAGATCGCTCAGTCCCTATCGGGCAAGGACCCCTCGTGGTTTCGCCAGACTGCTGACCCAGGTCGGGGATCGGGGGCTTTCAGGAAGACTCAGGTGGAGGACCAGGATACGGTCGATATGCCCGTCGTGCGCACCCAACTTCCCGGCATGTCACAAGAGTCGACGTCAGAACCAGTCAAGGAGAGCCCAACTGCCCGACCAGTGACGCCCACCAATCTATCCGCCAAACTTGGCTCTCCGCTCCCTTTGACCGGTTTCCAACGTCTGGATCCGCCAGCTGGCGAAAACGTGGAGGACGCGGACACAGCTGCTGCTAATCGCCAGTCCATAGCTTCGCCGCCCGGCCGGACGTCGCCCACAAGACCGCGCTCCCCCACCAAGGGGATGGGTGGGTTTGTGCAGAGCGCTATGATGAAGCGCTCAGACAGTGTCAAACGATGGAGTGTTAACTCACCCGCCGGCTTCCAGCGATCGGATTCCGTTCGATCCAGCGCAAGCACTGTGGACAGCGCACAACGCCCTACCACCCCGAAAACGGGAGGGCGCCCAAAGAGCATGTTAGGGGGACCGTCGGACATGCCTACCCTTGCTCCCAGTTTGAGCGATGAAAAGGAACCTGAGTCAGAAGAACAGGCCGCCCCCGCTCGGCCGACAACGCCAATGGAGTCAAAGGCAAAGGACGACGACGAAACAACTAGTCCGCCCGTAAGTCCCTCCAAGACAATGGATTCCCGAAGATGGAGCCCCACAAAGAGCTCCAGCTGGCTGGATGCTGCGTTGAACAAGCCCGAGTCACCCAAGGCGAAGCCGGCAGCACCTGCACCGGCCCAGCCGGCTTGGATGGTTGAGTTGAACAAGGCGAAGGCACAAAAAGCCACCACGGACCTCGCTCGGGACGCGGCCGTGCCCAAGAAGACCGAAGTTAAGACTGGTGGGCTTATGAGGTCCACTCCTATGGGCACAAGTCTAAAGCCAAACGTTCTGGGCGGCTTCCCAGTCATCCCCCCCATTTCAACAGCCGACGACAAGCCGGCTATTTCTGAGTTGCGCGGAAGCCTTCGGAAAGCATCCCCAACGACGGAGGGCCCGAGTGAGACCCAGGGAGACCTCGCAACCGCGACTAAGACTAAGCCTGACATCCCGTCGAAGAAAGATTTCCGCGCCAACCTCAAACCCCGGGCTCCGCCGCCTGAACCTAAAGCGGGGGACAGTGCTGAGGAGTTGAAGAACGTTGTCGGGAGCCTACGGAGGACCAAAACACAAAACTACGTGGCACCGGATGAGCTGAAGGATAACATCCTGCGCGGAAAGGCGGGGTTAGCTTTGACCGGTGGGCCCAAGAAGACAGAGCACGTAGACGAGTTCAAGGAGGCGATCCTAAGGAAGAAGGATGACTTCAAAAAGGCGCAGGACGAAGGCCGGGGCATCACTCGGGAACCGAGCACAGCCAGCGAGAAGTCGATCCCCGAGGGAATTGCAAAGAAGCTGGTGCTGCAGCGGACCGGCACGTTCTCCAAGCAAACCCCGACCACTCCCGACTTTCCATCGCAAAGCCCTTCACTCACCGGGTCGAACCGGTCTAGCCATGCCTCTACGCGTTCTAGGCACGACATCCCCGGCTTGGGATCTGGATCTGCTTCGGTCGGATCTCCCGAGCCCACTAGGGAGGCGACTGCCAATCCGGTTGCCCCGACTCGCATCGGAGGGAAGGTCGGAGGCTTGGCAGACCGTTTCAACCCTGCGTTGGCTGGCCTCCTTGCAAGAGGGCCCCCATCGGCTCCCGGGAAGGCGGACGCTTCGGAAACACCGACAACAACGGAGCCCGCCGGTCCCGGTCCTCAGCTAACCCACATGACGAAGAACCGAGCCCGTGGCCCTAGGAGGAAGGCTCCAACTTCTGTTGCTGCTGCGCCGGGGGAACCGAAGGAGACGTTGACCCGGGCAGCATCTGAGCCGGAGAGGAAACCTATCCTCTCACCGCCGGAACCCAAAAAGGCGATGTCGTTTCCGCCGCCTAAGTCAGAAGAGTTTATCCCCTCTCCTCCTTTAGAGCAAGCGGCAGTCCCCTCGAAACAAGGAAAGCCTGTTGTTTCTCCCAAGCCTGAGAAATTTACACCGACGATTCCCGGCGGTGTCTCGTTGATGGAGCGTAGAAAGTCTCTAATGCAGGACAGGACAAAGCTTGCGGGTGAGGTCATCTCTCTCGTGGACTCATCGGGGCGCATGCCCAAGGAGGAGTCGAATCCAGTTGGTCAGCCCATCAACCTGGTTGGGTCTACCCCGATCAAGACGCGTCCTCGTTCGCCCACCAAGGTCCATGAGCAGGTGGCAGCTCTGGCAGCACTGAACCAGCAATCACCCAAGCCCGCCGAAGCCGGCAGTGAGATCGCTTCGCAGCCATCCTCACCGAAAAAGCTCGATATGAAAAGGATGTCGAGGTTCCTAGATGAACAGGACCAGTCAAGCCCAGCGCCCGAACCTGTGAAATCGAGGTCGTCATCGCCGGTCAAGGGCCGTTCTGACTCCATAGCCGCCAGGCCCATGTCTCTAGTCAGGGACCGAGCCGAATCTATCACGGCAAGGCCCACGTCTATGGTGAGGGATCGCTCCGAATCTATCACTGGGAGGCCGCTCTCTTTGGTCAGGGATCGTTCTGACTCCTTCAGATCGAGGTCGTCCTCCCCGGTAAAGGACCGCTTTCCCGGCCTTGAATCACCCTCAATCGCGAAGCAAGCGGGAAACGAGCAAGGTGAATTGAAGCCTGCGCTTCCGATCAAGAACGGCGCGGCCGCGTTTGGTGGTATTGGCCTAGGCTTGACGCAAGCAGCAGTATCACCAAGACCAACGATCCAGAAGCCCGCAGAGGCTGAGCTACCGCCACCCTTGCCTCCCAAAACCGCGAGACCACTCCCTGCACCTCCCGCGGTAATGTCCCCTCCAGCGCCAGCTCCCCGCATCCACTCCCCTACACGGTCACCAGGGAAACAAGCTGCGGAGGCCTCGGATCTCATCCACGATTTCTTCGGGCCAGAGCGCCCAAGGCGCAGATACACTGTCGACGCAGCCGACATTCTCTTGAAGAGGCCGGCCTCAACTGACAAAATCCAGACCCAGCGGGCTCAACTCATCCAGATCACAGCCGAGGGCAAGAAGATGCCTGTACCATCGCACCACGAACGGGTCTTGTTCGAGCGCGAGATGTACCTTTGCCCCCACAACTTCATTGATGGTACCGGAAGGAAAGCTACAGAGGTCTACTTCTGGGCTGGCGATGAGGTGCCCGAGTCACAGGTTGACGACGCTCACCTTTTCGCGGCCCGAGAAGCGAGAGCCTATGGCGGAAAGCTGGTCAAGCTGACGCAAGGCAAGGAGACGTCCGAGTTCCTGCAGGCGCTCGGCGGAATTGTCATCGTACGCCGGGGGTCGAGCAACAAGTACGACTCGCTCGCGCCCAACATGCTCTGCGGCCGGCGCTACCTGAGCCAGGTCGCCTTTGACGAGGTCGACTTCTCTCCACTCAGCCTCTGCTCCGGGTTCCCCTACCTCATCGCCCAACAGGGGAAGTGCTACCTTTGGAAGGGCAAGGGCAGCGACGTCGAGGAACTGGGCTGCGCCCGGCTCGTGGGTATGGACCTCGCGCTGATGGGCGAGCTCCTCGAGGTAGAGGAGGGCAACGAGCCCGATAGCTTCTGGCACATCTTCAACGGCGGGACGCGGCCCACCTCGGCCGACCACTGGCGGCTGAAGCCCAGCTACGACAAGTACTGCACACGGCTGTTTTGCGCCAACGCAGCCGACAAGCATCAGGTTTGTTGTCCCTCACCGCACCCTATTATTACCGATCACAGCACAGCAAGCTAACACGCTAAAAAAGATCACCGAACTCTCCCCCTTCTCGCAGACCGACCTCCTCCCCTCCAACATCTACGTCCTCGACGCCTTCTTCGAGATGTACATCATCGTCGGCGCCCGCTCGCAGCACCAATACGCCGCCTTCCGCAACGCCCTCGACTTTGCCCAGGAGTATGCCATCCTGGCCGCCGGCATGGAGGACCGCCCCTTTGTGCCCATCTCGACTGTCGTGCTGGAGGGCATCCCGCGCGACTTAAAGAGCGTGTTTAGGAAGTGGCGCGACGGGAATAGCCCGACCGTGATGCACGCTAGCCCGCAGGGCGTGAGCGGTGGGAGTTCGGGGGGTGGTGGTGGCGGTGGTGGGCCGACGCCGAGCCCGTTGAAGAGGGCGCGGAGTTTGAGGATCGTGCCGTTGACGCAGGCGCTGCAGGCGCTGGCGGAGTAGATGGTGGGTGGGGTGGGTAATAGATGAGATAGTGGCTGGTGGTCATGTGGGATATTGTTGTTGGCTTGATGCTATCATCTGGGCGCTTGTACGGCGCGGGTCATATAAGGGGTGCATAGGCGGCAGGGTGCCGGCTACTTTCTGGCGTCGGGGAAAAAGGTTTCGTGTTAGATGGCGGTCTGCCTGCGGCATAGCATGTTGGCGTTAATGGAAAATAAATGCTCTGGGCATTTGTGTCTGGTATCTGTCAGGGCGTGTATGCTTTTTTTCCAATATAACAGAAACCAAATGGTATCGCGTTGTCGACCGTCTGTGTCCCTCGGCAAGCGGAGCATGTGTATATGTTTCGTGGTGCTTTGCCGGCCTGGTTGGCAGTTTATACCAGTGCCCTCCTCTCCCGTGAAGTAATGGCTCTACAGCCTATATCCCAACTCCCAAACGCCAGCCATGCCCAAGCCAAGCCAGTACCAGACCTCTCCCCATCCGTTCCGAACCCCCGAACGCCAGCAGGTAGTCAAAGCTAACCAACCAACCAACCAGCACCCCATTATTTTCACCCACCACCATCCCACCTCCCTTATTCACATTCCACCCTGACAATAACAACAACAACAACCCCAACCCCCCCAACCCCATTTAATTACCCCCCTCCCCCCGTCCCTCCCCCCCTTCCCCCTGCCCAGCCCCCTCCCCCTCCCCCCCCACGGTCCTTCCCCCCGTCGCCCCAACCACCATCTGCACATCGGCGCGCAGCTCGGGCAGGGCACTCTCCATCTCGCGGGCGAGCACGTCGCGGAAGTCGCGGAAGGCGTGCATCTTGCCGCGCGCCAGCTGGTTCATGCGGCGCACCAGCTCGGCGAACTCGCGCGTGTAGATGTCCGGGTTGCGGCCGTTCTCGACGTACTGGATCAGCGGTTCGGGGATGGGCTTGTCGGCGGTGGGGGTGGGCAGGTGTTGGGCGTTGGTGTGGAGCGTGTGTAGGGTTTTGTCGAGGGTTTGGCTGTGAGGGGGGTGGTTAGGATTGATTGGGTTGGGGTTGGTTGGGTTGGGGTTGGTTCGGTGGTTGGTTTAGAGGGTTGGGAAGCGTGCTTACATGTCTTGGGCGAGGACATCGCGGGTCGGGCGGCCGGCGGCGTCGTAGTTGGAGACTTGGACGAGAACCTGGAACAGGTCTTGGATTACATTCTTGATGTCATCTGCGCGGGAGTTAGTGGGTTGGTGATTGGTTGGCGGCCGCGGGTGTAGGAGACGGACCTTGGACGTTTTGCAAGTCGGGGTTTATGGGCGCCATTCTCGTTCGCGGTGATGCGCGGTTGTGGTTGTGGTACGCAAAGTTTGTGACGGAGGATGTTGAAAGATGGAGGGCGGGTAGGCAAGGCATGTGATGGTTACGAGCATTGTGTAATCTATACGAGCGCGGCCTTGTAAGTTAGGTATTTACACGGCGCTAGCCGTATTCGTTACACACCCACCACGAACACACAAAGGTGACGATGGGATCAGTCGGTCCAACCAACCCACCTAGATGAAGAAAGCAAGCAATCTTGGCTCATCATGGAAAGTGATTATCTGTAAATCAAAGCAATATAAATTCATAAGACTCATAATAACAAGTAACGAACAACAACCCATTGCTCTACTCCGACAGACCCAATGCCCCCAACAATCGAATAGCATACTCGCTGTCCCCCCAGCGTCAACGCCATGCCTCCGTTGTATTAACGGCCCAATGATGATCTGCTCGTCGATGCGAGCAGGGAAAGCAAAACTCATACAAACAAACCCACAACATATACCCAGCTAACCAATGCCAGTCGGAATCAAGAGCTCGTGCAGAATGGCTTGTCCAAACTACAAAGGTGTGGTACCACCCACACCATCCAGACAGATCTTGCCGCAGGCCGCCATAACAATGCAATGCATAACTAGGCCAAATTGTTGTACAAGAGCGAGTTCCCTCCCTCTAGTTCCGCGCCTTCGGGCGCGCAAGCATGTTCAAGCGGCTGAGGCTGATACCCTTCCGCTTCATCGGGCTCGGCGTCCCGGGCGCCTGGCCCGGCATGGCCAGCTTCCGGGGGCTGCTCAGCGTGCGCTTGGCGCTGGTAGCGGCGATCAGGCGTGGCGCGAGCAGCGCATCGCCCTCGGGGACTTTCTCCTGTTTTTGTTTCTTGGCTGCGCGCTCAGCCGCCTCCTGCCTGGCCTCTTCCTCGTCGGTGCTGACACGGTGGCGTTTCTTGGTCGACATGCCATGGGGCAGAGCCTTGATGACGCTTCGCGGCGCCTCGTTCTCTTTGTCGATGCTCGAGGCCGAGGCCGAAGTCGGGAAGCTTCCGGGCATGTTCTCCGTCGGTAGGATCGAGGGGCGAACCGCCCGGACGCTGGCCTGGCCGGGGGAAGACCCGAACGACTTCGTGGCGCTGCCAAAGCTGATCGTGTAATCGCTCCGGAAGGTGAACTCGCCAGGAACTGGCGGGTCTGCGGAGACGGCGTTAAGATCCCTCACCGGAGGCTCAGGGAGGGGGCGCCGGGCCGAAATATCCGGATATGTGACGGTGTCCGCTGCGCTCTCGGCCAACACGCCTTCAAGAGACGGATAGTGGACCTCTTGTCGGAGCTCTTTCTTGCCTTGAAGAATGCTAGATTTAATGGGGGACGGGGAGTTCTGTGTCAGCGCTGCCCGCTGCGTGTCCGGCGTAAAGGCAACGCGCTTGGTAAGCTTGCGGCCAGGCGTAGTCATTGGGGCCACAGGGAGTTCCTTTGGCAAGCGGACAGGAGCGGGAGTCTTGGAAACCGAAGGCAGTGGAAGAGTGCTCTTGGGCTTGGTCGCACTGGCTTTCGCCCCACGGAGCATCGCCTTGACTTTATCAAATCGGCTCCGGGGGGTCTTGATCTCCCTGGTAGTGGGAAGATTATTTGTTGTTGCCGATCGAGGGATCCCGCTGGCTTTCGATGGTGACCTAATCAGCGAGCCATGGCTGGGTGTCTTAACGCTGGTCGCCCTAGACAAGGAAGACTTGGTCGGGGTCATCAGAGAGGCGAGGGTTGATTTTGACCGAGGAATACCCAACCCGGCCGACTTGGGTGCTGGAATCGAGCTTTCGACACGAGAGACGGGGCGCTTGCTTGACGCGTCTTCATCCACGTTCTGCCGGGCGCGCTTGGCGGTCGTCCTCGGCTCGTTGACAACCACTGCCGGGGTCGATTTCGTGGCGCCAGAAACTGGAATATCGACCTTCGACTTTGGTGTTTCCACCTCATCCAGATTCGCCTTGGATTGACTGCGCTTAACACCTGCCTTCAGGGGGGTGGTGTGGCCCGGCTGGCCCCTAAACACTGATGGGTGGTTCGCGATCGAATCCATCTTCTTGAACTCAGCCATGTGGGCGGCACTGTACCGGCCGGCTTTTCCCTTCGCCTGCGCGATCTTACGTTCGCCGCTGTTTTCCTCATCCTGTTTCTCGGCTTCGCGCTGTGCCCTCAGGTTCTCCTTGATTTTGGCAGTCTTCTCGCGCAGCCCATCCATTATGCGCTGAGCCTCAGGCCCCAGCCTCAACTCGGAGTTGGGCTTTTCGCCCGGGACGCGAAATGTAAACAGAGATGAGGGAATGGTAACGCGAGTAGGTGTGGTTTGGGCTGCCACAGGCAAGCCATTCCCGCCATTACTTTTTGGTTTGATATCCGTGAATCCGAGCCGGAGGCCAGATGATGGTGGAGCCATGGTAGTGTGGGCTCTGCCCGGGTGCATCTCTGACATGGACGGCCTGATGGGCGACAACCCGCGTGGGGTCTTAGGCCCTCGGATTGGAGACGACGCACTAGGGTTGGAGACATTGTGGACGGTCTCGGAAATGATGTCTACCGGCTTGTCGCCATTTGCCGGCTTCCCCTCGTGTGCCGACTCCTCGATATCTGCCGGAGTTTCGTCATGTGCCAGTTTTTTGCTGCGTGCCGTCTTCTTAGTACGTGCTCGCTTCCCGTTGCGTACCGGCTTCTCTTCGTGTGCCGGCTCTTCGGCTGGTGCAGAGTTCTCGTCGTGTTCGGCAACAGAAGAGAGAGTAAGAGTTTCGGAAACTTGTTGAGGTGCCTAATCGTCGACATATACGGGTTAGTGTACTCCTTCCAGCAAAGGGATGAACGCGGACTGCCGCTGGGTTGATCGGCTTTGGGCGGCGAGGACGGCTGTTTTGTTTACCTTGGTAAGGCTGGCCAAGCGCGCTGAACGGCGAGCCATTGTTGTTACGCTTGGTTTGCGGATAGACAATGGACTTTTGCAATCAAGAATGTAGATACACTCGAAAAGGTGACAAAAGGATCGGGAGGATTAGAATTCCAGTGGAGCGTTAGCGAAATCACGACACGGAACGTGTGGTAGATTGGAGAGTGGGGTGACGTTTGATTTGTTCGCGCCTGTCAGAAAGTAAACAAATTAATTCTGGCTGGTCAGTGCTGCTTTTGACATGTGCAACAACGGTCCAAAAACACCGTGCGAGGCATTCCTTTTGCACAGTGACTCGAGAAAATGATAATTTTCATATTTTGTTCTCTGTTCCGTCTCTTAAACTGACGAGTCCAAACAAATTGAGCGAGGAACCAGTTTTATCTTGCTCTTGTACTCGTAGTTATAGCAACCAGGAAATCACCCTTTAGCTTGCAAGGACGGAACACACGATATACAGTTCCGTTCTCTGCTCGATCGCGATGAACTCCCTATGTAGTACCAACGAAAGCTTGGGTTTTCTGATCTACCAAAAAAAACTCGTCATTATGACGTTTATTCCATCCTGACCAAGGTTGGTCGGCATCCCGTTTGAGAAACCGGTTACGAAAGGCGTTTTATATGCCAGCCCTCTTACAACTACTGGACATTTGCGAACTCGGCACGGGCTTGTTGGATCTAGGCCATCTCCATCTTCGGTACCTACTTACCGCGTTTTGAACATGTCAACCCGAAAGTGGTAAGGGACAGCTCAGAGGTCCGCACCTGGTCGAGTGGCGTGATCAGAGTCGTTTTGTTGAAAGTGCATCACTTCCGACTGCAAGATACTGAGCACACCTTGGCAGGGGCGTTGAGATCAAACACTTGAGGTGCCGGCAACGCCACCCAGAACGTCACCCAACCCTGCAGTCGAAGGTTTCCAGAAGGCAGAGTCTCATGGCTCGAAGCGGTTACAAAGCCCAGACCAACTACCTCGCGGTAGGAGGAAGCGGGAATTGTTCATTTTCGTCTAACACGGCATGACATTGGAAAACCACGCTCCGAAGTACTTCGTGTCACTAACAGAGCAAGACGCCTCGACCCCAACCCCTCAAACGACCTCGAATTGCGATGAACGGTTTAATGCGGGATTTTAAGGGTTTAAAAACAACCTGCCTCGGAGATGCAGCACCGTGATGCTCAACGATGGCACGCTCGCGACTGGTCGACGGCTGACCCACCAACTCGGTGACGGTCCGAGACATCGCTCGGGGACTACCTGAGACAGCTTCAGCTGTAAGTGATGATGTATTCGTAGCCCTTCATCTTTATTTTTATTCCCCTTGTCCACGTATCGGGTAGATTATCTCGAGATGGTTGAATGTCCTCGAAATTGGCCCCTCCTATCAAACGCGAGTGACATTTACACCTAGGGTCCCCACTCACACACACCATAGTCGACATCCGTGAAAGTTCAAAGCCGCCAACAAGCGGCGGGGCGGCTTGCCTAACCCCATCAACTCCTGGATCCCCGAACCCCGAGATTCTTTGGCCAATCGGTTCTGAGACAACTCTCACTTCTGGCCTGCCTCTCCATGTCTCACACTTCGCTGGTGCGAATGCCCCCGCATTTGGCAGGGCTGCCTTGACGAGCATGCAGTGAGCCATGCAGGTCTAGGCCTGAGACGGTGACACAGAACTGAACACAGCGTCCCGGGGGGCTGGTTGCCTGAGCGTTTGTCTGGGCTATGCGTCGTGTTGACTCTGTCTTTGGTGTTGCCTGGGATTCATGTTGTCAACGAGAAAGCGGGACAGATTGGGACCTCTTGGCACTTTGAAGAGAAGACTGCCAAGCTCACTACAAAAATTTCTTTGGTCACCTGAGGGGGTGAAAAGCCGTCTCCACCTTGGAACAACTCAACCACGGCGGCGGCAAGAAGTTCCAGATCGGGAAGGGAGTGGCGCCTGGCCTCATTCTCTGGTTCGAGTTGCCGGCTCAGGGGACCGATGTCGGCTGTGCGCCTACTCGAGAAGCTTCAGCCATGGATTGTGAACCAAGGTATTTGAGTTAATATATGGCTGTGTCACGCGGTTCCTTTCGGCATCTCTCACTATCTTGATGCGGTTCTTAGAAACGAAAAGGTGAATCTATGGGATATAAAATCGTAGGAAGAAAAAAGAGAGGGAGAAATAGCCCTTGTGTTTCCTCAAGACGCCAAGTCGTTCGCCATGTAAAGATTGATGCCAGGAACCTGGGAAATACCGCCCCCAATGTGTTGTTGGGTCTTTCTTCACTCAGGCTTCTTTCCATAGACCACATACCTGGATCAAACGTGATGGTTAGCTCGTGTCCAGAATCGCAGATCTAGGGGCAACTTACACCGGCCAGTACGCATGTATGTCCCGGTTCTTTGCCTCCTTTCGGACTTGAGTCAACAGGACCTCGACCTCGACAACAGGCCAGCCCAGGACATTGGTAAACAACATCAGGCTTACAGCCTGGATGCCCTGAAGCACGTTGAAATAATTCCATTCGCCTAAAGATCCGCGGGTCAGTATGGGTTATCGGACAAGACGAGATGCGGGCTTTTATTACCGAGCTCCTTATATCTGGCATCTCTCGGCCACGGGTTCAACGGCCACTTGAACTCGATTTTGGTGACATCCTCAAACCCAGCTTCCTTCAGCTGCTTTTCGTAGTGGAGCGCTGATTCCAAGCTGGGGCCGAGCTTGTCAGATGCCTGCACTAGGAGTTTGTTCCACTTCAGGAGCGCAGAATCCTCCTTAAGGGACCCATCATCGCTCTGAAGAGGGCTGAGCGAATCGCATAGCTCGAGGTAGCCTCCAGGGTTGAGGTTGCTAAAAATAAATATTAACCCCATACATAGAGGGAGTTTGGGGGCCGTGCGATGCTTACTCGAAGGCCTGAGCCATCAATTTGGGCCAGTCCCTGATGGAGCCTGTGAGCATGCGCCCGTAGATGAGGTCGAATTTGGTGTGATAGTTCCATTCGGTCTCGATGTCGTCGATAAAGAACTCGGCGTTTGGTGGGACACTGGCGTTCGGTCAGCATGGCACAATTAGGGATAGCGGTGCGGGATATTCACCAATCCGGCTGGATAGGGCTCAGATCGACGCCGGCAATCTGGTAAGAGTCAACAATGCTGTCACATCCGTTTGTCCTTATCGATGGCAGGGGAGGCATACGGAGACCTCGGGGTGCTCGTCGGCTAAGAATGGTGAGTGACATGATCCCACCCTCACAACGGACATTCCAGAACATACCGAAATCTATCGCCCAGATACCCGTCCCGGTACCGATATCAAGAACCCGGTTCAAGGGCCTGTCGTTCCCAGCTGGGGAGACGTACAGTCGGTTGTCCTGCATTCGTACGCACATGTGATGTTGAAGGTCTGGCGGTCAGTTAGGTCTGGGATCCAACATCAGAGTTCACAATGTCTTACCCAGACGTTCAGTCTCTCGCTGCGGCTTCCTATCAGCAAGTGAACGGCTGTGTTGTGCATCAACAAATATCATACCTCGTCGTTTGGCATAAAATACGCCGCCTCTAGAAAAAGTGGGTTAGACAACACACCACCTCCGCTGCATCGGCAACTTGGGCCAAGTAGTCCTCACCTTCTGCCCGGTATGCGTGATATGTGCGACCGTTCTCCTCCCGAAACTTGAAAATGCTAGACATGACCGACGTTGTGTCACTCAACCCCCCGCGCTAGACGCTCGACTTGTAAGCGGCGCAGCCCACTTGCAACCGCGAACGGGATTGAGGGAGGACCTACAGAACCCATGGCAGAATCGCCATCACCGCTGTCATCATCCTCACCAACAAAGTCCGGCTATGTTTCACAAGTCAGCCTTGTATTCTGGCCCATTTAAACATGCGCAAGCTCAATGAGGACGGGCCGGAACGCACATCAACTTCTAGGTGTCCGGTGCCGGTGACCGGCCCCAGGGCCGCGGCGGGAGGGCTCGCCGGCGTTGACCCGCTCGGGCCCGGCGGCGATTTTGGGGATGCGGTGGACCGGCGCGGACTGGAGTCGCCGGCTTTCAAAGCGCTGTCGGCCATGGTCGCGTGGTGGATAGGGAGGGTTTCGGCGGGTTGCAAGTCTCCACACACAGACGCGTTTACGTCGGGAAAGGGAAGCTATCAATTACGGTGAACCCGCGCGGAAGTGGACGGATTTTCAAGTTTAGTGGGTGCGGGGGTTCTGATGCAGCAACACCTTGGCCGCTTCCATCCTTTCCTAAAGCCCGCTGGCGGCGGGTTGAGACCCCGGTAGCCGTGCCAATGGCACCGTTTCATCCCCGGCTTATCGGTTACCAAGGACGAGAGGGGGGGACGGTGATTTGAGAAGGGAAATTGTATGTAACGAAGAGAGCAATCTCAGTGTTCTGGTGCTTTCCCAGAGCGCTTCTTGTTATAATGAAGGTGAGGCAGCAAGGTTTTGGGGATTGCTTCATGTTTGGTGTGCTTAAAGCGCGCATGAGGAGTCGAAACTCGAAGTGAGAATGAGGGGCACTTCTTCGCACCCCTGCCTGGGTTTCATTTGTGGCTTCACGTCACGTCCCTTCCCCTTGATGAACGCTGCCTACATTGGAAAGAGCAACCTTCGTCTTCTTTTGTCTCCGAACCCGCATGCCCCAATAAAACAAGACTGCTTGGCATAGGAATCGGGCAGTTGGGATTTCACATACGGCTGATGCTGATCTTTATGACCGGAGACAAGCGAGAATAGCTCGACTCTCCTGCTTGTGTGATCGAGCCAGTCCCATCATCAAGCCGCTTCACCTTGGTCAGCTTTGCAACATTTCGCAAGGAAAGCACACACTCCCAGGAGCTACTGTGTAGGTCGTTCCCTCTCCGAATGGGATTGTTGCCCGGGTGTCCAGAAGTCAACGGCCCATGACCGACTGGCACTTTCCGAGGGTACGGAACCGCATGTTCTTGTGCATGAGCCCACCCTCCAACGAACCGAACCCAACGAATAAGCGCCCCCGAGTCCGGACCCCGCGAAGGGCAACGTCTTTTCCCACCTCGACCAGCCAGCAAAGGACTCGAAAATCCGCGTGCTGCAGGTCGACTGAATGGGCATTGTTCTTTCCTCACTTGTCACGATAAGTGGGCATTTTCCAAGGTTGCCACGGTTGCCACGGTTGCCAGTCCTCAGTGGGCTTGAAGAAGTGGGGACTGAGCCATCGGCTGGACGAGTGACTTCGGCGGCGAGTGGAATCGAAAAGCGGGAAGCCGGGAATCGGACGTGGTCCAAGGCGAAACTTCGGTAGCTGCCACTTGGGCAGCCCGGCAAGAGAACGATTCGCGCGGACGAGTCCCGGACTTTTTTAATATTTTCGAGGCTGGGTTGTTGATGGTGGGTACATGGTTGCGGGCATGGGTGCGGGTGGGAGGTGGGAGAGCGCCAATTCCTGGGGCGAGGATCTGGCCCGAGAAAAAAGAGTCCAGGTGACCTGGTTCAGCCCAAAACCAGAGCTGGGGTGAGGTGGCAGCACCTGGGTATTTGACCCTGTGCAGACCCCTGGGGGCTAGCGGCGGTCTGCGGGCCCCTCCCACTTCGGACGGCATTAACATTACATAAAACCCTCCATTTTTTCCTTTTCTTGACACATCCTCGACCTGTCGTCAGCCGTCCGCTTATCTCTGACCCTCCTAGAGTCACTCTCGACAATCTGGTTTTGACACACAGAATCTGGGGAACCGCCTCGATCCTCCAAACCTGCCCTGCCATACCTTATCGCCGGGACCTGACCACAGACCCGGTCCCAGACTGCCGGATCCCGCAATCGCAAAACATTCCCCCCAGATGACGCACTGATTGGTGCCACTCACTCCCCGGTCCTGAGATCAAGCAACCCCGGGTGGTGTTCGTGTCTTTTGGATATTTTCTGGGGTTGGGCGTGGGATACAGCAGCAGCAGCAGCAGCAGGTCGCGCTGCCGTCGTGCTTTGTCGCCCGAACCAGAAGTTCATTCAGGTGGTTGCAGCGCCCGGCGTTCGCATCCCACCGCTGACGCTGGCTGCCCCGCACAAAGGCAAACGCCCTGTGGTCAGGGTAGCGCAGTGTGGTGTGGTAGCCATTAGGATAGCTGTTGGCGCCAAAACTTAGAAGTCCCGTGCCAGAGAGCCAGCCCCTTTGTGCAAGAAGCCCCCCCCCCCAAGACGCACGCTCTCTTGCCTCCCTCGGACAGTCGAGGATATGTCCGATAAGATGTCTGTCGACAAAAATCCGCCCAAGGAGGATAGCGAAGAATCAATGGGGTCAAGCCCAGAGGGAGAGGCCCCCGCTGCGCCTCCGCAGCAACAGGCTGAAAATCAACAACCGAAGCGAAAAGGGGGTCGCAAACCGGTACGTCAACAAGAGTATTGCGGGCATGTGCCCCGCCCCTCTCCTTGGCTTCCAGGTTGTCTCTGGGCAAAAGCCAAGGGTGTTCGTCCCATCCCGTCGCCATTCCGATCCCGATATATCATATATCATGGGTTGGGACTTGTACGTGCGCATCTGCTAATGCAATCGATAGATCTATGCGACGTCTGAGGAGAGGAAGCAAAGAAACCGCCAAGCACAAGCGGCCTTCCGTGAGCGCCGGACCGAGTACATCAAGCAACTCGAGGAGGCCATCCGAACCCATGAGCAAAACCTGGCTAACCTCCAGGCTGCTCATCGACATGCCGCCGATGAGTGTCTCATGCTGCGTTACAAGAACTCGCTGCTAGAACGCGTTCTCTTGGAGAAAGGTACAGTTAGACACCTACTCAAATCTCGGGCCCACAAGCTCCTCCTTGCCAAGGGGCGTGCTTTCTCTATCTGTTTCTTCGTTGTTAACGCGTTGAACCTCGTAGGCATCGATGTGCAAGCTGAGCTTCGTGCCAAAACCGGCAGCCCAAATCTGGGCCCGACCCATGTTCCCCAAAATCTGGTGCAGCCGCCGCCGATTCAGCGGGCCATTCTAAACAGACATCATGCTCGTCGATCGACTTCAGGCATTGCGCCAAAGCTCGAGCCAGGCATTCCCGTATCCCCATTACCACCACCGATGCACTCCCACCAGTCGGCCATGTCCCCCAAGAACCAGCACACCCCGTCGTCTCATTCGGCTTCGCCAACTGGAACCGCGGCTTTCGGCTCCCAGCACGCCGCTTCTCCTGCCGGATCCGAGCATCTCAACGGTCAAGTTCGGTCGCCGATGCCGCCTGTCGCCGGGATGAAAGCAGCGCCACCTCACTTGGCACCTCTTCAGGGCTTACCAGGGCCTCGACAAGTGCAAATTCCCGGTCTCCCGCCGGGCGCTAATCACGTACGGGGTGTCTCCGGGACCTCAGCTCCATTCTATCCAACACCTTCATTCCAAAACCACATTGAGCAGCTCGGCAAGTTGGCCCGTTCCCTTTTCCCCTCCGTTTCCTTTCCAACAGAACTCTGTCGTCCTAGGTTTTAATACGTCAAATACAGAACAGGAATATGATGCCGCTGCTGATATGATGGACGATGGCGGCGACGCCCCCGATACACCAAGTGGGCCTGGCCCTTATCCCGGCTCGACCTATGCCGGCGAGCCACAATCAATGTCCCTCTCGTCCCCGGTTACCACTGGACCGCCCGGAGGTCAGGCCATCGCCGGACAGTCGCCGATCGAAAACGTCGCTCATACGCAGCATCCAACCTACCCCTCAATGACTCAACTGCTGGACCCGAGCTATGATTTCGACCCCTTTGGGCTGAGCGCGAGCATGGCCTTTCCCACACAATTCTCGTTCGATACCAGCAACATGCGGTAAAATATCAGCCGATCGACTCTACGACCAACCAGGGTGTCGATGAGAAGAGCTAGCCTACTCGAAGTGCCACTGATGGGTTTCCTATGAGCGTTGGGGCGCATCATTCTGTGCGTCGAGACCATGTCTAGGAGACCCAGAGCACCAAGGCGCGTCTCGGAAGGGACCCGAGGCGATCTGCGGAGGAAGAGAGAAAAGAAACAGAGGTTCGACGGCATCCTCACCCGCCCCCTGTGACAAGAAATTCTAGAGGTGTGGACAACAAAAGTTTTTCGAGATACCCCACGAGCAATTTGCTTTGGGCAGCGAGACTGGGTTGCGAGGAAAAAAAAACGATATCCATCCCCCGCTCATTTCCAGCGGGCGGGCAACGACAAACGTTTGAATCTGTTTCACAGCCACGTTGATGGATTCCAGAAAACAACATAATACCCGACTGTCGAGATGGCGTTGATAGTTCGAGTTCTGATCATTGCCAGGCGTTTTGCTGAGGATATAGTTGCGGTCTATAAAAGTTTTGCTCTTCAAGGAAGCGGTGATACGAGTGCGGATAAGTCAGAAAAGGAGACCTGGGGCACCCGCGAGCGGTGGGTGTTACCATGCGGAACAGGGAGGGTTCTGTTTGAGCAGGCCAGCATATTGGTGATGTCGGCGAGGGACGGGATCGGTTACCATGGAAACCTCTTAAACCACCCGCTCGGTGCTTCAGTTGCGGTATCATAAAGCTGCAAGGCTTATTAGTATAAAATGCAAGCCCATCTCCAATAAATAGTAGCTTATGAAGCGTTCATTCTGCAACTGGCGACCCTTGTCTCATACCATCGTCTACAATAGCTCGAGCCGAGTCCTACAAGTGAACCGGAGAGCAACATCCCAGGCCGAGAATGATGTTCCTCGGTCAGAATTCTTTATAGCCATGGGGAAATTAGAATGAGACTCATTCTTGAGAAACAGGTCATGCTTGACTGAATGAAGTTCTGAGAAAAGCGGGGCACCCCTTATGACAAGCGAGTGTTCCGAGGTCATAGGAGTGGGTGTTTAGTTAGCAGGAGTGGGTGGCCAACATCATCTTACGCAGTAATTTTCCTGTAATGAACCCGTAGGCGCGCCGCTAGCAGGTGCACAATGGCTTGCGAAGCATGGAAACTCTAGCTTCGTACTAATTATTCAATGCGCGAAAAGAAACGGTAAAGTTGGCGAATAATGATAACAAGCCACAAGTTCTGGGCATATATATCGCACTCAGCGAAGCTATCATTGTCGATATCAAGGGTCGGCATTGCGGGGTTGATGATGTCCTTGCTGGGGTCAGCGGCAGCGATCATGTTCGTTGGCCAGGAACCGGACCAGTTGTTTACTCCAATCCCGAATCCTTCCAATGGCAAATGTAGACAATATGTATTGTCAATGATTTGGCCATCGATCTGCGCTAGTTAATTCCAGAAAGGGTTTTGCTGCGACTCCTATGCGACGACTGGTCGGCGCGAACGCAGCGACAAAATGGGGACTTTGCTACCCCTCACTCGCTTGATTGTGATGCAACGCTTTGCCGCTTCCAAGGCTGGAGCAGGCCGAAGCCCTAACAAAAAAAGAACCCCGCGCACTGAATTTTCAAAAAAGGAAAAACGTCGGCTCAGGTTGCGAGGGGTGGTGGGGCAGCAAGCGGTCCGTGCAGGTGCTTTCCCAGGCGAATTGACCCAGCAGTAACCATAGCAGGAGCTCCAATTCTTCGCTGCTGTCACAACCCAGAGAAAATTCCGCCGTGGACACCACCCGGAAACAAACAGGCGCACTGAACCAGGGCTCGTCCTGCGACGTGCTCGTTTCACCCACCATCTCCCCTTTATTTCACTCCGTCCGGAGCTTGTGGTTTTCTTAACTTTATACGCCTTGAAGGGCGATAAACCACAGCGGCAAGATGTCTGTCGCTACCAAGGTGCGTTCTACTTTTTGATCGAGCGGGGGAGCTCTCTACCCACGTTTTCTGCACCACTGTCGATGCGGGCCTTGCTTGCTTCGACCAATCGTGCATCCATCATGGCTTGAACAGCTCTCGGCCACCAGAGCTTCACAGTTTCGAATCGCGATACTGACTCTTGATTTATAAACAGAACCTCTACGACCTCCTCGGTTGGTTACCTCCCACTCGCCGATTGACGAACCATCCCGAGCTCGGCCGCGCTCTGACGCAACCACAACGCCCCGATACTAACATCAAGCCGTAGGTAACGACATCGAGGGAGATGAGCCCCCCGCTCCTCCCCTAAGGCCCGTCGAGAAGACGTCGACCCACACCGTCAAGCGCAACACTGATGGCCTAGCTCCCTCCAAGGGTCCGGTCACGACTGGCAACCGTCGGGGCGGCGCTAATGTCGGCGGTAACGAGGCTGGTATGTAGCCCCTAATATCCCCGAGCTCGATCTTATGATTTTCTTTTTCTTTTACTAACGATCAAACTAGCCTTCCGTGACCGTGGCGCTGGACGGGACTCCAACCGTGTTAAGTCTACAGATGAGGCTCCCCGCGGCGGACGTCGTGGTGGCTTCCGTGGTAAGTTGCACCCCGCCAAAAATAATCAACTTTTAAGCTGGCGAACTTGAGCTAACGTTGACTTCGTAGGAGGCCGTGGTGGTCGACGCGAGGAGGGCGATCGTCACCCCTTCAGAGGCGCACTTCAGTAAGCCCACCATGCATGACCCCGTAGTCTCCCAAGCCGCTGTTAACACCCTCTGTAGTAGCAACTCCGAGAAGCAGGCTGCCCAGTCGTGGGGCGCCAACGAAGGCGAGGCTGAATTGAAGGACGAGCAAGCGGCTGCCGAGATTGCCCAGTCTGAGCAGAAGGCCGAGGGTGAGGCTGCTGCTGAGGGCGAGGTCAAGGAGGAGGAGCCCGAAGAGAAGCACATCACCTACGATGAGTACCTCGTCCAGCAGGCCGAGAAGAAGGCCGCTCTCGAGGCCGAGCTCAACGTCCGTCAGCCCAACGAGGGTGTCAAGGACGACAAGTGGAAGGATTTTGCCCCTCTTGCGAAGGACGATGAGGAGGAGCTCTTCCCGGCCTCCGGCGGCAAGACCAAGCGCGAGCGTGAGCGCAAGACGAAGCAGTTCGTCGAGCTCGAGAACCGTTACATCGAGCCTGAGCGCACCCGCGGCGGCCGTGGTGGTCGTGGCGGCGAGCGTGGTGACCGTGGCACTCGCGGTGACCGTGGCGAGTTCCGCGGTGGTCGTGGCCGTGGTGATGGTGCCCGTGGTCGTGGCCGTGGCGCTCCCCGCGGCGAGTCGCGTGGCGAGTTCCGTGGTGGTCGCGGCGGCGCCCGTGGCCAGGAGAACAAGCCCATTAACACGAATGACGAGGATGCCTTCCCTAGCTTGGGCGGCTCCAAGTAAACTCCGCATATTGGGCTACTCCCCGGGAACTAGACATCGACTCATGTTCCCTGCGTTTGCGGCTTCAAGAGGGCAATGAAGGATAGCGGGAAAGGAGGGCATAGGCATGTGCATTGTCCGTCGACTACAATGTGGTCCAGCTTGGGGGCAAACTTCCCGCCTCAATGAACGGCAAAGCAAATGGTTCCTCCATACTTCACCTCTAAACAACGAAAGTTTCCTTTTCTCTTTTTAACCCAGCACCGGCCCTTGGGTTTCCCTTGATATTTGCATGGTCATGTGTATCCGGAAAATGGTTGGCCGCTTCGGACCAAAAATGGAATTTCACGCCGCTTCCGCCATTTCTGTATTGGTAGCGTCGGTTGATTTACGTATTCCCCTTTACGCCACGGTCCACGTATGGCAGTGATATGTGCGGTGAGTACTGGCGATGAACTTGGGGTAGAGGTAGGTCTTGTGCTGGGATAATGAGCTGGCTAACAGCCTACCGACGGCTGGGGCTCCAACAGGTAACTCTGTGAATACACAGACAATACTCATCCGCGTTGGCGTGGCCCTAAACAGAACGTAGACTTAGTTTGTATGTACTTGACAGGTAGAATGACAATGGGGCCGGCCCGTCATCAAACAACATGGACTTCCTGTCCGCTCCGTCCCAGCCTCTTTCTCCGGCAACCCCCTGAAAGTTGCGTTGCCTAGGGCATATATGTCAAGTCAACAAATAACCATATTCAGTAGAAAGTAACCACACGATGACTAAAGCGTTGCCGTCTCCTGTATGGCATGACTAATGCTGCCAAGGGCCTCGACGTTGTCAGAGTCTGTGACTGTACCGCGGGATGTACGACATGTGCCCCTGATGTTCATAGGTCGATCCAAGGGATTTGTAGCGTTCTTCCTAAGCCATATTATTGTCCGAGCTAGTCCCTAAAAGCACCGTCGATGGCAGGTTTGATTAGAGCGTCTAGTGAGATGGGGAGTCATGTACTATTCCAACCAAGATATCATGTTGAGCATACAAAGGCCGTTTGTGGCATGATCAAAGCAGGTGGTGTCGCCTCCTAGCACCAGTCGCTCGGCCAACATCGATCACGATGCTGGCAAGCAATAACACCCCGTTAAACACAGCCATCAAGTAGAACGGCGCGCCCGTAGACCAAACGTCGAACAAATACCCGCCCAGCTTGGTCAGCAGCAAAATCGCCGCGCCGCCAAACCACGAATACACCCCAGCCACTGACCCCTTCAGCCTCACCCTCGAAACCGTATCCTCCGGCAACGTAGCCGCATTTTCCAGCAACGGCGCCGTATCACCCTCGCCGTCCGCGTCCTCGATGAGTGTCTCCTGATCCCCGCCCACCCGCGCCAGCACGTTGACAACCTCCACCTTCAACACACCGCGCCCGAGCGACCCCAGACTGCACACAATCGCGCCGATCTGGCTCACCCCCATCAGGGCAGCCAGCAAAAACACCACTGGGCTCCCACCCCGCCCTTCCACATCCTTGTACTCGGGGCTCTCCAGCATCGGAAACGCCACGTACCCGACGATCCCCAACACAGCGGACACGATGACGGGCCAGTTGATGCGGGTGCGGCGGCTGGCGAGGTAGCCGAAGAGAGGCGCGCAGACGAGGCCGACGAGCTGGGCGACGCCGGCGAGGATGGACGAGAGCACGTAGGCCTGGCGGCACTCCTTCTTGAGCTCGGGCGAGGAATCGGTGGGCGACCCCTGGCAGAAGCCGCGGCTGAAGAAGTAGGTGTTGACGAAGAGCGGGAGGAAGAGGGAGATGGCGACGGTGGATGCCCGCGCGACGAAGCCGCCCCAGGTAGCCGAGGGTGATGTCGTGGTCGGTGAGGCCGAGCTGGAGGGCGCGTTTGAGGAGGTGGTGGTAGGGGAGGATTCTCTAGGGGGAGGGAGGGAGTTATTTGGGAGGGTAGGAAGAAAAGGTGTGGGGGGGGAGCGTTGGGGGTTTGGTTGGGTCTTACGTTTTTAATGGAGGCAGATGAGTTGGAGCCGCTTGTTCCTCGAGGGGTTGAACCCCTTGAACCAAAGAGCATCCGGAAACCTTTACCTTCTTCGCCTCGTAGGCCACGTAGCCCGAAGAAGACGAATATGGCGACCAGGAAGGAAATACTGCCGACAATATAGAAGCTGTCCTTGATTGCGTCGGCAAATGTCACGCCGTCGACGTGGCTGAAGCGAGCTGGCAAGGGAAGAAAGAGAACGAGCGCCACTAGGGCGCCGCAGCCAGTGAAGAGACCGACGTATCCGGCGAGTGCGGAGGATTTGCCCTTGCCCTCCGAGCCTATGGACGGTTCTTCTCCATCCGTGGATGTCTGGTTGCTATCGCCGCGAAAGCGTTCGGGGGTGATGGTCGCCTCGGAGTCGACAGACAGCGTCACGCTCGGTCTTCCGCCGGGTGAGACTGGTCCGCGTGGGGGTTCTGCGGCCGGCCCGGTTTCGTCGGTCAATGATGGAAGGATGGCCGTAACCATGGTGGTTCTAGATGACACACATGGATTATTAGCATATTGTTGCTTCTCCGAGTCACTGAATCACTTACACGGCTGCAGCGCCCACGGCAAAGAGTATCCTAGCTAGCAACAGCTGCGGATAGACATTGCGCGCCTGGACGAATAGGAATAGGGACAGGCCAATGATGGAATATCCAACCACGGCAACATAGCGCACGCCACTGCGGTCCGAAACTAGTCCCCAGATGGGACAGGCGATGAGGACCACAATCTCGTCGACGAAGCCTAGAGTGCCTACAATGTCGCCCACGCCATCCTTGATGCCAATCAGGTCAGTGATAACAAACGAGACACTGCTATTGAGGAACACGAGGAACGAGATGCTGAATAGAGATATGCCCAGCAGATAGGTCAGGGCCTGGAGGGGAGTTGTCGATGCCGAGAAGGGCAGCCGCCGTAGCAGTCCCTGGCTGAACGTCATCGTCAGCGGGAGGGGGACCGAATGGCCCAATTGCTCTTCGTTCGTAATCCAATTTAATATTACTGTGGTACGGCGTCCATCGCGTTAGACGGCGGTTCTTTCGTGTTGAGGTGTTGGCGGGCACGCGTTTGCAGGACGGATGATGCAGCTCCGGTTACGCACGCCCAGCGTCCGATCATGGGAATCTCGTCCCGTCCGGCGGTAAGCGGGGCAACCCGGCCTTCATCTTGCACCCCCTGTTACCCGCCGCAGAAAGGCTAGGATGCCCCGCAATCCGCTATCAACAACCCTGTACTCCACCGACGCCGGAGTCTTTTTCAGGGCCACCAGCGCCACCATCTCGGCAAGCCGTTTTAACGCTTTCCTCAAATCGTTTTGCGACACAGCACCAGTGCGGTCGTGGACAGTTGGCGGCTAGAGACGGGTGGTTGGTTCCTGGTGACTAGAAGTGCATTGTTTTGGGCCATTCATTGCTCGTAACTAGTACCTTCGCTGTTCTTCCTTATCATATCCTTCACTCTTTCGTCGCCGTTTCTGCACCACCACCGCACCTCAAAGGGACAGCCGCCAGCATGTCCGCTTCTCTCCCAGGCAGCCGGGCTCTCCCAGAGTCACAGTACGACCTTAGTACTTACTGGGGGCGTGTCAGGCATACTATGGGAATCACGGATCCTAGGTGAGAACGCTCGATGGGTGGAGGAGCTGGGGGGATGGGGGGATGCGCCGGGTGTGTACCCTCCTGCCACAGCGCAAACACGGATGGAGGTTGATATCGACATCAATTGGGGCCAGAAGAAGCCCGTCTGACTCACGGACATGCGCTGATTTGATTATCTCTCCAGTACCCTCCTCGTCGGTAGCGCCGGTCTCGAACAAGCCAAGAATGCCCTGATCGCATACAAGCAAGGCCATGTGAACTCGATGACACCCGAACTATGGCGGGCCAAGAAGATTGTCGACTCAACACTTCACCCGGACACAGGCGAAGCCGTTTTTCTGCCCTTCCGCATGTCATGCTTCGTGCTCTCCAACTTGGTCGTCACAGCGGGCATGTTGACTCCAGGCCTCGGTGTACGTCCCCCCCCAACCCTCTACCCCTCCCTCCAACTCTCTTTCTGACTTTCCGTGCCCCATAGAACCGCGGTACAATAGCCTGGCAGGTTGCCAACCAGTCCCTAAACGTCGCCATCAACTACTCCAACTCGAACAAGTCGTCCCCACTGTCCTGGTCCAAGATCGCCCAGTCCTACTTCCTCGCCGTGACCGCCTCCTGCTCCGTCGCCGTCGGGCTCAACAGCCTGGTCCCGCGTCTCAAGAGCCTCTCGCCCTCCACCCGCCTCATCCTCACCCGTCTGGTGCCCTTCGCCGCGGTCGCCAGCGCCGGCGCCCTCAACGTCTTCCTCATGCGCGGCGAGGAGATGCGCACGGGAATCGACGTCTTCCCGGCTACGGCCAAGACCAAGACCAAGGCCGAGACGGCGGTGGAAACAAGCCCGGCCGCGGCACTAGAAAAGGCGCCGCAGGCGGACGACGACAGCAGCAGCAGCGGCGGCGAGAAGAGCCTGGGCAAGAGCAAGAAGGCGGCGACGTTGGCCGTGGCCGAGACGGCGGCCAGCCGCGTGTTCAACAGCTCGCCCATCATGGTGCTGCCGCCGCTGCTGCTGGTGCGCCTGCAGCGCGGCGCGTGGCTGCGCAAGAACCCGCGCTGGACCACCCCCGTCAACCTCGGCCTGATCCTGATCACGAGCTACGCGGCGCTGCCCCTTGCGTTGGCGGCGTTTCCCCAGCGCCAGCGCATCAAGGCTGAGAGTTTGGAGGAGGAGTTCCATGGGAGGGGAGGGGAGGGCGGGTTGGTTGAGTTTAACAGGGGGATTTAGTTAGGCCATTTCGGAAGGGGTTTGGTTCGGCTTGGTGGTTTGGGTTTGGGGGGCAGTGGCGGATTTCGGATTCAGGTGGTGGCGGGTTCACGGGAACTCGATTCAATCTGGACGATACGCTGTTCGGTAGCTTTGCATAGCGTGCTGCATGGCATAGCCTGGAGTAGGATCTGGGACGTTTTGACTTTCGACATTTAGACACCTGTTTCAAGAAAAGGGAGATGGAATGCGAATGCTAAGATTTGGGGACAGCTGGGCGTGCCACAACCCCAGTCTCAACCCTGGACTTTAAAACACCGCACCGTCACAACTCGCCGGCATCCAAATGCCAAATTACTTTGACGATGAACAGATTGTCAGATCATCGAACGGAGGCAAGTTTGTGAGATCTAAGTGGGGTTGTCACACAGCAAAAGGGAGTCGGAGCCTTTCTCCTGAATCTCGCCAAGGATTAGGTCAGGTGTAAGACGACAAGAGCCCAGGCCGGACCTGTTGGGACGCGAAGGCGAAGTGTTAGGAGGGGCGGGGCTCCGAAGGCCACAATCACGACCGCAAGGAAATGCGCTCCTTGACTCGCTCTTTTGAACTCCCAACAACTTGAGGCGTTCAGGCACCTCGCCCCCCCACTCTTATCGTGTGGGAACGGACAAAGAGCCTCCTCCCAACCTGACGTAGCGGCGTCCCGCACGACTGGAGACTGGAGATGGGACCAAGAAACATCCCTCGCTCCCTGCATTCCCACTGGCTGGGAAGGCCTTCCTGTGTGACGGCGAGGTAATAATCGACGCGAACGGGGACCGGGTCGTGGTTGGTGCCACTCGTGGTCCCTTTTAGGGACGGTGCTGTGCCTGCTGCCCCGCAGGTGCCGGTTACCTTTCCGGTCCCGGTCGTCGCAATTCGCTGCTGGCGCTGCGACCCCGCAGAAGGGTCGCTGCGAGTTTGTTCTCTTACGGCTTCCCGTCGCTAAGGGTGGTCATCGGATGCAGGTGCCGGCAGGAGGATGAAGTCATTTCCCACACCACATACGTAGGTAGTTATTTGGTGAGGGAGGCTCGAACGCAAACGGTTTTTGATTTCAGGTTTGGTTGGAAACTGCAAAGTACGAGGTTGTGTCGAGTGTGCGAGTCGAGCCTCAGACAGATTGTCTGGGGGTGGACGGTCCATCTTTGGGTCGCTGCTGGGCGGGTTTGCCAACGAAAAATTGACCCCTGCCAATGCGCGAAAGGGATGTGGCCGAGAATTCGAAGGCTGAACTTGTTGAGAAGCGTGTCGCTTCCCGCCCGCTGTCGTTGATCACCATGCCTCAGGTTGCTTCTGGTGCCAAACCAGGGAGGAAACCCTGGCACCAGCTCGCGGTTGTGTTGCTGGGAAACGCGCTAGCATCTGCTTCGGGAGTTCCAGCGCGATTCGCCTGGATAATGACTAGCGGATTCCCAAAGGAAGATCACTTCGGGAACATGATACAGGAGCCGCTGATGGGGCACCCTCCCCATATTCTTCGGGGATATTAATTACCAAAATCCCCTTGTTTAGTGTCTCGGCTCGGTCTTGTTTCCTTCATCCTGACGGCCCCTCATTCTCCTTTCCGGTAGAGCTCTGCATAGCCGGCTGGCCCTTCCAGTCAAAGCCAAGAGCAGCCTGAGATGTCTCTTCCATGTAAGACTCGGGAGCAAGCCCGATTGTGGCATGGGCAGGGACCACGAGCCGTAGCACGTTCGATGATGGACGGGTTTTGAAGAGCCTTGGAAGCTGACTCGCCAGTTAAAGTAATTCACCGAATTCCCGCGCTCGTTTCAGACCGCCGAAGGATGAGAGTCAACCTGGGAATCTCTGCTGCATGGTGGGACGTCGGATCTATCCTCATCGCTGACCAAACACGGCCCGCAGGCTCGGTGCTCAGTCCGACCTGCATGGGAGAACACCCCCAATCGCTTTGTTGGTGACGCCACGCTTTTCAAGCGGGCGATGACAGGGTTCGAGTACTGGCTTACAATGATGCCCAGGCACTTCGTAACTATGCCCAAGGTTTTAAAGTAGGTATCTGAGTAGGGAGATGGGACAGGGGTTGGAGCTGGCCATGTCGCATCGCTCGCCCATCAGTCGGCGATGCACAGGAGCCGGAGCCCCCACCCGGCGAAAGGTCCACCATCATCTTCCAGTGGCGTTCTTGTGCTGGAATGCTCGAAGGCGGCGCTGTTGCGGCTTGCCAAACAGGGCAGTGGCCCCTGGGAGGGAATACAGCGCTGTTACAAAAGGACGAAAGAACTCGTGCACATGGTGAGTGGGCTCGAGGTGGGTTTGTATCGGGAAGGCCTCATTCGCACTGTTCAATAATCCCACAGGAAGGTGGCTGCGGCCAGCGATCAGCTGAAGGCACGGTGCCAGCTTGTTTAACCACGGAGCCCACAACTCGAGAAGGTGCCAGCCGTGACTTGGCGGAAGCCACGGCCGCCCTCGGCGGCTTCCATTTGCCGTTCACTGCAGAGGCATTTCGAAAGTTGGATCGATTTCATTTTCCCCGTGAAGGTCTTTTATGGGCTGGGATTTCTTGGTGAAAGCCGTCAATTTGGATTCGATAATGTGTAGATAAATTACTTGTAGACCCGCAAAGCAAGAGTTCAATGCGTGCCCTTGCGGCTGGCAAAACCCCGACTCCTGTAACGGCGTTGCCGAGCGAAACGTGCATGCTCAGTAGGGCAATCAACCGTCCCTCGGCCACAGCGGAAATCCGGTTCTCTTTTGGCCAGGTCCCTGTTGAACGAGTGGGCTCTGCCACGCACAACCGGTGTTGCGACCCGAGCCTGGCACACAGACCACCACTTACCTGCTGAGGGTTCAGGTCCCTGCCAGCCGTGAGCCGCCTCCCTCTTCTGTCAAGGGAATCTGGAACCTGGAATCTGGCCGAGTTCCATATCGTGGCATACCCAGTCTGTTCCATTTCCAACTTCATGGACTCCCGAGAACAATAACTGTTTCTGAGACTCGGCACGAAAACAAATGCTGACTCGGCCACTAACAAGGTTTTGGTTTGTTAGCGACCGGAACTGAGCAGCTGCGAACCACGCGCTTCAGGCCCAGGGACCTCATTTGGCGGGCAACAACCGCCGCGCAGCGCAAAACCCCCCAGCGAGGTCGCCCACCACACCACACACAAACCTGCTGTTCAACTCCAGTCACCAGCAACTTCTTCCACCCTTTCTCGCCCCAACTTGGAAGCCCTCGGCTTCCTTTTGCATTCCCATTCACAAAATACCCTGTTCCTCACGACTATTTCTATCGCGGTCAACGAAAGAGCGATCATGTCGACGCCGACAACTGCGACGGCAACGTTGCCTCACTACAGTCCGCACCATTTCCGTTACCAACACCACCCACACCAGTCGTATCCCCAGCCAAACTCGTCATCTTACCGTCCACCGAACCCAATTCTCCCGCCTACCACCCGCTTGGCGTATCCGTCTCCAGGCTACTCTACCGCGAGCCACTCGTCAGGAAATGGAGTAGCTGCCGTGCCGTCGGGCCACGCGAGAGTCGCACCGCACGAACCAGCCGATGAGACGTCGATACTTAATCACCTCTATCCAACTATGGGCACAGCAGCTTCGCAGGCCCAACCTCTGGCGGAGCCGCAACCTCCCCGCAAGAAACGCCGGTCGAGGGAACCGGACTGGAAGACCTTCTACAAGAATGGCTTGCCCAAAGAGATCATCGTGATTGATGACACGCCGGAGCCCGAGCGTGCGAATGTACCGACCACCGCCGTGCAGACCCTCGCGAACGGTCGCTCGCACGTCGTAACAAACGGTAGTGCACCCGGATCCTCAGCCAAGAAGCGGAAACGAGACGATGAGCCCACACCGTACGATCCCGTCCACCACAGTGCTGCTCTCGGCTCCCATACCCCCAGCAAGTCCACTGCCGCAAGCGACCGGACAAACTCGGCAATCCATACGACAGCAGCGACATCACTGGGATCGCTCTCCTCAAATGGCCAGTACGAGTACGATGGAGCACAATCCGGCCAGAAGCGGAAGAGGACAACTCGCCAGCAGATCGCAAACGAAGCGAGGCGTCGCGAGGCTGCGATATATACCGATGCCCTCGCCCACTACCGGCCACCGCCCAATCCCCCCAAGAAGGCCCGTGATGTGCACATCAAAGTTGTTGCCGATGTGAGTCGTCTGCTTCTCCGATGTCATGCTTGCATAGCGCGGCTAACCAGCAGTCTAGCCCCCCCATTAGCAAAAACGTCCGTGTCGACGATGACGATGGCCACTACATCGTCGTCCCCGACAATGACCTGACTGAACGATGTAAGTGTCCGCTCCGCCATTCACGAACCGTGTTGGGCTGACCGATTTCGCTCGTAGATCAAATGGTCAAGCTGCTCGGACAAGGCACGTTCGGCAAGGTCGTACAAGCAAGAGATAAGGTGTCGGAAAAACTGGTCGCCATCAAGATCATCCGTTCGGTGCAAAAGTACCGCGAAGCGAGTAAGATCGAACTTCGGGTACTGGAGACTCTCAGAGCCAATGACGAGGAGAACCGGAACCGCTGCATTCACTTCCGAGACTGCTTCGACTACCGCGGGCATATATGCATCGTCATGGATCTGCTCGGACAGAGCGTATTCGACTTTCTTAAGAGCAACAGTTTCGTGCCCTTCCCGAATAGCCAGATCCAGAACTTCGCCCGACAACTACTCACCAGTGTAGCTTGTAAGGAGCCCCCGCTCGGACGGAACCGTATTAGGGAGGGACGTGAGCTGACTCGGACTAGTTCTGCATGACCTCAACCTGATCCACACAGACCTGAAGCCGGAGAACATTCTCCTGTGCCACAACGAGTACCAGACCTTCACGTACAATAGGAAGATACCGTCGGCTAGTACCAACAACAGTAACCGCCAAGCCAACCAAAGAAAGGTACTGCTAGACACAGAGATCCGACTGATCGATTTCGGCTCGGCAACCTTCCAAGACGAATATCACTCGTCAGTTGTGTCGACCCGCCACTACCGCGCGCCCGAAATCATCCTCGGGCTTGGGTGGTCGTACCCTTGCGACATTTGGAGTATTGGGTGCATACTGGTCGAATTCTTCACCGGCGATGCCCTCTTCCAGACGCACGATAACCTCGAGCATCTGGCTATGATGGAAGCAGTCGTCGACGCCAAGATCGATTCGTCTCTCGTCCACCAGGTCAACAGGATGACGAGGAACGGCGGGAACCCCGCATCCAAGTGCGTATACAACGCCCCATAAACGATAGGACCAAGGAAACTAATTAATATGTGGCAGATACTTCAAGCGCCTCAAACTCGACTATCCCATGCCCGATACCACACGGGCATCGCGGAGATTTGTCAAAGCCATGAAGAAGCTACCGGTTGGTGCTAACTCTCTTCGTCATCATCATCGCTGGCGACTGAAACCCTTGCAGGAGATCATCCCCTCGAACACCAAATTCTTGCAACAGTTTCTAGATCTCCTCCAGAAGATATTTGTCTACGATCCCGCGCGCCGCATTACAGCAAAACAGGCTCTGCAACATCCCTGGTTCCGCGAAGTTGCCCATCCTGATGACGGGACCGAAGCGGCACGAATCCGCGCCGACAAGTTGAGGATGCGGGAACGAGAATTGTCCGGTGCCAGCCATGGCCCTGTAGAGGAACGGTCTGTGAGGAGGTAATAGGAGAAAAAGCGAGGGGCGTTAGTTTTTACTCAACCAAATACCGTCCGGTAACGGCAGAGCGGGGAGTTTCACGAAGCCATGTCTCCCTCAAATTAGGTATATGATATTCCTCTCTATATGGACCCGCCGCCTGATTCTCATGGGGTTTGCGGTGGCCGTAATATCAGAGGAGATAGGAAAGGGGCTTTCTGCATTTTATTCTTTATACACCACATCTCGCTTTTCGTTGGTGGGGCATCATGATGAGTCAGGGGATGATGGCGTTGATTCGAGGTTCAGAGGAATGTGCTCTCATACCCAGGATTCTTGAGCGGGAAGCGGCGGCTGGATTTATATATAGGCGTGAAACTTGACACTGCTTTCTATTCGATGAGCGATATTGTTTTGCTAGCTGATTCGCGTCCATGAGACGGGACCTTACTCAGTTCGAAGAGCCGCACATTACGAGTCGGATTTCGAGTTAGGATATGGTTTGTCTACCTTTAGGCTGTCGTCCGGCTGTTATTTGTTGCTAACTTGTGTACTCAGGCCTCTCCGAAACGAGAACCGTAAAGGTACTTACAGCCAGCCACTGTTCAACCTGTGGCAACACAGTGCTTGCTGTTCTTTTTTCCCCTTGGAACAGGGCAAGTTTACTCGCCATTGGGAGACCCTACATGTTCAAGCTAGGAGCCTCTGTTTGGAGTGAACACTGACAATGAAATACCAGCCAACACGGACGCCGGTTCTTTGTGCTTAGGGGGGTTATATTACAACCCCAGCCCTTCGAAAACATATTAAGCTTCATTTCCCCGGAATCGAGTGCCCCTGAGTTCCGTAACCCCAGAGGCTTTTACCCCCCCGAATCGAATCCAATCCATACCGAACCAAGTCGCTGGGCCTCGTTCTACTGCTCACACTCCTGCTCGCTACACACTCACCAACACGCATTCCGCCGGAAACAACCATGGCACCCATCAAAACCACGTTTTTCACACGCCCCGGCAGCGCCGACGACGCCACCATCGACTACGACTACAACCTGATCCTCCACCTAGGGCATAAGAGCCGACGACAAATCGCCAAGCCCCCCCACTTCGCCTCTTTGCCCCCCAAACTCTGATGAGACACGAAGGTCTTACATAGGCGCAGAGCTCCCTCCTTTCCCAGGCCCGTATCGGGGATATAGGCCTCCGGGACTACCTGTTCAGGGTGAAAGTCCCGGAGGTCCGCACCCCCTATTGCGAGTGCGGGAGAGGCAGGGAGACTGTGGAGCACTTGGTGGTTTGGTGTCCCGACCCGCCGTTACAAAGGCCGTGGGACGGCAGAGAGATTCGGTCACATCGGGACCTACAAACCG